GTTGGGGGGGGGGCGACGTACCGGGGAAGCCCTTGCAGAGCTGCTCGACGGAGGTGGTGATCTTCTTCTCGCTGATGCGTTCGTACTTTTCCTTCTTGGTGGTGGCCTTGAGCCCCTGCCAGGGCAGGTTGCCCCGCGCAAAATACATCAGCACGTAGCCGATGGCCTCCAGGTCGTCCCTTCGGCTTTGCTCTGTGTGCGCACGACACACACGCAACACACGCGCGCGTGCGGGAATGTGAGTTGGAACGGCGTGGGCGGTGGCGCATGTGTTGTGTGTGTTGTGTGTGTTGTGTGTGTCGTGTGTGTCGTGTGCGTACCGATGCCGAGATGTGTGTTGATGCTGGCGTAGCGGGCCGTGCCGGTGAGGTTCTTGTTCTCCCGGTAGGGGATGTGCACGTGCGATCGCGAGTCCCTGTACTTCTTCGCCAGACCGAAATCTGGACGCACACAAATCGGCCACGACCCGCTCGTAAGTGTGTGTGTTGTGTTGTGTGTGTGTGTGTGATGATGTGCGGTGTGCAGTGGGGAATGGGTTCGCACCGATGAGGTTAACCTGGTTGCTCTTCGCCTCGAGGCCCACGAGGAAGTTGTCGGGCTTGATGTCGCGGTGGATGAAGTTCTTCGAATGCACGTACTCGATGCGGCGAATCTACAGCCCAACGTGGTCAGCACACGACACGACACACGACACGACACACGACACACGACACGACACACGCACACGGCATGACAGGGGTGTACCATTTGGTCGGCGACCATGAGCACGGTCTTGATGGAGAACTTGCGGTGGCACACGTTGAAGACGTCCTCGAGCGAGGGTCCGAGGAGATCGATCACCATCACGTTGTAGTCGCCCTCCTGCCCGAACCATCGCACGTACGGAAACCCGACTACGCCAATCCACCAAAGAAAAAAAAAATGGAGTGAGACATGGCGCACAGATTGATGAAAGAACTCGCATTCAAAATGGACAGATTTGTACGTTAATGAAATGTAATTTTGATTGGGGGGGAGAAACAAAAATGAGCTGAAAATTTAGAGGGGGGAGGAAGAATGACGTACTGCCGCCACCCAGCACTTTGTATAGCTTGGCCTCGTACTGAAGCTGAGGGTGTTTGCTCTTGACACTCTCCTGCAAAGCCAAGATAAGAGGTTAAATGGGATTGTTACAAAAAAAAAAGGTGTACGATATTGTCGCAAGGGGCGAGCATGATCATCATTTAAATCAAATCTAGGCGACAAGAGTGCGGCGGACGGAGGGAAGTGAGGGGATCGGCGGTACCAATTTGATCGCAACCTGTTCGCCCGTCTGTATGTTGGTGCCTAGATAGATGTCGCCGAAGGACCCGCTGCCGATCTTTCGGCCAAGCCTGTATTTGTTTCCCACCCGCAATTCAAGAGCCATCTCTATGTCCTCTCAATAACCAATGTTCGCTCTGCTTCCTCCTTCTTGAAATCCAATCGTTGAGGTAATGAAAGAAAAATCACGCCAGGCGGAAATGCGCAAAAATAAAGGTCCGGTTATCATTGCCTGCCACTCGACGAAATTTCGGGACATTCAACACCAAAATAGCACTTTCACCTTTGCTATCAATGCTGTGTGACACAACACGCAATACAGAAGCTTCAAGTTAGGTCTGCTTGGCAAGGGGTGGAAGGAGGAAGAGAGGCTGGGAGTGTCTGAACATGTTTGGCCAAGAGGCGTGAGGGGCGAGTGTCCAGTTATATCCTGGAAGTAGTGGGTTGGGGAATGAAACTGCCCAACCGTCACCAAGCTTGATACGCGGAAATGACAGTCCAACCCCGAGTCGGGTATTCCCCTTGGTATGCCTCTTGGTGCGCTTCTGTCTGTTCGCGCGAGAAGAAGTGGAAAAGTGCAACACCTCCCTCCGCTCCGAAGCGGCGTCACCTCACCTCGAGTTCTTGGTTTAGAGGCGAAGAGAAGCAAGACGGTGGCATCGAGCTTGCATCATCACTCACAAAACGGTTAGGCTGAAGGCAAAAGGAGTTTTGCCGCTGGCTCTGGCCTCCCACAAAAGCGAAACGCGAAAAATCATTGTCTTTCGCTTTCGCTCTTTCAGTCGTCACCACCCACACCCGCCCGAGAAAGAGCGAGAAGTGAAGGAGGAGACAAAAGAAAGAAAGAAAGCGAAGAGGCGGATATCAACAGCATCATCTCCTTCCCTCTTCGACGCCTTTCAACGCCACACCATCGAGTTCGAGCGAAAAGGCGAGCAACATGATAACACGGAGCAGGGCTTCGAAGAAGACGACGGACGGTGAGCCGACCGAAGGTGAAGAGGTGAAGAAGACGACCGAACCCAAGACGACTAAAAGTCGAGCGACGCGAGCGAGGCCAAACGGAGGCGATGACGCTGCTGCGCCACCGGCGGATAAGCCGTCGAAGACGATGACGCAGCCGATGAAGAAGATGAGGGACAACACCAGCGCTGCCACTTCGAAATCTGCATCGAAGAAGTCCAGCGGCGCGACGGCGAAGAAGGCCAAGGGACCCTCCAGTGGCGGCAGAGCGTCGCCATCTTCAACGAAAGCGAAGGAATCGAACAAGATCGGAGCTAAAAAGAACAAGACGAGGCCTACGGCGCTGGTAACGCTGGAGGAGTTGGATGGGGAGGGCGAAGATGAGGATGGAGATGGAGAAGGGGCGGAGCTTGATGAGCTGCTTCATATGAACGTCGAAGATGAGGAGCCGGGCGACGAAGATGCAGCTGAGGGAAGTAGTGGAGACGAGGATATGCAGTGGGTGGTGCTGAAGAAGCCGCCCCCTGCGGCCAAGAAGAGGAAGCTTCACGTTCATTTCGCGGATGCCGAAGAAGATGACGACGACCTCTTCGCCCCAACCAAAGCCAAGAGGAAAGCGGCAAAGGTACCACACAACCTATGAATCTTACCATCTCGCCTTTCATCGTAAATCGATCACTGTAGCGCCCGCTACTTGATCTTCAAATTGTCCAAATTCACGTACTGCAGCGAGTTGCTACGCCAATGCTGTAGAGGATCACATCCCCTCGGCATACGCTGGCGTTTGCTCGAAGTCACGGCCTACTGTCAGACAAATGCTGGCACATCGACTCACTGAATGCACCATTTGGACATGGCTGCGCAGAGTCAGAAGACGAGCAAGGCCTCGCCCAAGGGCAAGAAGGGTGCGCCAGCAGCAGCAGCGACCAAGGGCAAGTCCACCAAGGCGACCGACAGCAAGCCCAAGAAGATAGATAAGGTACGGCTTACCCCTTCATCCTCCTGTTGTACTGTTTTTTCTCTTTTGCTTATTTACGGAGGGACAGCCTTCGGAATGCCAAGCGCGCGCAATCAAATCTAGTCTTCATTTCTCAAATATTTAATATTGTTTTTCATTTTATTTTCTTTTTTGCTTGTGGTCACCGTTGTCTCAAGGGGCTTGTGATCATTGTGCGGGTTCACACTTCGTGGTGTGTTCTAAAGTTCTTTTCGCCTTGCAGCACAACTCCGACGAGGTCGCGCCCAGTGAAGACGACGAACCGGGAGGGTTGGTGATCAATGATGATGACGATGAACAGGAAGAGGAAGAAAGCAAAGCGAGGAAGAATAAGAATGGCGGACGAAAGAACGACGACGACAGCGAAGAAGAAGAGGGCGTGCTGAGGCTGATCGCAGCCTTGGACAAGAAGAAGCAGAAGCGAGGCGAAAAGGCACCCGCCGCGCAGCAGCCGGCCGACGAGGAGAACGAAGGTCTCGGGCGCGGCAAGCGAAAACGAAAGGTGCGCAAGCTGTCGTCCGATGAAGAAAACGAAGAGGAGGACGGCGAGGCGAGCGAGGACACGACGCCGCGAAAGCGAAAGCGTGGGGCCGGTACGGCTTCTCTTTCGTTCTTTCGTCGTTCTTTCTACACCGCCGCTGAGATGGCAATGACATTGACGTGTGTTGTGAGTGTGTGCAGCGGCCAAGGGCGGAAAGGGGAAGGCTGCAGTGGTGGCCAAGACCAGAACTTCGCCGCGGACGAGCGCAGCGGCCAAGGCCAAGCCAGCGCCGGCGAAAGCGAAGCCCGCTGCCGCGAAAGAGACGCCGACGACCAGAAGAACGAAAGCGGCGGCGAAAGCCAAGCCGGGCGGCCCCCCGGTGGGCGAAACCGAGGCCGAGGGCGCAGCTGCCTTGATGGGCCTCGCCCAGAGCCTCTTCCTGCTCAGCAGCCAAGGAGCCACCTCGCCCTCCGCATCGTCCCCACAATCTGGTAAGCGCACACCCACCACCGCACACGACACGCACGACACGACACGACACGCATGGCACGACACTTACTTGAGACACAACGCAGGAGTGAAAATGGAGATCAACGATCAGGCGTCGGATCTGCTGGCCCTCGAGCAGGCCAGGCTCGCGGACGAGGAGGCCGAGCGGCTCGAGGCCGAAGGCGAGCTCCTGCCGCCTCCGCTCTTCCCCTCGGCGCTGGTCACCCACACCACGGCCGAGCTCACCGGCCTCACCAAGAAGACCACCGGCGAAGCCCCCGCCGCCTCCTCGGTACCACCTACCACTCGTGCTGACGTGTCATTGTTTATTTACATATTTTTAAGGTTTTGTTTTTGTTTATCTGATATGTCGACTAACATGTGACGTCACGCGAGCTCAGCAGAAGCCGCCCGAGTTCCTGCGGTGGAAGAAGCCGGGCGTGCACGTGGCGCTGGCCTATCACATTTACTACCGCCAGCAACACGCGACGCTCTCGGTACTACCGCCAGCACCACGACCTCCTCTCGCACGCGTGTGTCGCTCACCGCACTCACCGCACTCACCGCACACAGACGCTATCCAAGCCCAACGCGCTGTATGCGCAGAAGCACCTGCTGCCGCTCTCGCTCGATCCGACACTGCCCGCGCGAACCGTGAGGCGACGGGCCGCGCTCATCAGCAAGCGCAAGGCCGCCTTTGAGAAGGCCAAAGCCAAGGCCAGACCCGCCACCTCATCCGCCACCTTAACTTCCTCCTCCTCTACGACCACCACTTCGTCGTCATCGACCACGCCAGCCGCTGCCACGTCATCACTGGCCGCTGCCCTGTCATCATCGGCGGCCGCCTCGTCATCCGCCGGCACAACGTGGACCACGCCCTCGTCCTTCGCCGCCCAGTCGCACCAGGTCCCGCCCGCGGTGGTCTCCGCCGCTGCCGCCGCCGCCGCCGCCGTCGCTGCCGCCTCCTCGCCCAACTCTGCCGCAGCCGTCAGTAAGCCGACGGTGGCGCGCCCGCCGGCGACGCCGGTCCAGCCCGGCCCGGCCCTGTTCCTGGCCTCGTCGCCGCTGGGCATCCAGGGCATCGGAGCCCAGTCCTTCTCGGCGCCGCCACCCGGCGCGGCGCACCCGCCCGGCAGCAGCGGGCAGCAGTCGGCGGGCGGCGCCGCTGGCGCGTCCACCAAGCCGGCGCGGCCCAAGACGATCCAGTTCACCTCCATGAACCCCATTGCCTCCACCGCCTCCCCGCAACCGCCCAGGTACGCGTGTCGTGCGTGTCGTGTCGTGTGCCATAAGGTGTGTGCGGTGCGTGTCACGTCGTGTCGTGTGCGGTGGTTGATTGTTTTCTGTGTGCGCGTGTGCGGTGCAGGCCTGCGTCGGCGGCGGTGGCGAGCAGTGGGTCGGCGGCGGCGAGGCAGCTGCAGGAGACCAACGGCGGTGCGAGCAGGAGCAGCTCGCCGGGCGGAGGGGCCATTCCCGGCCAGCCCACGACGAGCGTGGTCAAGGAGGCTCGCTTCACTCACGTCGTCATCCACCACCCCAACGGCGCTCCGCCTCCCCCGCCTTCTTCACGGTACGCATCGCGTGTCGTGTGTGTCGTGTTGCATGTTGCGTGTGTGTGTCGTGTGCCAGTGGTCTGACGAGTGTTGTGTTGTGCTGCAGGCCGACAAAGATCATCTTCCAGGAGCCTTCAACGCAGGCGTCGATGCAGCAGAAGCTCGTCTACGCGCCGGCGTCGCCGCCCAAGAGCAGCAGCAGCAGCAGCAGCAAGAGCGAAGAGACCCCGCGCCCGGCCGTCGCCAGCAGGCCATCGGCAGCTGCCAAGGAGCCATAACTAACTTTTTTTAAAAGAAAACACAAAAGAAAAGAGGTTTAACTGCACAGTTGCACTTTTTCCTTTTGAAGAAAATTTATGCAGCTAAATTCCCAACATTTTTATCCAATATATCTAGACCCTGAGGGTGAGGCTGGCAGCTGTGATTGTTTGCGTGTTCGGCCGTTTTCAAGGTCCCTGAGGGTTCTCACGCGGGGCTACGAGCAGGCTGGGGCTGCTGGGTCTTCCCAGCGCCAGCGGAGGCTGCTCAGGCCCTCAGGGTGAGACCCACATAAAATGGGCCACCCACCACCCAGTCTAGTATCTTCATCCACCTCCACCTCCAACATAATACTCGAAGAAGAAGAAGAAGAAGAAGGCCCGCCCGCGTAGTGACCCCGCCATGCAAGTAGCTCAAGACCATCACCACCACTATCATCTACTCGAGGACCCGTCGATGCTCGAGGTCGATGCCCTCTTCTCCACCCTCGACCAGTTCAAGTTGTTGGAAGAGCAGCAGGCCACCGTCGACGAGGCCCAATCGCCGGAGGCCATCATCGCTCACGACCACCACGGCTTCGGCCACCACGACTACCACCAGGCGGCGGTGCAGGTGGTGGGCCAGCCCTTCACGCCGGCGGCGGCGATGAGCGCCATCGTTGGAATGGACTTGGACGAAGTGGCCCACCACCTCTTGGAGGCCGGGGAAGATGAAGTGGTGGTGGCAGTGACGGAACCCATCGCCGACGTGGACCACCTCATCAGGCTCCTGTCTGGCCCCTTGGCCCCGCTGCCACCGCAGCCTCCCACTGAGGTCTTCTACAACGAAGTAGCAGAAGTGGAGGAAGTGGTGGAAGAAGGCCACGACGATGCGAACGACGACGTGCAAGCCAACGAGAGGCATCACGTACTCGACCCGAAGAAGGAGGTGATGGTCTCCTTCTACGCCGTGCTGGCCTACAACAGCAGCAGCAAGAAGAAGGAGAAGATGAAGAAGTGGGCAGAAGAGGAGGAGCGCGCGCTGGCCTGGGTCGCTTTCTACACGGCCTGCGCCGACTACGCTCTCGAGCTCGACCAGTACCGCCTCCAGCTGCTCGAGCTCGACCAGCCCGACCAGCCCGACTTTTTGGCCCAACGCTGCGTGGCCTGCGAGATGGTCGTCAGCCAGGTCGACGCCTGGGTCGCGGCCGGGCGCCACCCGCGCACGCACCAGCGCCTGTGGCAGGTCAAGCTGCCGTTCGTGGTCGAGGCCCCGGCCGGTCGCAAGCCGCGTCGGCTGGGCATGTACGAAGCGGTGCTGGTCCACCGATCGACGGGCATGGCCGTGCGGCTGGGCGGCGCGTCGGTCGGGTCCAGCTCGAACCTGCTGCGCGGCTTCGGACCCAAGGTCGAGGCGCGCTTCACGGGCGTGGCCCAGCGGCGGCTGGTGCGCAACTTCCGCGAGCGGAGCAAGGCCAAGAACTCGCGCAGGGCCAGACACTACCGCAGCGGAAAGGGGTCGGCGTCGGCGCAGACCACCCACAAGCCCGCCCGCTTCCTTACCGACGAGCTGGCCAGAGCCGTCACCCTCCCGGTCCACTCCACGCACCAATGACCGCCATGCTTTTTATAAATACTGATTTTGGATTTTTATTTTGGATTTTCATTATTCATAAAAACATTACAACAATGTGACACAATTCGAAAAGCTCGCTAAGTTATGTGTGTATTTCAAATCTGTTTGGGAAAGTAATAATTCAAGGTGCTCGGTCGTGATCGGCCAGAGTTCGCATCTCCTGTCCAATCCCTCCGCCCACCCCCGGCCCGCCCAGCTCCTCCACCTGTGTGTGTGTGCAACACAATTGCCGACACGCTCAGTATGTACTGCGTTCAATAGCATAGCCGCCATGCACCAGTTGGCAGATATAGAAGATGTGTACATATCACCATCACGTGAATGGCGAAGGTGTAACACTATCGATATTGCAGGTACCTTGTTGCTGACGCGGATCTGTCGCACGAAGACGACGGCGGCGAGGAGCAGGACCGAGGCGAGGAGGAAGGCCGACTTGTAGCCCAGGTGGGCCAGGTGGAACACATCGCCGTGCGGCTCCAGCAGGTCGATCATCAGCCCCGCGATGGGCGGTGTTATCATCTGGTGTCATTTGCGTGTATGTGGGGCTCCGTCAGCATCACGCACGCACTGACTAAAGCAGTCTCTCTCTGTGTGTGTGTCGTGTGTGTCGTGTGGTGGTCTGCATGTGTGTTGCGTACCGTAGGGAGGACCCAGGACATGTGCCATACGCCCAGGTCTGTGGCGTGGCTCTCGCTGCGCGGCAACACGTCGCTCGCCAGCGCAAAATCCACCCTAAGAGTAAAAAAGATAATTTAGAAAAGAGGATCGAATAAATAAATGCGGGGCAGAATTTAACAATTAAAATTGTATATAATTGTTATAAACAATTAGAAAGAAAAGAAAAGAAAAGAGGGCGTACGTGATGTAGGCGCCGTAGGCGAGGCCGAAGACGAAGCCGGAGAGAATCATGATGGTGAAGTTGTCGGTGACGATCATGACCAGCGGGATCAGCGCCATCATGGCGCCCGCCACGTACACCACCACCTTACGCCCGTACCTGTCCGACAAATACCCTTAAGACGCACACCACCGCACACACCGCATGCACCGCCGCACGCGCGCCACCTTAAGAATTGGGGGGTCGTGGGCGGAAATGATGGTGATGGCGCGAGTACCGGAGAGGAGGGCGGAGACGACGGAGCCGAGGGTGACCATGCCGACGAAGAAGGAGACGGCGGCCTCGGGGTCGTCGAGCGAGAGGAGCCCTGCGAACTCGTACGGGCTCGGCACCGCGTCGCGCATGAAGTACTGCAGGAACTGGATGATGATCTGAAAGCCCGCCGTGAACAGGAAACGCGTCCAGAACACCTTTTGTTGGGAGATGGGGGGAGCAAAAATATCAGAACACGCGCGTGCGCACACACGACACGCACACACACCACACATGCACGCACACGACACCACACGACACGACACGACACACGTGGGTACCCATCGAAAGTTGGGGTCTTTGAAGGGGCGGAGGGCTTCGCGGATCCAATCGAGGAGGCGGAGGAGGCGGCGGCTGGGCGGCGGCACGCCCGAAAAGCGGTCGCCGTCGGGATCGAACGCGGCGATGTCGATTATGCTCGGCCGCTCGGCCACGCTGAACACCGTCCCTGAGGACCGCACACGCGGGCGCACGCAAACGAGCTATCAGCGTGTGTGGTGTGTGCGTGCGTGTGCGGCGTGTGCGGTGGTGTGTGCGGTCGAGAGTAGTACCGAGGAGACCCAGGATCTGGACGAGGGCGAGCAGGAAGAAGGCGCCGTAGTTGGTCAGCCCGTTCAAGGCGACACCCAGGACGCCTGCACGACTCACAATAAATAAATAAATAAAGAATGCAACGCACGCCTGGAATGCGTGGTGAGTTGTTGGCCGTACCGCCGCCAACCAGGTTGCCGAGCATGCTCATCAGCCCCAGCCAGCCCGAGGCCACGCCGAACTGTGTGTCGTGTGCGTGCGTGTGCGTGCGTGTCAGGTGTGTGGCGTGTGGCGTGTGGCGTGTGTGGCGTGTGGCGTGTGTGGCGTGTGTGGCGTGCCTGGGCTTGGGAAACGATGTCGGGCACGAGTGCGAGATAGGGCGCCGCGGCCACCGCATCGAACAGCTGAATGGAGAGGTAGGCCACCGCGTACGGCACCAGCCACACTACCCCGCTGCACATGGGTACCCACGACACGCACACGACACACGACACGGCACACACGCACGCGCACGCGTTAGATGGTGCAAGTGATCAAGAGTAGTGCAGTGCGAAGGGTGGGTGTTAGGGGAGAGGGGGTATGAACTGATGTTCGAGGAAGGGGAAGGCGAGCATGGAGGCGGCCATGAATGGGACCCCGACCACCATGTAGGGCATGCGCCGGCCCACGGGCAGCACCCGATGATGTTTCTTCACTTGGGTTCGATCGCTGCGCTTCGGTTCATTGAGCAACACGCAACGACACACACGACACACACGACACACACGACACGCACGACACGCACGATACACGACACGCACGACACACACGACACACACGACACACACATGAGGGGAACCTGAGAATGCCGACGATGGGGTAGGCCACCAGGGAGAGGACGCCGCCGGTGAGTGTGATCACGCCCACCGCCGTTCCCTTGTACTCGTCCCCCGCAATCTCCAACACCTAATCGCCAATCATCACCATCATCATCCGACCGCACACGACACGGCACGACACGACACACGCCTCACACGCACACACGCCTCCCCCGCACACGCCGCACACACGGCGCACGTGCCTGGAGAGGGAGGAGGAGGATGGTGAAGGCGGTCCACCAGGCGCTGCGGGCGAACCAGTAGAGGGCGAGGCCGCACAGCTGGCGATGGCTCAGCTTCCGGCCGCTGTTTCCGTCGGCTTCGAAGCCCAGCTTGCTGCCCTCGAACACCAGTCCGTCGCCGTCGTCACCTTCACCTTCACCTTCGCCTCTGGCGCCGGTGAGCCCGTCATCGTAATCATCATCAACATCATCGAGAGATGAACTGGTGGGCGAGTGTCGATCGGTGGCCACCTTCGAAGATGCAACTTCTTTGTGGTGCTTCCATTCCTCGTGTTCGTGGACCGCCTCATTTTCGAGATGCAGATGAAGTTCCGGCAAATCTTCGAGTGACGGGCTGCTGTGGAGTGTGGTGGATGGTGACGATCTTCCTTCATCCTCTTCCGGCGCTTCATCCGGCGCCAACGGCCGCTCCTCCATCCCCAAGCACTACTATAATTTTCGGAAGTTATTTCATTTCCCTTTTCATTCTGTTATTGATAATTTTCGTTAGCAAAACAAAAATAATAAACAAAAGTGCAAATAATTGTTTGTTATTTGTTTTTTGTAGTCAAAGGTCACAGGGGAGGAAAAGGTCCTCAAGAGCAGAGAAGAGAAGAGAAGAAAGAATAGAAAATAAATATGAGAGACAAAAGAGAAGAGACGACAAAAAGCGGAGAAGAGAAGAGAGAAGAGAACGCATCGTCACCGTCGGAAGGCCGATGGTGGGCTGGCCGGTGGCTTCTCTCTCTCCAGAGGCATGCACACAAGTAAGTCTATACAGTGGCTGCGGTGTGGTGGCTGTGATGGCTGTGATGTGGCTGTGGTGAAGAAGATGGTGATGATGATGGTTGCAGCAAAAAGGTCGCCGAGGTGGCGCCCCGGCAGCATGAGAGGCAGTTCCTCAGTTGTCTCGATGGCTGTTGGATGAGGAGGAAGAAGAGGTGGAAGAAGAAGCTGCAGAAGAAGACGATGATGATGATGACGAAGAGGAAGAGTGGTCGAAGAATACGATGATTACTGTTACATTGTCCTTGCTGTTCTTTCCCGATACGACGTGCTCGATCAACGCAGCACTCACCTGCACACCAGAGCGACGTTGGTTAGTGAGACTCGCGCCAGCTGACACACCACACACACACACACAAGGCCGTGCGCCCGATGGGTACCTCTTCTCTGGGCCTTGTCTGCACGGCTGTCCGGATGAAGGTGGCCACCTCTTCTTCCGTCATGTAGTCCCACAGTCCGTCGGTGGCCAGCACCATGAACTCATCGTCCGGGCTCAGCTGTGTCACTTGGATCTGTGTCATGCGTGTCGTGAGTGTCCCTGCGCGTGTGCGGCGGTGTGTGGTGTGTGCGGCGGTGGTGCGTGTGCATGGGTCGCACGAGGAGAAGCGGACGGACCTCGGGTTGTGGGATGATGATGTGTTTCAGGAGTCGGTCGCCTATAGAGCGGGTCACGGCGAGCACTCCGTTGACCCGCCACGTGTGGAACCACACCACGGTGCCGCCCGCGTTCTTCACCCGCTCCTTCTCGTCCTCTCGGTTGGGCTTTTGGGTCGTGCATAACTGCGAAGGAATTAAAATGAATGAGCAACTAAATAAACGTATGCGATGGGAAAGAAAGAGCGAAAGCGGCACGATCAAAATTGCGTCGTGAGAGGGGGGGTTAGTACTGATAGTAGTTCGGTGCCGCCCGTGGATGTTTTTCGGCAGAGCATGCCCTGCGAATCGCCGCAGTTGGCCACGATGAGTCGATCGCCCCGCAAAAGGGCGGCCATCGCCGTGGAGCCGTCGTTCGAACCTGCGTCGTCAGCCACACGGCACGGTCAGCCCGCACGACCTCGCACGACGCGCACCGCACGATACGGCGCGTACCCATGAACGTGGCTTTCTCCGTGAAGATCTTGTCCGCTCGAAGAAACGCGTTTCCGAGCGCCGTTTCGTCGTGCACCTTTTCCATCGAGTCGAGCTCCTGCGCGATCGACATGTGTAGCTGCGTCCTATATAGACGTGGTAACGTTGGAGGAAGGCAGACGTGGTTTGTGTCGACACAAAGGCCGCGCAGCGACAAAGAGGTGGTCACTTCGTACCGGCAGTACTCGGCGGCTTCCTTGCCCGAATGGCCGTCGAAGAGACCGATGTAGATCTGTGGCGGCGCGTTCTTGAGAGCGTAGAGGTCGTTGTAATGCTAAAGAGAGGTACGACGGTGTGAGTGGCCCAGGACTAGTATGTACGCGATCGTGTGTGTCGTGTGTGTGCGTGTGTGCGTGTCGCAAGAGAGCTATATTGGGGTACCTCAATGACCAGGTATGTGTCTTCGTTGGCGTCTCGCACGCCCTTGTCCGTTTTGGCATGAATCTCGTAGCCCCATGGCATGGCGCTCGGACTCTGTGTGTGTCCGACCACAATGATCGTGGAGCGTAAGACACGAAACAATGGCACGACACGCACACAACATGCGGCAGGTGTGCGCACCTTGGCTTGGTCATCGGGCCGGGGCGATCGGCCGGGAGAGGGAAGGGTGGCGGAGAGCGCGTGTTTGAGGTGGGCGTGTACGAGCTCCTTGAGCTTGAGCGTGTCGGCCGTCGCCAGCGTGAGCGCGGCCTCGTTCTCGCCCTTCGTCTCTTCCGTGTATTCGAGTCGCCCGCCCAACACCGCCACGGTCCCGGCGCCGTTCGTGATGCCGCTGCCGATGCCGCTCTCGCTGCCGCCGCCGCCGTCCTCCGTCGAGGCCGTCATCGTCGTCGTCGTCGAGGCCTTTTCGCTCTCGGCCGCCCGCCGCTTCTTCTCCTTTTTCTTTTCTTTCTTCTCCTTCTTCTCTTTCTTATCTTTCTTCTCTGTCTTCTTGTCCGTCTTCTTGTCCTTCTTTTCTTTGGTATCCATCTTGTCCTTCTTCTTGCTCTTCTTCTTCTCCTTTTCCTTCTCCTTCTTCGCGTTGTCTTCGTGGTCGCCGTCACCGTCGCCTCCTCCTCCACCACCTTCTGTTGTTGTTCGTCGGTCGTGCTGCTGGCTGCCGTCTCGCGCCTGCTGCTGGCTTCGCAGCGTGCGCAGCATATCGGCGATGAGCCGCACCTCGGCCAAAGTCGGGCGTCGGCCGTGTAGGGACTCGGCGAGGTCGAGCGCGAGCACTACGGCGCGGCCAGCCAGCTCGTCCCGCGTCAGGCGGCCGGCCATGGTCGACAGGGTGGCGCAGGCGGCGGTCTTCTTGGGGTTGAACTGCTCCTGCATCTTCTTGTGGCTCATGAGTGCTCGGGCGCGCAGGTCGGGCTTGGGCTTGGCCGCAGCGGCCGCTGCGGATGAAGATGAAGATCCTGCGCCCCCTTGCAGGGAATCGAGGAGTCTGCCTCGAGGGGATGTTGTGGTGTCGCTACGCGGCGAATCTTCGGTGTTCATCGAATCGCCACCTTCGCCTCCTCCATTACTGCCACCGCCGGATTTCGTGAGCTTGCCTCGCGGCGACATAGGCTTGCCGCCCTTGCCGATGAGGGCGGGCCACGTTCTCTCCTTCCCTGTGTCTTGACTCATTCTTTCGACCGATCTCGAGGGGGATCTGTGCAGAAGAATCGATGCTGTTCGATTTCAGAGACGATGTAGCTGCCTCGCGTGAAGGGGATGGTGATGAAGTGCGTGCCTCGGCTGCTTCTTCTTCTGTCGCTACCTCCTTTTCGATGAGATGCTGCCTCTTCGCTGCCTTCCTTCGTGGCTCTTCTTCCTTCTGCTCCACTGAGACCACTTCTACTTCTGCGTCTTCTTCTTCGCAGTAGCCGAATGGAGCCTTGCGTTTCCGCGAGCTGGCTGCCTCGAGATTAACGTTGCGCAACGTATTGACTAAATGAGGGCGACTGTGGCTCGAGCACCTATCAAGAAATAGAAGATGGAGGGTGAGCGAGAGATCGAATCACCGCACCCAGGAAGAAAAGCAGGGGCTGAATAAATTCCATTTAAGTGCCCCTTAACAGATGAAAACACAAACTGCCGCAACCGAAAAGAATAGATAGGCTTCGCCCTTGTGGGTGATCATCTTGGGGAAGAGAAATTGGGGGAGGGGGAATCAAGGCCACACACGTACTGGAAAAGGCAGAGTAATTGCTGCCTGAAGATGGCTGGAAAGAGAGGAGAGGAGAGGCGCTTTCGTGCCGGCAAGCTTCTTCTACTCTTCTCTCTTGCTCTGCGATCTACGCCCTCTTTTCCTTCAATCCTTGACACAACAAATCGATGCTGCGGTTTTACGTCTGCCCTTCCGTGCCGGACAATTTCCAGACACCGCCATTGCGTGGAGGCCGGACATGTGCATACTGGTGGTACAACTTTGGTGGTTTTACTTGTGTGTGCTTGGTGAAGCCACAGGCGTGTCATCTCCCTCTTCCTCCTCTTCCGACAGTTGATCAAAACGTGTGTCTAAATACATCAATGCATCATCCCCATGGGGATCTCACGTGGCTGGCTTGTCCACGACCATTGCAGCTCGCTTGGGTTTGGGTGGGGGGCGTTCCTTGTAGTGTTGGTGGTGCGTCGTGTGAGCAGCAGCATCAGGGGCCTTTGGCTGTTGGCTGGTGGTGCTGCCGGCGAGCGCAGGCGACTCACTTCCTGCCGCCCCGGGCGTAGTCGTCGTCGCCGGTGTACCTGACGTAGCCGCCCAGGTCGACGCTGCCGCCGGCCGAGAAGAGCTGGCTGTACTGCGAGCCAGGACAGGGGAAGCGCAGATCGAGCGCCTTGGAGAGCTTCTCGACCAGCTCCGGCAGCGAGGGATACGTGTGCTCGTCGTTCACGCTGAAGCCCTCCGCCGAGTGACTGATGCCTGTTGGTCGCAACACGACGATCGCGTGAGCACGATCAGTCGACGTGTGCGGTGGCTGTGTGTTGTGTTTGCGTGTGCGGTGTGCGGTGTGCGGTGTGCGGTGTGCGGTGTGCGGTGTGCGGTGTGCGGTGTGCGGTGTGCGGTGTGCGGTGTGCGGTGTGCGGTGTGCGGTGTGCGGTGTGCGGTGTGCGGTGTGCGGTGTGCGGTGTGCGTGTCAAGATAGGGAGGGTCGTACGGATGTGGGCGACCTTGCCGTTGGCGGACACCTTGGAGATGGTGAAGCAGCCAGGGTGGGAAGGGTTGGTAGAGAACCGCACCAGGAAGCACCCCGCACCCTGGCCGTTGAGCCGTCTCTGCGCCTCGCCCGTCTCGATATCACTGCGCACGCGTTCATGAAGTCATCAGAACACGATCGCACGACACGCACGACACACGGTACGACACGCACACGACACACAAAGTGGGTGGGGTGGGAATAGATACCCGTGGAACCAAGCCTCCTGGAGGATCTCGCGGATGGCGTCGAGGAAAGGAGTGCGATCCTTCTTCTTGATGAGAGGGCCGAACCAGTTCAGGATGTTGCCGAAGCGCTCCACGTTGACGTAGCCCTTCTTGTCGCCCGACTTGTTGTCGTGGTTGACCAGCAGGGTCTTGAGGCATCGCAGGTTCAGGATCTCGTTGGCCGGCACGTGGTCTTCGGCGAACTTCTGCGAGGCGTCGCCGGCATTGATCTCGAACTCGCCCGAGGCCGAGAGGTTGCCGCCGGTCCCCACCAACAGGTACGGAGACACCTGCACAAGAGTGCGTCGTCAGTGATTGAGTGATTGGAAAAAGCGAGACAGTGTTCCGCACACGCACACGCACACGCACACGCACACGCACACGCACACGCACACGCACACGCACACGCACACGCACACACCTCGTCCGGAGTGACGTCGTCTTCGGGGCGGTCAATTCTGAGGAATTTGTAGAAGGTCTCCACGAAGTGGTCCCATTCGGCCTCCTCCATCCGGATGAAGTTCTCCTGCCAGAAGCGACGACCCTGCAGGTAGAGACGAGACGAAAGCCGAGTAAGTCCTCTACGCACACACGACTCGAGAAAAAGAAGAAGAAAAAGAAGACAACAGAAAGAGAAAAGGTGTGAACGCGGCGGTTACCTGTTCGTCGTAGATGGCCGCGTGGATGAGGATGATGTCCAAGTGGTTGTTGACGTCCTCGAAGTTGGGCCTCTTCCTCGGGTCGGGATGCCTAACCACGATGCGCAGCAAAATGCAAACATTAATTTTCCTCAATCAAGTGCTTCGTCTCCTTCATCATCTCCTCCACATTGTTTGATAAAAAGGAGGAGGGAAGTTGCTAAGCGCACCAGCAGGCCTCCATGAGTCGCCGGAGAGAAGGCGGGCAGTTGTCGGGAATGGGCGGCCGTTCGTGGCGGTCGCACACGGCCTCGGTGAACTCGTCGTAGTCGTCGTAGTGCGCAAACGGCTCCTTCCTCGTGAGGATCTCCCACAGCACGATACCAAAGCTGTGATGCACCGGATCAGCGCCCAAGCCCTCGAACAACAACATCAACAGTGGGCTGCGTTGGGTACCTGTAGACGTCGGACTTTTCGTCGAAGGGCTGGCCCATCATCACCTCGGGAGGCATGAAGAGGGGCGTCCCCTTGGCGCCGTTCTTCGGGTCCTGCAGCCAGGCGCGCTCCTTCGGCTTGATCTCGCTCAGACCAAAGTCGCCTGAATTCATCGATTCATCGCCACACCATCGATCGTCAGCCACGACGTGCGGCGTGGACCCACATATGAATGACAAATAACTCGAATTCCACCCGCTACAGCCCCAAAATGACCGCACAGCGAAAGGAATTTGAACTAGGCAACTGCGTAGCAGCGGCAGCAGAAGAGGGAACGTACAAAGCTTGACGCGGTAGAGATTGGCGGTCTTCTCGATGAGCAAGTTGGCCGTCTGTTGGTGATGACCACGGAATGTGACGTGCATGTCGTGAGTCTCCCACCCTCCGGAACAAGAACAGCCTCGAGCGGCTTACACTGAACGCACCTTGAGGTCGCGATGGATGATGGTCGGGGTCGAGTGGTGCAGCCAGTTCATGCCCAGCGCTGCGTCGTCGCCACCAATACAAGGCATCATGAGGTGAGTGCTCTTCCAGAGGAGAGGAAAGTGCGTGTTGTGTGTTTCGTGTGTGTGTGTGTGTGTGTCGTTGGGCACCAGCATCCTTGGCCATCTTCATGCGCTCGTAGAGGCTCAGGCTCACGTCACTGTGGAGAAGCGTCTCCAGGTCTGGCTCGCGCGCAGTGGCCACCGAGTGTGAGTGCGGCGAGAAGACAAGTCGCGGTCGAGCCATCGACACACGGTGTGGACCGTACGTACCGGTGTCCATGAGTTCGGTGACGATCTTGAATTTTCCCGGAACAGTGCAGGCGCCCATGAACAAGATGATGTTTGGATGGTGGTTGGTACTACACGCAGCCATTCATTTCATTTCATTTCAATTAATTACCTCCACAACGCCCAGGAATCGGTGCCGGCGGCGGGGGGGGGAGTACCTCATGATTTCGACTTCCTTACGGAAGGCGGCGAGCTGCTCGCGGTTGAGATTCTGAACGACGGGAATCTTGACGGCGACCTCCTTCTGGAAGCATGAGCCCTTCCACACGGTACCGAAGCAGCCCGTACCCAGCTTGGTCGAAAATTTAACCTCATTGTCGTCGATTTCAGGGCCATGAAAGAGTTTCTGGCCTGTGGGGGCAGAGGGGCGGCGAGGCTGAAGCCCTGGCGGTTGTTGGGCTCGCATTTCGGCTTGGGATAGAAGTGAAGAAGAAGAAGGTGCTGTCTTTAAGATGGAGCCGATTCGAGGAAATGAGAGGTTGCTCCAACGATGCTAAGAAACTAGGTGGTGTTTCTTCTTGTTCTAGATCTCCTTCTCCTTCCTCTTGTTCTCTCCACGCCCAACAAGTGTTTCGACGGGAGCGAAGGCTGTCAAGAAATATGTTTTCCGTTCACATTTCCTGCGGAAAACAATTTTCTTGGATTTTGAGATAGGCCCATCAGCGTTCTTCTGCCTTGACTCCATTCTCACCACACAAGCAAGAGACAGAACCTCCATTCAAGCCTCCCCATTTGTTAGTCCCTGGCAGCTGCCAGAACAGAATGATTCAAAAAGGCCACCACCCAGGCAGCCCTATCTTGAGGGAGTTGAAGGTTGGGCTGGCTGAAGTAATTTCAGACACAGTGGCCAAAATTTGGGTTGAGAGTTCAAAATTGAAAACGAACAATAAACGAACAAGAAGCCAGCCACAACAAGGGAGTGTTCCTACTCATCTGCTCCCAAGCGACGAACGACGGCCCAAGGCCGCACTGTCGCTGCCCCGCCCTCTTGCTGATCGCTTCGCATCCAAAAACATTACATCACCGCTGAATCTCTTTCTCTTCATCTTTCTTCTCCCGCTACGTGCTGCCTCTTCGTTCCCCTGAAAACGGCCCGACCGGCTCTGCATCTCCTCACGTCATCTCCTCTCGCGCTCGCGGACAATTGACCGACGATTCAAATTGAATTCAAATTTGAACTCAACAGCGAGCCATGTCCTGGCAAAATGGAGGCCTGAGCCCCACCCACTCATCGTCATCCTTATCGACTTCTGTATCTGCGATCTCCTCCTCGTTGCCGCCCAGCGCCATCCGCGCCCAGCCGGGCAAGCGCGACTCCATCATCCTCCGCAGCCCGGCCGAACGTAGAGTGCATCCATCATCGCCCTCTTCATCTGCGCGTTCGTCCCTCTCCCTCTCCTCTTCGTCCCTGCCCTCCACCCCGACCATCTTCATGGCCATGGCCGCCTCCTCTTCTTCCTCTTCCTCTCTTGCCTCCTCTTCCAGCGACTCATCCGCATCTACGTCGCATCTGCCCTCCTCCGCGGGCTCCGTCCCCACACGCCGCGCGGACCATTACGACCCCTATCTCTCCTCGTCCCCGTCTTCGCCTCTATCATCACCATCATCATCATCGTCGTCGTCTTCTTCTTCTACTTCTTCAGCATCGCTGACCACCACCTCGCTCTCGTCCGCGCTCTCGGCCACGGACGTGGCCTCGGCCCCGCCGCTGGTGCTGCTCAACGTCTACTGCCCGGACCGCGACGTGGGCATCCGCCTCCAGTTCACCCCGGCCTCCACCGTCGAAGAGGCCATCGACCAGACCGTGCGCCGGCTCTTCTCCGCCCTGCCGCCTCCTCCGCCCGCCTCGTCCGCCACCACTTTGACCTCGTCGTCGTCGTCGTCTTTACCGTCTTCGTCTTCGTCTTCGTCTTCATCGTCACCATCGCCTTTTTCTTCGTCGAGCTCTTCGATCTCGGCGTTCGGCGGCGGCGGCGATCAGGGGGCGTCGCTCGAGGAGGCCATACGGAAGCCGTGGCGCTTCCTGTGCCTGGCGAGCGGAGCAACGAGGGCGGCTCGCCGTTCTTCCTCTACCGCGAGCGCACCCTCGCCTCCTACAACCTACGCGACGAAGTACCGCAGCTCTCCGCCACCGCACACGTCGCACACGTCGCACACGTCGCACACGCACACACGCTAACGTGTGGAATCACGACTTTGTTTGCAGGACGAATTGGATCTGGTGTTGCCCGACAGGCCGCCGCAGCTGGTGAAGATCTCCATTCGCGACAACCAATCCAGCTATACGCAGCGCGTCGAGGTACAGTGCACGTTTCTCTCCATGCGCGCGCGTGTGTGCGGTGGTGCGTTGCATCTGAGCCGGCTGTTGTTCTCTCGAGCACAGGAGGACACGACTGTGTGGGAAGTGGTGCACAAGATCACGCGCAAGATCGCCGACTCAGCCCAGCATCCTCTGGTACGCCCTACGCGCGCTCGTCCTTTTATTTGTATTTTGTATTTTGTATTATTTTTGTATTATTTTTTTGTTTTTTCTGTTGTTGGCCATCAGCCAACGCACAGTGGTTGGTGCAATGCAGGACGAGTACGCGCTGTTCACCGCCGACGGCAAGTCTCTGAGGGAGGACGACCTGCTCGCTACCCACGCGCCGAGCATTGCGGTACTCTCTCTCTCTCTCTCTCTTTCTCGCCTCACATTTGTGTCGTTTACTTGCGACCGCTCCTGTATGGAACCGCCGGTGTTGGTGCCTGACCGCGGCCCTGTCTGCAGACGAAACTAGAGTTTCGGCGAATGCACCAGCAACTGAAGGATCTCAATCAGCTTCACCTGCGTGTCGTTAATACCTGCGGCGACCAAAAGGGTACGCAATGTCTACGGCTCGCGCTTTGCCTGACATCGATCATTCATCACGCACACTTGTAGCTCATCACACACGCACGCACACACACGCACACACACGCGCACACACGCACACACACGCACACACACGACACACACGACACGCACGACACACACGACACACACACACACGTCACGTCACGTCACACGCAACGCGGTACAGGGTTGAACGAGTGTCTGTTGGGTTTCAACCGGACCGCCCTGGTGAAGGACGTGCTGCGGCGTGCGCTCAAGCTGTTCCCTATCAAGGACCGCTTCAGCGCCGCCCTCTTCGTCCCGGCCTCACAGATGTGGATGCCCCTCGCGGCATCTCTCGACGAACTCCGCCTCGAAGAAAACGTGCGCCCACTCCCACCCACGTCCTGTGCCTGCTCTTCTCACTGTGTGTCGTGTGTCGTGTGTGTCGTGTGTGTCGTGTGTGTCGTGTGTGTCGTTCAGGCTGTGATTGAGCTGCGACCTTTGTACAAATCATTCACGCTGACCGTTCCTTTGGGCAAAGACCGGATCACGTACGCTACTCACCGCCCTATATCTCTGCATACACTCTTACGCGCGTGTCGTGTGTGTCGTATGTCTTTGGTCGTGTCGTGTCGTGGGTGTTGCAGGGATGTGTACAAGTTCCGAGCGCACGACACGGTGCAGGACCTGTACGATCTGCTTCTCTTCAACAACCTGCAAGTCAGCGAGTCCAAGGAGAAGTACAAACTGTGCAACAAGGCCGGCGTCGAGTTCCGCCCGCAGATGCCCATCTGGTCCTACGGCATCAAGTCGGTATGCACACGTCCCCCCAACCACATTCCAAGCGTTCCCTCACACTTGGCAACACACACGTTGTACAGTTTGAGGTGCGGGTCAAGCTGCAGCCGGTCGCGATTGTGATCATGGGCCGCGAGCAGGTGGTCGACATCGACTTCTCGGCGCCGGTGGACGACGTGATCCGGGTCATCTGCCGCCGCTTCCGCATCGACACCACGCAGACGGACAAGCTCACGCTCCACTCGCCCGCCGTGCCCGCGGCGCTCAACCCGCGCAGCTCGCTCAACGACCAGAACGTGCCGCCCTCGTGCGCGCTCATCGTTAAGATGGCTGCGGCTCAGCAGCTGCCCACGCCCAGCGGGGCGGCCAAAGCCGGTGACGCCGGCGGCGACGGGGCCAAGGGCCTGGCCATGGCCGCCGCGGCGATGGTGGCCAAGCGGTCGGGCAAGGGCAGCGAGAAGCCGCCCAAGGCCTCCAAGGCGGGCGGCGGCAAGGACAAGGACGGCGCCGCGGGCGATGGCATCACCGTCGGCACCGTCAAGGTCTCCCTCGAGCAGCTCCCCTCCACCCTCACCATCGGTACCATTATTTTTTATTTAATGGTTAATTGTTCTTTTTTGTAATGTTATTTCTTTATTTATTGATTTATTATGTTGCAGGCAAGGAGGACACGGGAAAGTACGGCGAGCGGGTCAATATATGGACCGAGCCGGAGGGTCCGCAGTACTGCACGCTGGAGACGGGGACCGACGGCAAGACGGTCCTGCTCGCCGGCACCCTCAACAAGCTCGTCATACACCTCACCTCCGCCACCGCCACCGGTAAGCACACAACACACAAACACAAATGCACAAATGCACAAATGCACAAACACACAGCACACACAGCACACACAACACACCTTCCTTCTCGCTCGTACTGCGATGGCTAAGCCCTGGTGTTGCGTCGTTGTCGTGGTATGATCTCAGATGTGCGATACATGCACGCGTTTTTGATGACCTATCTTTCCTTTACCAATCCGCGCACGCTCCTCAACAAGCTCATCGAGCGGTACCCGTTCTCTCTGTGTGACGTGATTTATCTATTTCTTTTATCTGTTTCTTTTATCTTATTTTTCGTTTTTGATTTCGTTTTCGTTTTCGCGCTTTCTGGTCTGTCTGTGGTGCTTACCCGTCGATGTCCTGCGCACAGATACCACGTACCGGCCGCGACCCACTCGGACTCCGAGGTGAAGCGAATCCAGCTGCGAGTGTGCAACGTGCTCAAGTATTGGGTGTCGCAACACTTTGACGATTTCGACCACGACCTCATCCAGACCGTGGTCAATTTTGTCGACGAGAGCCTGGCCGTCGACGGCCACGACTCTGTGACCGGCGTACTCCGCAACGCCATCGTGAAGCGAGTACGTGGCCACACCCCACCCCAAACCCCATCCATCCACATTCCACTGTTGGAATGCGCCACGTCACGCACTGACGTGTCATTAACTATTTTATTTATGTATTTGTTTGTTGTTGGCAGACATGTGGGCTGAAGAGCCGCGTCACCCGAGGCCGCGTCCTAATCGTCAGCAAGGGCTCCACCGCCCCTGCGCCCAAGGTATTACGAGAGCCTCAATCGATCAACCCTGGCAACCCTAACACCGCACGCACCGCACCGCACACGCACGCATGACGCAGTTGGAACGGAGGCACGAGAAGTGGCGGCGGTCCGTGCAGGTGGGGGCGGAGGTGGTGTCGGGCGCGGGCGCGGACGTAGCTATGTCCATTTTCGATTTTGACGAAGAGGAGGTCGCGCGCCAGCTCACCCTCCGCGAGTTCCTGCTCTACCGCGAAATCAAATCGTCCGAGCTGCTCGACCAAGTGCGTGCGCCCATCTCAGTGTCGTGTGCGGTGGTGTGTGTGTGAGTGTGTTGCGTGCGTGTGTGTGTGCGGTGCGTGTGATGCGTGCGGCTAAACGCTCGATGATGACGACGATGACGATGTGCCACAGGCGTGGAACAAGGAGAAGCTGCACCACAAGGCGTTCAACGTGTTGCACATGATCCAAAAGTGGAACGAAACGTCGATGTGGGTGATCTCGCTCATCCTCGAGCCCGTCAAGGCCAAATACCGCGCCAAGCGATGGGAGTCGCTCATCAAGATAGCCAAGGTACACCCCCCCCCCGCACGACACGACACGCATCGCACGACACGCACCGCACACGGCGCACGGTCGCTTACGATTTCTTCTCTTTTCGTTGGGCGCAGCACGTGGAGCGAATGAACAACTTCAATCTGCTGATGGCGCTGGTGAGCGGGATGAACAACGCGTGCGTGGCGCGGCTCAAGTGGACCAAGGCGCTCATGTCCCGCAAATCGCTGGAGACCCTGGAGCGACTGGAGACGCTGATGTCGCCCGAGGGGTCGTACAAGGCCTACCGCGAGACCCTCGCCTCCATCAACCCGCCCTGCATCCCCTTCATCGCCGTCCACTTGTCCGATCTCGTGTACGCAAACCACCCGTGTGTCGTGTGCGGCGGTGTGTGAGTGTCGTGTCGTGTCGTGTCGTGTCGTGTCGTGTCGTGTCGGCGTGTCGGCGTGTGTGTGTCGTGTGCGCTGAGCTCACTGAGATCGGGTTCAGATTTATGGAAGATGGCAACCCTGACGAAACCAACGGACTCATCAATTGGTACAAGCGGAGCCTCGTCCACAGGTACGCTTCAGCTTCTTCTTCTTCTTCTTCAGCACCTGCTATGTTGAGCTCCATCACAATGATGGACGATGCAGCTAAACAACACAACACGCAACACACCAAACAACACACCAAACAACACAGGGTGATAGACCTGTTTGGGCAATACCAGAACAGTGGGTACAACTTGACCTACGTGGGCGCGGTGGCGACCTTCCTGGACGACATGACATGCCCCAGCGAGAAGGAGCTCTTCGAGGTGTCCCTCCAGCGCGAGCCGCGCAATGCCCAGAAGAACCAGATCCTCTGATCCAAGAGAGGCCTCTGGCTCCACCCAAGTGTAATTTAAATATACCAAACATTCCTGCTTTTTCATTTACTTTCCTTTTTAGTTTTCTTGATCTTTTCATTGAATTAAAAATTGGTTTTAAAATCAATTCAAAGATGGAGGGTGCGACGGCAGGTGTGGGGCACGGTGCTGCGGCGGTGGTGCTGGACGTGGACGGAGTGCTGCACAAGGGGCCAGAGCCGATCGCCGGCGCGCGGGAGGCGCTGGAGCGGCTCGAGGCCGCCGGGGTGCCGTTCATCTTCGTCACCAACTCCGGCGGAGAGACCGAGGAGGGCAAGGCCGCGCACTACCGCCGCCTGCTCGGTTGGGACGCCATCTCGCCCGCGCGCCTCGTCCAGTCCCACACCCCCATGCGCGGCCTGCTGCCCCGCTTCGCCGACCGGCCGGTGCTGGCTGTCGGCTCTTCCGTGGCCTCCGCCACCCGCGTCATGACCAAGTACGGCCACCGACTTTTTATTTATTTTTTTCAATTTATAACAGAATCAAATTATAATTATAATTATATTTATAATTATTAAAACCAATTTAATTTAGCTGACGGCCCGGCTGTAGCTATGGCTTCACGAACTTTGTGACGATCCAGGAGTTCGCGCGGCGGCACCCGTTCCTGTACCCCTCCAAGCGCTACGACGAGGTCGAGCCGGCGGCGGAGACCACAGCGCCCCGTGCCCCCGCCGCCGCCACGGTGTTCGAAGCCATCTTCATTTTGAACGTACACACCAGTTGCACGCCATCGCACCGCACACACCGCACGCGCACACGCAACACACCCGCGAACGATATACTTTTAACGATGATGAAACCCGTGCAGCATCCGGAGGACTGGGGCGAGGCCTTGCAGATCTGCGTGGACCTCGTCCTCACCAACGGCAACATTTTGGACACCTCCAGGCGAGCCGCGCCAATCACCGTACAACAACCGCACACGCACACGCACACGCACACCACACGCACACCACGCACAACCGCACACGCACGATCGCACACTGCACACGCACAACCGCACACGACGCACTGTGCATGTGTGCTTAGGAAGAGGCTGGCGACGAGGAGCAGCAGCAGCTCCCGGTGTTCCTGGCCAACCCGGACCTGGCCTACGCCAACCAGTTCCACCTGATGCGATTCACCAACGGCGCATTCCACGTGTGCCTTGAAGCCCTGTACAAGGTGCGCCGCACAACAACACAACCACCAACCATCAAGTTTCGCTGTTTCTCATGCGTGTCATGCGTGTGTCGTCTCGTGTGCGTGTGTGCGGTGGTGTGTCGTGGTGTGTGGTGTGGTGCGTGTGGTGCGTGTGTGCGTGTGCGGTCGACTGACAGAGCGTTAGCGGGCGGGAGCTGAAGAGCGTGCTCTTTGGCAAGCCCTATCGGGCCACCTACGAGTACGCCATCCGCCGAATCACGGAGCTGCTGGAGCAGCGAGGCCACGCCGAGCCGCCACAGCGCATCTACGCCGTCGGCGACAATCCACTCTCCGGTACCTATGACATTATTTTAACATTATTTGTGTTTATTTCTTTATTTGTGTTTGTTATTTTATTTTGTATTTTACATTTGTTTGCTGCGATCAGACATCAAGGGCGCGAATGGAATGGGCTGGACTTCGATTCTGGTGCGCACGGGCTGCTTCCAGAGCACCGACGATAACGACTCGCAGCACCCGGCCACCCACGTCTGCCCCTCCATCACCGGTACTAACCACTCCCACCTTTCGCCTCAACAAAAGAAACAAAAGACAAGTGTTGACCATGCTTGCATGTGGCTCTTCTTCAACAACACACAGAGGCCGTCGACTACATCCTGCAACAAGAGGGCCTCGCGCACTGTTAGAAGAGGGCCTCCGTGTGTGTGTGTGTGTAAATGGAATTCAAAAATGATGACAACTCAACCACAATCAAGACAGCGAATCGGTTCGGCCCTTGTCGTTGCTGCTGTCGAGCGATGACGACGATGACGATGACGATGGACCAGACGAAGACGACAATGAAAGTGATGACGACGATGACGACGATGTCGACGGCGGCGATGATGACTCTCCTCGCTCCCGGTTGCGGTCGACCACCTCCTTCTCGAGCTTCTGCCGTCGCTCGTTGAGAGTCCGCACGAGCTTCTCGACCTGGTCCTTCGGGGCCGCCGCCCCGCCGGCGCCGTCGTCCTTCTGGTTCGGTGGTCGGCCGGCCCAGAGGCCGCCCGGCCCGGAGGTCTTCTGGAGGGTGGCCATCTCCTCGCGGATGGCGCTGCGCACCTTCTGCAGCTCCAGCTCCAGCTCCTCGTCCCGGTCCATTTGCTGTGTGCGCACACACGTGCGCACACGATCGCACACACGTACGCACACGATCAGATATGACACGCAACGACACACGCGCGCGACACCACACGCACACGGAAAGCAAGCGCACCTTGCGGAAGTGGAGGATGAGCCGAATCTTGCCGCTGACGAGTTCACCGTCCTTGCGGGCCTCGAGGGTCCACCAGCGGTCGCTGCTGTTGATGAAGAGCTTCGGCGACGCAAAGCTCAAGCACCCCTATCGCTCCATGATGGCGCAGAGTCAGCAACACGACACACACACACACACGGCAAGATCGCACACGACCGCACACACATGAGACACGCACCAAAAATTCGCCGGAGCCGATGACGTTGTAGTCCCACACCGTGAGCCACAGCTTATGAGCCTCCTCTTGCTTTACATTACTGTGCAACGCATTTGCCATAATGTGCGTTACGTCCAAATATGAGCAAATACTAAATCAAATGTAAATGTAATTAAATAATTAAATAATTAATTAAATAATAAAATAAATAAACAGGGAAGGGCGCGTACAAGAGGAAGTGCTCGCGCCAGCGCGGGTTGAGGTTCTTAAATACAGTGCGGGTGGTGCACTTCTGCTTCCCGTACTTGACCACCACGTACGGGTTGCTGAACCCGCGCTTGTCTCGCGCCACCAGATCCTTGGCTTCGATCACTGTTTGGCAACCAACAGCATTTTGTTACCAACCGCACACGACACAACACCCGACAACACACACACACATGACACGACACGACACGACACACACACGACACACAACGGACCTTCGATGCTGAGGAGGTGGTCGAGGGGCGACGTGTAGGGCTTGGCCTGGTCGGACCACAGCGCCCAGCGGCGCAGGGCGGGCAGGCCCTTCTCCTGCTGCTGCTCTGCCGGGGCTCCTCCGCTCTGGGCCTCCTTCCCGCCCGCGGCCTCGCGGCCCCGCACGGCCGGTGCGTCGTAGGCCGAACCCATCTCACTCAGCAGCCGCAGCTCCTTCTCACGTCGCTTCCTGCTTCCATTTTTCAGCACTCGCACACACAAGCACCACCGCACACGCACGCGCGCGACGGCACACGCGCTACCGCACACGCACACGCACATGCGCCACCGCACACGCGCACGCACGATTGCACACACGCACCTGGAAAGTTCGGCGGCGGTTTCTTCAAAATTGTTGTAGTACTGGTGGAGCATGGCCCGCTTCTGCTCGAGCAGGGCGATGCGATTGCGCTGCTCGCTCAGGCTCGCCAGCATCCGTTGCAGCTTCTCGTTCTCCAGCGCCAGCGCTTGTTTCACCTCCTCGAATTCTATCGTGTGTGCGTGTGCGTGTGCGTGTGCGTGTGCGTGCGTGTGTGCGTGTGTCGTGTGTGTCGTGTGTCGTGTGGTGTCGGTGTGTCGTGTGTCGTGTGAGGAGTTGGATAAACGGAAGCCGAGCAAGAGACTGCCGGCTGTACCGGCGGTGGTCCTGAATTCGGTCGACTGATAGAACTTGGGCAGGATCGAGCAGTGCACGAGCTCCTGAATGGCCCGCTGCGACTCGTCGAACATCTCCCTGCATGTGTGTTGTGTGTTGTGGGTGTGGGTGTGTGGGTGTGTGTTGTGTGTGTGGTGCGTGTGTGTGATTAGAACATTACTACACCCGAACACAAAAGGAAGGCCGATATGTACTTGGTGGGGTTGTCCAGCTTGGCCTTCACATTCCGCCCCATCGTGACGTCCACATTGATTTGCTTGGGCGCCTCCTAATGTATGTGCGGTGTGTCGTGTGTCGTGTGTCGTGTGTCGTGTGTCGTGTGTCGTGTGCGGTGGTCGTGTGTAAGCGCAAAACAAAAGAAAAAAGGCCAAATAGAGGACAACGAAGGAATGAAGGGGAAGCGCGTACCGGGGCCATGAAGGTGGAGTAGATGTGCTCGGCCGACTGTTTGATCGTGTCCATCGCACCCTCCTGCATGGCATTGGGGAACAAATTCCTGCGGTGGTCCACGCCCAGCGTTGGGCGATGACGTCAGCAAGCCACATTAAGAAGAGCAAGAACGAAAGAACGAAAGCGAAAAAAAGAATGAAGGCATTGATTGAAAAACGAGAGTTGTCGTACTTGTAGCGATGCACGGCGACGTAGAATTCAATGTTCTCGGCGCAGAAGGTCTTCTCGACGTGATGGTGGAAGATCCTCCGCATCGACGTGTTGCGCAACACCTGCTCCAGCGTGATCGGCGAGGCCTGGCGCAGGAACGAGGGCTGGTCCAGCACGCTGCCAAATGCGTCATGTGCCACGTCAGCCAAAATGGAATGGAATGCACGGAATGATGATAGTTACTGTGTGTGTGTGTGTGCGTACCTGTGGAGCCGCGCGTTCTGCGACGACGAGCGTAGCACGCGACGAGGCAGCGGCGAGCCCGCCGCGTCGGTTGTCGGCTCGCGCGCGTCGGATTGGATCTCGTCCCGCACCAGCACCGTGCCCATCCCTATCGCGTTGCCCACCCCAATGCCCCGCACCATGTCCAGCTCCTCCACTCCGCCGCCGCCGTTCCGTGGCGACGACGGTGACGATGACTGGTCCTCGAGGTCGAGCTTGTCGCGGGTGCAGTCGCCCCACTTGACCTTCATCATCTCCGACCGCGACACGTTGGGGTTGCTGGCGCTGCGGCCGCTGCGGCCGCTGGGGCCGAGCCCGCCGTCGGTGCTGGTGGTTGAGGGGTAGTCGTCGAGGCTGAGCGGGTCGCTGGCCCGGTTCGAGACCCAGGCGCCGGCCTGCTGCTTGAGCTGCTTGGACTTCTCGGTTCGCCTCAGGGCCGGTTCGCCCAATGGACTCGGCCCTGGAATGCCAGATGTGAGTTGACAACACGCATAACGCACGCACGGACACGCACACGACACGACACGCACACGACACGACACGACACACACAGTGTCGCAAGGTTACCGGTGTTGAATCGTTTGCGGAGGGCCATGACGGCGCGTCGCTTGGGTGCGATGACGGCCTCGTCCGTCGGCAGGTCGTGCGCAGTGTCTGGCCCTCCGATGCCGCCAGCCTCTCGCTTGGCTGGCTCGGCCTGCTGCAGGCCTGGCGGCGCGCCGTGGCTGACGGCCCCGTCTGCCACATCGTCGCCGCTCGCCGACGCCGACCTGCTCCGCTCTGCGCCAGCGCCGGCCTGGTTTCGCTCCTCAGCCGCCGCCGCGGCGCTGTCCTTCCGCCCGCGCTCCCGCGGCGTCCGCGTCTTGTTACTCCCCGCGCTGTCGCTCAGCTGGGTTGCGACCGGCGCGCTGTCGCCACTATCGCTGAGGCTGCTGTTGCTCGGCCGCCGGCTGCCCTGCTGCGATCGGCTGCCGCCCGCAGCCCCGGCCCCGAGCGCTGTCGCTGTCTGCTCGGTCGCGCTCTGGCCGTCACGCTGGCGCCGGCCGGGGCTCAGAAGCAGGTGCGCCATCTTGTCCAGCAGCGAACTCTTGCGGCCTCCGCTCTTGGGCGCACCGTCATTGCCGGCACCGGGCTCGTCGCCCACACTATGATCGTCGACCCAATTGGGCAGCGGGCGTGGGCGGGTCAGGTCGAGCGGGGCTACGCGCGGAGTGGGCGACCGGTCGGTCAGGCCTCCGCATGGCGCCGGTATCGACGGCTGTCGGGAGGTCGACGGGTCCCTGGTGGAGCTGCTCGGTCGTCGCTCGCGTCGCCCGCCGAGGGAGACGTCAGTCGCAGTGACGTCAGCGCTGAGCCGGACCTCGTCGGTGGCGCCCCGGCCCTCGACTCGACTCCGACTCCGCCGGTGCCGCGGCCTAGCCGCCGCGGTGGCCACGTTGTTCTGCGTCTTGTCCGCCGGCTCGCCCAGGCTCCCGCTCCGGTTGCGCCGCACAACGTTGTTGCCATTGCTGACCTCACCTCAGCAGTCTTGGCCTTGCCGCCACCGCCGCTTCTCTCTTCTCTCTTTCGTTCTTCCTTTCGCTCTTCTCTCTTTTCTGGCGCAGCGCCGGCGTCTTCTGATGGGTCTTTGCTGCCCCGCGAGCCTACGCTGGGCCGTCGCTTGCGCTGCTCGGCCGCCGGCGACGACGGTGCCACGCCCCCGCCTGCGCCAGCGCCGCCTCGCCGCTTTGTCGCTGGCGACGCCGAGTCAATGGCCCTCCTGATCTCTTCCCCACCCGCTGCGTCCCACGAGTCGCTCGCCCGTCTGTCGCGGGTCGACGACGCGTCCGAGCCCGCGCGCCGCCTCCGTCTCTCGTCTGGCTGGCCAGAGGCTGTCGCTGTCGTCGCCTCACGTCTCTTTTTCTTCTTCTTCTCTTCTTTCTTCTTTTCTTTCTTTGTCGTCGTAGTCGTCGCTCTTCGCTGCGGCTCATCTGTTTCTCTTTCGCTTTCGCGTTCGCGTTCTTTGTCTCTTTCTCTGCTCGCGCGTCGGCGTGCCAGCGCTGGGTCTCGGCCTGTCGCGGGCGCTCCGCTCGGCGAAGGGCGACCGCGGAGCCGCCGAGTCCCGCCTGGCCGCCGCCGCCATTGTCGACATTCCATAGTAGACCGCATGGGCCGGCACGCTGCTGGCGAGAGAATTGTCTGGCCCTCCGCTGTTGTTGTTGGCCCTCGCGATCCGCTTCTGCATTTCCTCCATCCCTTCGGCCAGCGTGGTGAAGAGGGCCACGGTCCGCTACGCTCCCGCACGTCGCGCACGGCCGGCGCTGACGTCGGGCTCGCCGCAGGAGCCACCGGTGACGGGTACCCTTCAGCGCTGTCGCCGCGCTGCACCGGCTTGTGCGGCTGCGGCGCCGCAGCGGCGGGGGCAGAGCCGTTCATTCCTCCGAGGCTGACGACAACCATACAAAAATAATTAGTCGTGATATTATTCTAAAAATGTTGTGCTACCCATAAATAAAGATATAGAAATATATTGGCATATTGATCGCGCCAGGGGGGAGCGAGAATCGATTGACGATTGGGCGGCAGAGCGTACGTGGTGTTTGTTCGCCCCCGGCAGGTCGAATCGAGGGGTGTAGAATGCGGGGATGAGGGGACAATCAGAAAAATCAGTTCCTTTCCAAGATGTGCGTAACCCACCAGGCCTTCTTACACTTCCACTTCCAGTTCTGCTAGAGCACGGGCCACTATCGTTAGAGGAAACGTCGCTTAAAAGAAAACGAATATTACCTAAACAAGAAAGACACACCAAAAAAGGATATGACCGTTGAACTGATAATAATCTTTTTATAATTCTGAATGTAAATTATTGGCAATAAGATATAAATAAGTAGCTTTGAGGGAGTGACAATGTACGGATGTAGAGAGCTTCATGTCGGCTGGGCGCGCATCACATCGTCTCGACGAGCGTTTCTTCGAACAGGGGCTTGGTGACAGTGGGCACCCAGCGCGGGCTGCCGTAGATGATTCCGTCGTTGTGATGGGGCGACGCATCGTGCACCTTCCGCCCTTCGCCCTCGTTGAACCCCCAATAGGCCGCCAGACCCTGCACCCGACAATCGATTAACGCCACACGCCACACGCCACACGCAACACGGTACCTTTTCCTCGCCTGTGATTCGTCGGTACCGCAAGTCGCGGATGTCCTGCGGCGATAGGACACGATTGAAGATGGCCACGTCATCGATGAGACCATCAAACACGCCGCCCTTGTGCACCGTTCTCCATCCATCTGCCGACAGACAATGAGAGGAGAGTTCAACTCACACACGCACCAGATGATGAACAACAAAAACGAAAAGAATAACAAAAAGAATTAGAATAGTAATTGTACTGTAGTGGTTCGATGGGTGGCCGATCTTGATGGGATACGAATTGTTGGCCGTCGGGGCGCTCGGGGTCGCTATCTTGTCGAGCCGCCCTATGCACACACGCACGAGCTAAGTGAATTTCTAATTAAACATTTATAGAACTGTATGTAAATGTATATCTCAATGTTATATAAATGTGTATATGTTGAGCGCAACAACATGTGTCCATTTCTGTGCGGTACCGTACCGTTGATATAAAAGCGAACGCCTTCGTTCGCATTACGGAAGGTGACCGCCACGTGGTACCAGACGCCTCGCAGAAGGCGCCTGCCGCCTGTGAAGCAACTGCCGGCAGCGCACAGCCTGGGTGCGAGTCATCATCGAGCGATGAGCCTTAGGCGACATGTGTGCCGTGTTGTGATCGTGTTGCGTCGTGTGCGTCGTGTGCGTCGTGAAATTTGTCGTGTACGTACCTGACGACTCCCCTGCCTTCGGAGGCGTGGCGCACATCGAATGCGTATCCATCGATTTTGCCAGCAGAGGCCTTGTCGATGATGCGCCCATCGTTGATCATGTTGAGGTTGATCCACGCCATCAGCGTGTAGTTGTCCTCCAGCTCCAGCGATCGGCTGGTCGGCACCTGTTGTAGCATCACGCCAGCACACATGCAACACTAACACGTCAATACGACACCACAACACACACACACACACACACACAGAGAGCGACGTACGACAACGGAGTCGTCGGTGAGCTTGATGCGAGTGTCGACACGATTGAACTCAAGCGAAAAAGCATCGATGGTGCCCTTGGGCACGAGCGTAGCTGCAGCCCACACGACGCGGTGCGTTAGTGTCCAGCCATGCACACAGGTGGCCATTATTGAGCGGTACCGTTCGCCGCCCCCGCCGATTCGCCTCTCGCGCCGGCCAGGGCCTGGCACAGCCGGCACTCGGCGAAGAACACGCAGTTGTCGAGCAGCGTCTGAAAGCGCGGCGGCCACGGGTTCTTCTTCCATTCGAAATAGCGATTGTAGGCCTCGTCGTCCTCGTTGAGGCTCAGGAGGAAGTCGGCCAGTTCCTTGGGCGAATCAAAGTCGCGGGTTTCGATGATCGAATTCTCGCCCGGCACCCAGTCGTCAACTGCCGCCACGGGGACAAGGAATAAAGCAGTTAGCAGCAGAACGCGCGTCATGTGTCGTGTGTCGTGTGTGTCGTGTGTGTCGTGTCGTGTGTGTCGTGTGTAATCTCTGTCGAGCGCGTGCGAGTGGTTTTCTTGTACCGTTGGGAGCGCCGCGGTAGACGGGGACAGTGCCGGCGTAGAGGGCGTTGAGCATCTTTTCGGTGACGTAGTCCGCGACCTGATCGTCGTTCTCGAAGGCCAGGAAGAACTTGTACTCTACATTTCATTCAATCAGATAAATAGCAATATATATATATAAAGAATATATACAAGAACATACAAAAACAATATTCAGATACATATACTATGTTTGCGCTAGGGGCGTAGTTTGGCTGTCGTACCGGAGATGGCGCGCATCTTGATCTCCATCAGGTTCCCGAAGGAGTCGTGCCACCCTTTGCCCTCGGGCAGGTTGGCATTATGCAAGCACAGCCCAAAACTGCGAACGGGACGTCGACTCCAATCAGACACGACACACACGACACACACGACACACACGACACACACGACAATCGCTGCACCCTTTGGGCAAAGAGAGGTGGGGCCGCACCTGTCGACTTGAATGTACTGCATGAGTTCCTCCACGTAGGCGGTCCGGGCGACAGCACCACCGCCGTTGCAGTTGGAACTGATGTAGGCGACCTGCGGCCAGCCACGTCAGGGAAGAATTATTAATAATAAAAAAGAAAACACGCCAAGGCAGGCGCTTGTACCAGCTTGTCCTTAGTCTTGGCCGGCGGAGGCTTCAGCAGGTCGGCCGGCGTTTTGCTGCCCCACGGACACATGTACGTGATCTGAACCAGCGAATCCTTGGCGTACGTCATCTGCATGCGTGTGCGTGTGCGGTGGTGCGTGTGCGGCAGTGCGTGTGCGATTCAGCGCGGGGTGTTAGGCCTGCATTATAGCGAGCGAGCCAGACCGCTCGGGTACTTTGTGGTCGAACAGCTCCAAGTACTCCTTGTGCGCAAGCAAACTGAAGGAGTTGGGTTGTTCGTAGGCATACATGACCCACGGCTGGCCCTTCCTCCGCTCGGGCATGTAAGGCGGCCTTATGTCGATGTGTGTTTACCAGATTGGACCATCAGCGCGTGTGCGGCGGTGCGTGTGCGGCGGTGCGTGTGAGCGTGTGCGTGTGCGGTGGGCGTGTGTTCTGGGGCGTTACCTTTCCTTCCATTCGAGGTTGGCTCCGTACCAGCAGCCGTCAAAGAGGAGCGCATCGGCCACCGTAACCTGTGGGGGCACACACACACACGGACGTGTCAGCGCTCTCCACGCGGTGACGCAGGGGTTTGTCACAAAAGTCGTCATCGCCGTCGTACCATGGACTTGTCCCTGGTGAAGGTGCACTTGGTGGGACACTGCGGCTTCCTGATCTCGAACCCAGCATAGTTGGGCGGCGGAATAACCTACAACAAACGCATGAGCCACACACACACACACACACACACCAACGCACGCACGCACGCAAGGACGCACACACACACGCACACACACGCACACACACGCGCGCACACGCACGCACACAGAGTCTCGACGTACGTCGCCAGCTCCCCAGTAATAGGGATTGCCCCACGAGTTGTCCCACAGCACGACCACCACCTCGTCCTGGCCCTTGGTGTGCGGCGACGACGCCAGGCCCACGCCGCGCAGGGACGACTCTGGCTCCGGGTCCTGGTCCGGTCCGTCGGTCGTGGTCGCTGCCGCTGCCGCCGCCGCCGAGTTCTGGTTGTTCGCCTCGGGCTGCAGCTGCTGTGCCTCGGTCATCGCCTGCTTCAGCCTGGCCACTTCCACCATCAGGTCGTCCACCTGCTTCTCCTGCTCCTGGCACTTGTTGTGCGTCTCCATGCCCTCGCGCAACCCCAGCAGCCGCTCCGCTTCCACCCTGGATTTATTTTGTGTATTTCATATGAAATAAAGTAATAAATAAATTTATCAAAATAAAAATAAAATTCAAAAAAGAAAGGCGCAGATGGGTGTGGGTACAGCGCAGCGCATTTGGATTTGGCGCCCACTTCGATGATCTCATCAACCTCCCACCGCGCCACCAACTCTGGATGCCCGCGGAGGAGGGCGTCGCGTTCCATCTTGGCGCCAACGAAGTAACAGTACCACCCGACGAGCACCACAAGCAGCAACACCAACACCAGCGCGTAGATCGTCTTGGCCCTCGGCGCCCCACCGCCAGCGTGCCTCATCTTCTTTGCCTCCAAAACGTAAAACAAAATACAGATAAATAGGCATTTATTTATTTGTGTTTTCGAGGCGCCAATAAATATTACAACAGTCAAGGGCGAGTGCCGGAGGAGTCGGAGCCGAGGCCCGACTGGGCGGGAGGAACGGAGGGCGAGGCGGACGAAGAGGACGACGACGATGATGAAGAGGAGGCCGAAGGCGAGAGGGAGAGGGACGACGACAACGATGACGAAGACGAGGGCGGCATGGTGGGGGCGAGGCTGGTCATGTTGTCGATGAGGAGGGCCTTGGACAGCTGGCGCACCTGGTCGGCCTGCGTGCGCATGAGGTGCGCAAAGTCCTTCACCACCTGCTCCAGCACAAAGTGCTTCAGCTGCCGGGCGCCCACGTCGCTCGCCGCCTCCAGCACCCTCAAAATGTTGTTCCTGCGCATCCAGAACGTATGAGGCGCGTGTGCGGTCGTGTGCGGTGGTGCGTGTCGTGTACCGGTGAAGGTTTTGTGTGATTTGCTTGCTGGCGATAGCCTTGAGCCGATCGTTGGTGAGCCCGTAGAAGCCCGAGGCCGTGAGCAGGTACACCGCTTCATCGGGCGGAGTGTCCACTCGCCCTACACGCATTGGTGAGTCACACACACGACACACACGACACACACACGACACACATGACACACACGACACACGACACGCACCTGTGTAGATATAGTCCAGGAAGCTGGCAAAGGCTTCGGGCGTGGGCTGCACCGAACCGATGACGACGGCCATCTGGCGCGTGTGGAGGTCGCCGCCCTTCATCGTGCTTCGCAGCGCGCCCTGGAAGAAGCCCGTGCGCGCCAACAACATCACCAGATGCGCGCCCAGCGGTTTGCCTGCAGCCAAACAACAATGAGACCACCATGCGCGTTGCGTGTGCGGCGGTACGTGTCGTGCGTGTGCTGCGGTGCGTGTCGTGCGTGTGCGTACCGCGGACGTAGAAGGTGAAGTCCCAGGTGGTCTCGTCGCGTCGCAGCCGAGCCAGATCGTCGGCGAGCTTGCTCGGTGGGATCTCCACGGGCCTGGCCGCCGCGGCCGCCTGGTACTTGGAGGACTTGGTGGCGGTGAACTGCTGGTAGAGGCGCATGATCTCCACCAGCAGCGCCGGACCCACGGTCTCGAAGGCCTGCTGCACGATCACGTCCTGGTAGTGCCGCAGGACGAACATGATGCTGAACTCCTTGACCACGGCGCTCACCACGCCGCCCTTGTCGCTCTGCACCAGCTTGAGCACCGCGATCACGTTGTCCAGCGACACCGACGATCTGTCACACACACACACACACACACACAACCACACAACACACACAACCACACACAGCACACACAGCACACACACAGTGAGAACCAGGGCCTCGGGAGCCGCCCAGGCGGGCTAGTAAGGTGGCGGCGTACATGATGTAGCGTTCGCAGAGGCGAACGAAGCGGTCAAGGCGGAAGCGCGTGGCGAGGGCCAGCAGCTCGAACAGCTGCGACAGCGTCATCTTCGGGGAGAACCGCACCTCGTCGGTGTAGATAAAGTAGAGGATCTCGCGGAAGGCCTGGGCCGAGGGCACGTCGGAGAGCTCGACCTCGACTGGCGCGAAGAAGGCGGCGGACGAGGAAGCGGGGAAAGACGACGACGAAGGGGGCGACGATGAGGTGGACGACTCGTCCTTCTTGGCCTTGGCCTTGGCCTTGCCCTGCCGCTTCTGCTTCTTGCCGCCGCCGCCGCCGCCGCCGATGCTGCTTCCACCCTCGGCGCTTGGTCGCTGCTGCTCCTGGGCCGCTAGCTCATAGAGCGGTGGACACCTGGCGCCCAGACCCGTCATCATGATGTGTCGTGCGTGGGCGTGCGCGTGTGCGTGTGCGTGTGCGTGTGCGTGTGCGTGTGCGTGTGCGTGTGCGTGTGACGGTCTGTACCGGACGTGCAGGATGAGGCTGTGAGCGGTGATGGACTCCTTGTCGACGAGGAAGGTAACGTCGGCCAGCTCACCCTTTTCGAGGAACGCGCCCATGTCATCGCTCAGCGTACACGGCGGATCCACGGCCGCTGTTGTTTCATTCGCCGTCCATCCACGCAAGCCTTCAGAACTTTGCTCATGCGCGTGTGTGTCGTGTGTGTCGTGTCGTGTGCGTCGTGTGCGTCGTGTACCAAAGGTGAAGCTGTAGAGGTCCAACGGGTGGGCGTCTGGTGGCGCGCCGCCAAAGATGTACATCACCGTGTCCACCACCTGATGATTGTCATCGTGCGGCCGGTAAGCGGCCCAAGGGGGTGAGCGCTGGGCACTGGTCCTTTCCGAAAGAGCGAAAGCGGAGGAGAAAGAAGAGAGCAAGAATGAGGGGAGGGCACGCACCACAGCCGTATGGTAGCAGCGCGAGAAGGGCGTCGGGCCGGTGGTTCGGATCAGGACCCACTCCTTCTTCTGGATGTTGAGCCGGTACAGATCGTTGCAGAAATTGTTTGCCGCCGTACCTGCACCAATGTTGTCAGTGTTTTCGTGCGCGGTGTTGCGTGCGCGTGTGCGGTGTTGCGTGTGGCGTGTGGGCGTGTGTCGTGGTGTGTGGCGCGTGGCGCGTGGGCGTGGCGCGTGTGGCGTGTGGCGTCATGCCGTGTAGCACTAGTCCAGTCGGTACCTCCAAACATGTACATGTGGTCCTGGTTGCAGACGCTGGTGTGCCCGAGCCGCTTCGAGGGCGCATCGCCAGAGCACTCGATCTGCGACCAAGTGCGCGACGCTATGCGTTGAGGACACACGCAGATCGAGGCAGGTGTGAGCAACGACACACAACATGTCGACGCATAGCACGACACACGACCGCACCACCACCTTGCGAGGATTAAAACGCAACATGCCAAACAGTGGTGGAGTTTGGTACCAAAATTGTAGTCATAGAGATCGGCGTTGGTGGCGACTCCCGAGTGACCGGCGAAGACGAGCATCGAGCCCTCGATCACGACAGCCGACGCGTTGCAGCGGCTCGTGGGCGCCTTCCCGGTGCTCTCCACCGCCTCCCACTCTCGCTTACCTCATACGTTAGGGCCGACCATAGCAAGCTGACGTCAGCCGCGACCTTAACACCACAACCACTACCGGCCTGGGAGTGGGAAGTACTGATGTCGAGCTTGAAGAGGTCGTTCAAGCGCTTACTGCCGTCGTAGCCGCCAAACACGTACATGGCCCCGTTGTGCATCACCGCATTGTGGCCCGATCGCTGACTCGGCACCTCGCCCGCGCACTCCAGCTGCGTCCACTCCCGCGTGCCTGCGCCCGCGCGTGGTGAGGTCGTGCACGACACGCACACGCTCACGCGCCCGCACGACACGACACGACACGCAACGCAGAGAGGCGCAGTACCGAAGTGGTATTGGAAAGTGTCGTTGTGGTTATGATCGGTGTAGCCGCCAAAGACGTACATGCAGGGACCCTCCACCACCGCCGAGTGGTAGTAGCGCGGCTTGGGCGGATTGCCACTCGTGGCGACCTTCCTCCACTCCTTCTTGGCTGAACCGTGCAGCAGAGGTCAGTCGGCACCGCGTCATGTAACATAGTGCGACATGACATGTAACATCAACCGCACACGCGCACGCACACGCGCACGCACACGCCACGCCGCCCCACACAGCACTCATCAGTGTACCAATGATGAACTGGTAGAGGTCGTTAAGCCGCGAGTTGCCGTCGTCTCCGCCAAAGAAGTAAAGAGACCCTGCGTACGCGTGCAGCGCCATGGGCCAAGTCAGTCCTGGTGATGATGGTGTGTGTGCGGTTTGTGCGTACCGTTGTAGTGGACGGCGGTGTGCTTGTTGCGAGACGGAGGCGGCGATCCTGTACACGCCACTACCGCCCAGTGGTCCTCTACGCACCCAGCGTTGAAAAAGATGTTTGTTGTGCGCTACTTGATTGATGAATGAAAGCATGCTGAGGAATGCGTACGGTCTTCGTAGGCGCGTATGGGCACTTCGATGACCTCCACGTCCGATCCTGTGCTCAGGTCGTCGAGCGTGAGATCGAGCTCGTCGTGCACGGTATGACTGGTTGTACTGGCTGAGGAGGATTCATCCGGCTCCAATTCCGCTTCGGCCTCGTCTCGCGAGCCACCGCGATTTTTGGCAGTAATTCGTTCATCTCGCTCCCCCTTCTCCCTTTCCTTGTCCTTCTTGCTGGCGGCAGGGGAGGACTTGGCCTTCGAGTTCTTCACCGTGAAGTACTTCTTTTCGGTGTCCTTCTTCTTATCCTTTTTCTTGGAGCTCTTCTCACCACCCCCGCCAGTCCAGTTGCTGTCCCCTGGCCCTGGTGCCTCCATCTCCACCTTCCTCCTTCTTTTAATTTTCCTTTTCCCTTTCTTTTTCTTTTTCTTTTTATGGGACTTGCTTGGACCAGTCAATAAAATCCACAAATCGAACAAAATACCTTCGCTACGAGTCGCGTGGTCGATGAGGCGTTACGAGGCTCCGCACGTAGATGACCAGCCTGCACCTCGTCCGCCCCTCCTCGTCCGTGTAACGCACCACGCTCTGCTCGATCGCGCAGCCCCCGCTCTCCTGCAGCTCCGCCAGCTCGCGCTCGCTCTCGGGCATTCGCACCCGCGCCTGCTTGCGCCCTGCTCCCGGGAACACGTGACCGCTCGCTCCGCACACCTCCATCGCTCCCCCTCGCTATCGCCGTTCTCGTTGCTGGTGCGAATGTTGTAGATACGCGGCCGCAGATCCAGCGGCCCGCTGGCACAGTGCTGGCAGCCGGCGCTGGAGTACGCCGATGTACTGCTGGCGGCCGCCGTGTCTTGCGCTGGTGGTTGATGATAATGATGATGGTGATCGTGATGTTGATGCTGTTGCGGTTGGGATTGTTGCTGTTGGCGTTCCAGAAGAGGGTCGTCTGGGTCGGGGGCGGCAAGGACAATGGGGCGCAGCGGCATCGGCCTCCAGGGCGACCGCGGCGATGACGGTGACAACTGCGAGTGCGACGGCGCAGGCGAGGCGGCCGTTCGTTTGGTGGTCGTCAGCCGCGGCTTCTTCGACGCCGACGCGACCACCTCCCCTGCGCCTGTGCTGTCCCTTCGCTGAAGAAGACCTCTCGTCTTGGCCTCGGTCGTGGTGGCTTTCGTTCGGTTGTCGTCGTCGAAGCTTAGGCCCCTACCATGGTCCGCGCCGGCTGGACTGCCGCGCACGGCCCGCCATTCGCTGGCGCCGGCGCTGGGCTGGCTCTCGAAGAGCAGCGGCGATCCGGCCGACTCGGCGGTGGCCTTGGCCTTGGCGCTCCTCTTCGTTGTCCTCTTCGCCAACCTCTTCGCCGGCTTGGCGTCAGCGGCGTCGCCTCGCGGGCGCTTGGTGCCGATTGGTGATGATGTGGCCATCGTGGCCGATACAGTCCCGCTTGGGGGCGGCGAGGACTCCCAGCTACAGAGCGGATCGGGCGAAGGCACGTCGCAGGCGGCGGTGGATGAGCCCTGGGAGCGCTTGGGAAGGTCGGCAGCACCCGGTTCGGCGTAGGCGGACCACTTGAACATGGCCGGCTTGCGGAAGTCCCACCCCCAGAGCGCCTTCGACAGCAGGTTGTCCTGCCGGAAGTGATTGTACACCCCATCTGCACAACATACAGGCATCACAACAACAGGCACACAACCCCGACACGACCAAGGTGAGCTGGAGCTGGGTAAAGAGAAGCCTTAGAGCGAAGGAGGACGTGCCATATGTGTATAGCCGCGAGTAGCCTTTGTGGTAGTGCTTCTCGAACAGCTCGAGCTCGAGCTCGTTGAAGCTCTTCGAGTCCTTGTGCGCTCCTGTTTCGAACATATCATTTAGACCTCGTGGCGTGTGTCGTGTGTGTGTCCTGCGTGCGCACGCGTGTGCGGTGGTATGTGCAGAAAAAGATAACCTTGGATGTTGCGGTTGCACTTGCCCAGCGTCTTCCAGTCGTCGCTCCCGTAGTAGAGCGCCTCGTTGGTGATCTTGGACATGGTGCAGTAGGCGTAGAGAAAGGCGCCCGCGCCGACAGGTTGCGCAGGGTGCGGTACGGCGTGCGGGCGTCGCGGGCCAGCAGGCTCCCGGCCGATAGCGGCACCACGGTCCATCGCAGCTGCCGCGCCACCTCCGGCACTCCGATGCGCCGGGCCGAGCCGTGGTAGGTCTGCAGGGCGTGGCTCCACATCTCCGCGTGCTGGGTCCAGGCTGCGTCGCCCGCTGGGATCGCCGACGCAGCTGAGGCCGACGATGGTGATAGCGAGAGTGAGGACGACGATGATGAAGATGATGTGGTGGCGAAGGGCCAGAGCTCCTGGGCGGTCGAGGTCATGGAGGGGACGGGCGTGTTTGGTCGTACGTTGAAGCGCTGGATGAAGGTGTACATGCGGATGTAGAGGTTGAGCGCCGGAAGGTCGAGGTGGGCGATAGCCCGACCGAGCGGGTCCTCCACAGGCAGGCGGCAGTCGGGGTAGCCCGTCTCCGGGTCGAGGAAGGCGGCCGCCAGCTCGAAGTACAGGTGAAAGGACTCCACCAGTTCAAACGTCCCACTGTGTAACCACCAAGTCTGAATGAGTGAACAGCACCAGGTTGGATGTGAGAGAGAGAGATACTAACCTGTCCCGAGGCTCAACGTCGTTGGGGGACCGCAGGCATACGATACTCTTGATGCTTCTTTCCACTGTAATACCACATTGTAAATCTCTTACACATACGCCAACATTTTCTAGAACATATAGGAATGCAGAAGAGGCGTACAGCATTCGTTGGTGTGGGAGGTGTCTTCGTAGAGCGGGGCATCAAAGGCGAGGGCTGGCATGTCCAACGAAGTTGGCGGTTTCAGGCCGATCGTGTTCAGACTGCTTCGCAGCTGGTACTTGCCGTAGAGCTGGCGGTGCACTGTGTAGATCTGGTCCATGACGTGAGGAGCATCGTCAACCCCTGAATAGCATTGATTAGAGAGGCCCTAGAACGCACTTTAGGGTTGGAGTTGACGATAGTCTGCATCTCGGGCAGCCAGTACAGGTTCCAGTGCCCATGCACCTTGGACACGTGCGGCCTCCTGGGCGCGTCATCATCATGAAGAAGGCATCAGCAAACGGGAGCACTTGCGTGTGGGCAGTTGACCGACCTCGTCTTGTTGTCGTTGAGCAACTTTTTGGTGCAGTGTGGATTGCGGAGCAAGGCCAGCTGATCGTGAGAGTTAATGAGCACGCTGTAGGTGTCCCCCTCAATGAGCTTGAAGTCCTCGGCTGCAAACAGGCTCAGGTTCATCGTCTGTCACCAAGTAAACAAAACAATATAACATGGTTACATGTCGGTTTAGTGCAGGCCCTGTAGCGCTACTAACAGTATTAAATAAATAAAAATAAGCACGACACAGAAGAGGGAACTACCTCGACCATGCGTCGTTCGATGATGCGGCATTGTGGTTCGGTGAGGACGTCCTTCACCACGAGGAAGCCCTTCTCCTGAAAGCCGAGTATGTCGGCCTGGCTCAAGACCTCCATGGCCATGAGCTCGCTGAACGGGATCTCCTCCACGTTGGCCTCCTCCAGCTGCTGTCGCGAGTAGCGCTTCCGCAGGGCATCCAGCTCCACCTCATCCCCCTCCATCTCCATCTTACGGGCCAGCTGGCACGACGCGAAACGACTTTTTGTCGACAATAGTTGTATTTTTTAAATAGTTTGTACACGTCAGCAAAAAATGTCGACCACGCGCCCCACAAACACGAAGCAGGACCAGCAGGTGAAGAAGATCGAAGTGGGATCGGTGCGCGCCTTTCCCTCCTCTCGCTCCCGGGCCAGTCCCTCGCTCGATGCGTTGTAGATATCTTACAGTCTCTCTCTCTCCTCCTCCTCCCACCATCGTCCGTCCAGCCAGCCCATCTCCTCTCGCTCTCTTTTTTTTTGTGGCGCGCTGAGTCGGTGTACGCGCGCGTGCGTGTTGTGGTCGTCGTCGTTGTTGTGGATGGATCGATTGCCCCCGAGGCGAGGCCAGGGCTCTACGCTCTAGTGGTTGGCCCGGGAGTTGAAGCCGCGCGAGCCGCGGCGCATGGGCGAGCTGTATCGCGCGGCCAGGACGTTACCGGCTCCCGTGCGACCGAGGTAGTCCTCCGGGTTCATGGCCGCGACGGCCGAGGGCTTGGGCTCGCAGTGCGACGTCGAATAGGAGCGGAGCCGCGGAGCGCGCTTTCGCGGCGGCTGCTGGTGGGTCTGCTGCGGCGTGTAGGGCTCGTCGAGGAACGACGACGATGACGACGACGACCCGCTGCGCGACGAGGGGCCGCCGCCGTTGGCGAACGAGTTGGAGCGCATGCGGCTCATGCGTTTCTTGACCGGCAGGTGCTGGCCGGTGCCGGTGCTGTCGGCCGCTGCGGCCGCGTCCTTGACGTCGAGCTGTCGCTTGAGGGCCGACCACCTCACCTCGATCAGGCTCTCGGCGCTCCGCTCCTCGCTCATCTCGTCCTCGTCGTCGTCGTCGTCGTTGTCTACGTCGACGTGCACGTCGTCTTCCTCGTCGCCATCGCCCTCTTCATCGTAGCCGTCGGCGCCATCGTCGTCCTCGTCCTCGTCGGGATCGCCGACCTCGTCGTCCTCGTCCTTCTCAATGTCGACCTTGTCGTCCTCCGCTCCGCCGCTCTGTCCGTTCTTCTTCTTCCGCACGCAGCCGATGCACGGACACGTCAGGTGGCAGATCGGGCAGCCGTCGGTCCAATAGTTCTCCGGGTTCGCCCTGTAAAAAAAAAAGAAATTTTAACTATTAATAATTATTCTCAATAAGAAAAAGGTGTCTAAATAAATACAAAAGGGTAGAAATAAATAATAAAGAAAAGGGCCGGACCTGAAGTCATCGTAGTCGATGCTGAAGTGTCGGACGACGCAGCCGCGACAGTACTTGTGCGAGGCAACAAGCGGGCAGCCCACCCAAAACTCCTTCTTGTTCTTGCACCTGTGACAACTCTCCGGCTTTCTTGCCCTGTCGAATCGCACACCAACAAAGCAAGAACCTGGTTAGCCCCACCACACGTAACGCGACATACACGACACGCGCGCGCGCGCAAAAGGAGATGGCTGCCGTACTTGGTCTTGGGCACGCCGTCAAGGTCCTTCTCGCTGTGCGCGCTGCTGTTGCCGCCACTGCGTCCACCCCGGCCACCGCGCGCCTTCATGCCCCGCGTGCCTCGGCCCCTGCCTCGGCCCCGGATGCCGCGGATCGGCGTGGCTGAGTCGGCCACGTCGCGCTGGCCCTCCTTGTCCTTGTCGCCGCCGCCCGACTCCCGGCCCGTGTCGATGTAGTCCTCATCGTCAAACTTGGTCTTCTTGGGCGAGAGCGAGCCGTCGTCGCCGAGGCCGGCGCCGTTGGGGTTGGGCGCGGTCGACGGCGGCAGAGAGGCCTTGCGCTTGCGCATTTCGCGCGGCGCGGGCGCGGTGGTGGTCTCCTCCGAGCGCACGCTGCCGGTCGTCGTGCGGTCGATGACGCTCTTCCGACGCTTGCGCAGGGCCTGGTCTCGGACGGGCGGACGGCCCAGCAGGTGACCGCCGGCCGCCTCGAATGAGGCGTCCATGCTGCGACGCCGCTTGCTAAGCACGGCGACGGCGCTGCTGTGCGGGGCCGCGCTGTCGTTCTCGTTGAACTCGAAGCCCTCGTTGCTGTTGGTCGGACCCGCCACCGGCATCGGCCCGGGCACCTTGATCGTGCCGATCACCGCGCCAGTCGGGCCGGCGGGGTGGTGCTGCGCTCGGGCGAAGGCGCCGTTGTTGGCACCACCCGGGTGGGCAGCGACGCCGACGTTGTTGTGCTGCTCGACCTTGACCAGCGGCACGGTGAGTCCGCGGGCGGGCGAGGTGGCGAGACCCGGCGAGGAGAGGGTCGGCGAGCCCTCCTCGGTCTTGTGCTGCCCGACAGCCGCGGCAGCGGGGCTGGCCGCCACCGGGGGCTGCCAGGCTCGGTTGCCCCACGCCAAGGCGAGCAGGTCGTCCTGCGTTGCGAGAGAGAGAAGCTAAGGTTGAGTTCATGAATCTTTGCAACTCTTAATCGGATGTATAAGAGATGAAGGAGTAAGAAGCGCGAGGCTTGCTGGCGGGCTGTGTGCGGGGCACGACCAAGATGAAGAAGGAGATGGAGAAAGCAACTCAATTTTGATTGCCGTCAAACGGGAATGCAAAAGATTGACTGCAAATGTCGGCGAATTGGGCGAAGAGAGGGAAATGCAAGAGTACAATTGGGCTTGCCCGGTGATCCAGCGTGCGTTCCGGAGGTGAAGGTGGTGACCGGAGCCAGCAGCTGGCGGTCGGTAAACAAACGAACCAAAAAGACCGTCGAGGCCGACTTTGACGGCGTACGCCGTGGGTCGTCTTGTCCATTTTAGTCCCGAGGACTTGGACTAATTTGGGGCTTATTGTGTCACCAACACGAGTGGCAACAACATTGAAACGAGTGTGGCATGACGGTGTCGTCGCCTTGCGCCAGAAAAGCGCTAATTTGGCTGAGAGAAGCGGTCGACGAAGCGCACGCAAGTGGCACCACGCCATGAGGGGCTTGTGTGGGCACCACACACCAGTCCGGTGTCGGGCAATATAAAAAATTTCGAGAATGTGGCCTCCTTTTGCCCCAACATTTCTGAAATTTTGGTGTCGCGAGTACCCACCACAACAAGAAAGCGTGTAGAGGCAGAAGAGAGCTGGCAGCGTACCCCGACGGGCGGCTCTGGCGGAGGCGAGGCAGCCGAGGTGGGGTAGTGCGGGGGCGCCACCGACGAAGAAGACGTAGATGCGACGGCGTGACCCTGCGGCGCTCGCCACCAGTGGAGCTGACGCAGCTGCGGACGCAGGAGGGCGAAGAGCGACGGGTTGTCGTCGCCCAGCGGTCGGCCCAGGGTGAGGGGCTGCTGCATGACCCACAGCCGCAGGGCCGTCACCACCTCCGACACGAGCTGCTGGCAGGCCCTGCTGGTCGTCTCCGCCTCGCTCGCACTGCTGGTGCCGTTCATGGTGGGCGACGGCTGGTTGAGCGGCTGCTGGAGGTCGAGCGTGCTCGGCAGAAGCTGAAGGAACCGGAGGAGTAGCGCCTCGCGACCGCTGCTACTCGTCACGTCGAACGGCGGCTGCTGCTGCTGCTGCTGAGGGGGCGGCGACGGCGTCTGACCCGCGCCCGTCCCGCTACTCGTAGCAGTCGTGCTCAGTAGCAGCAAGCCCGTCACCTCATCGACGACGTTCATCTTCACGTCATCTTCATGTCGTGTAGCGGCGGCCGTTGTTGAATTGGCGGCGGCGGGATTCGTGCCCTCGACGAGGGGAGAACTCGTCCGACCTTCCCCGGCCTTCTCCGTGGCACCACTGCCGGCGGCGCTGGCGGTGACACCGGAAGTAGCGGCGGCTGAGGCCGGCAAGGTAGAGGATGATGAAGACGAGGAGGCGAGGGCCGGGGCTGGGTTCGTGGAAGAGGGAGTGGAGATGTGGTGCTGGGTCGGGGAGGAAGAAGATGGAGTCGGCAGCGGTGTAGAAGAAACGCCATCTGACAGGGTGGACTGGGCGTTGACTGCGACGGCTGCCATCTTGGTCGATGATGAAGTCGTCGATGGTGATGCCGGTGACGCAGATGTGGTGGTGGCTGCCGCGGCTCTGTTCGCAGAACGGCCGGCCCCAAGGGACGTCAGGAAGGCCTCGAACGGCGCCGGCGACGTGGGGACCGCTGTTGAAGGGAGGCTGGTCGTGCTGGCTGCGGACATCTTCTTCTCGGCCTTCGTCTCGTTCTCTTCTTCTACGTCGGTACGGATGATGTTGGTGTTACTTCTTCGGCGGTGGTCGCAGATTTTCGTTTGTACAAGATGAGGCACCCGGGGGGCCAGAAGCTGGCGGCGGCCGTGGGGTCTTCTCTCTCAGCTCTCAGACGATGAAGACGAGGCGAGAGGCTGAAGGTGAAATCGATTCGCGGTCGGCTCGATCCGGCGGCGCGCGTCCGTTTAACAGAACGGAAGAGAGAAGATGAGGCCACGCGACAAGGCGCAGGTTGTGTGCCGGTGGTGGTGCGGGTGTGTTGTTGGTGTTGAACCGAAAGTGTGTCTGGTTGCTTCTGGGCGGCGAGAGAGGCGAGAGACCCACAGAGCCACAATAATCGAAAGCAAACAAAAAATACAGCAATAAAAAAGAACGAAAACGAACGCCACGCACTTCGCTGCACCGGAGCCGCCAAGGCCCGACCAATGGTCACTCCGTAACACTCGAAATTTCGGCATAATAACCAATTAATCTGTTGCAAACCGCAAGGATCTGCGTCGGCTACGCGAAATCCACGCGATCCCACGGCGTGAAGAGGCGAGCCCGAGTTGTTGCGCCACGAGACAAAACGGGGTTGCCTCCGGGCGCGAAAGGCCACGCCAACAAGGTGGCGACAACGAACAGAGCCGTCGTCTATCTGGCATCGAGAGAACTTTCTCTTGCGCGAGGCGAGCCCAAAGCTTGGATAGATGAAAGCAGGCGTTGCCTCAGAGCCGCCGGCCACATTGCGTTCATTGCGTTCTGAGCCCCAAACAACCCTCGCGCATCGCCCACGGCTCAACCATCGCTAGGGCGGTGGCTCGCAATCTCTGCCAAAGCGGAAGCCACGCTGGACCGCCACCTTACGAAGACTGAAAAGGCCAAGAAAAATAAAAAGTAAAACAGAAAAAGCCCAAAAAAATCGAATCAAATCGCAATGGCATCAAAGGCGGGAGGAGGCGAGGGGAAGGATGGAGAGGACTACTACGCTACGTTGGGGCTCGAGCTGGGCGCCACGGCGGCACAGATCTCAAAGGCCTACAAGAAGCAGGCGCTCAAATTCCATCCGGATCGTAATCCCAATGATCCCCTGGCGGGCCAGCGCTTCCATGCACTCCAGCAGGCCTACGATGTGCTGAGCGATCCTGAGGCTCGCGCAGCCTTCGACGCCCTGATCCAGGCCCGGCTCAATCGCAAGCGCAAGCTCTCTACGATGGACGCGCAGCGACGAAATCTCAAGCAGACCCTCGAGGAGCGCGAGAATGCATTCAAGCGCCAGCGGGCCGACGAGCTGGATGCCCAGCGGCGCCTCGCCGCCCGCATGGCCCGCCTCAAGGAGGAGACCGCCGCCAAAATGCAACAGGAGAAGCTGCGAAGGCAGCAAACCCAAGATCGAGTAGCGGCACCATCATCATCCACATCATCTTCTGACGAGGAGGTGGTCGTCAAGCTGCGCTGGGGCAAGAAGGAGGGCTGGGACGACGAGGCTGGGGTGCGGTCGGCGCTGGAGCGTGCCGGCTGCCCCGCGCCGCTGGCGGTGGCAGTGCGCCGTCGCGGTGGCGGCGCGATGGCCACCTTTGCCTCGCTCGCCGATGCCGACGCCGCGCTCGCCCGACTCCCACCACCGCTCACCGGCCGCGTGCGACGGAGCCGAGCCTCGACACCACCCGCTTCATCATCTTCATCATCGTACGCACCTCGCGCTGCTCAAGCCGCGCCGATCGGCCTTCGACTTCGACTCCCGCCTCTGCGGCCGCTGGCTCGACGCCCTCGGCCGCCGCGGGGCTGGGCCATGCCGACTTTGAGAGCCAGGTCCTTGCGCGCATGGCCATGGCCGCCGCCGCCATGCGACAGCAACAGCAGCAGCAACAACAGCACTCCACCGCGCCACCGCCGGTCCAGCAGAACAGCGAATAGAGAAGTGAAAAGAAGAGAGTGTGGCAACCTTTACATGTGTACAGCTTTATGTTCGGAGCACGCAACAATTTATATACGTAGGAAGTGTCGTATCGTGCGTCGTGTGTCGTGTCGTGCGGCGGCTGCTCTGCGGTGGATTATTTATTATTAATTATTGGGCGAGACCGGGCACGAGGGGCACGTAGCGGACGCCGAGCACGCGCTGCTGGACGATCGAGCCATCGGCCTGCTTGTCCACCTGCAGCAGTTCCTGGTCGTCCCGGCCCACCGGGATGATGAGCCGTCCGCCCGGCTGCGGGAAGAGGTGGTGTAAGGTGGTATGTGACGTCAGCCAAACCAATCAGAATGCGAATAAAAGTGAATGTCTGTTACATTGTAACCGAAAAAGGTGGTCGCACGCACCCGCAACTGGTCGACGAGGGGCTGCGGGAGGGTGGCGGCCGCGGCGCCGACGTGGATGGCGTCGAAGGGGGCCTCGTCCTTGACGCCCTCCCAGCCGTCGACGTTGCGGATCTCCACCACGCGCTTCTCCAGCAGCTGCGGGCTGTCCTTGCGGATGTTGTTCGTTCCCCACTCCACCAGTTCAGGAATTCTACGCACCCCACACGCCGCACGACACGCCGCACGTCAAACGCAGCACGACACGACACGCACAGGACAGCTTTGTGGTGTGTGTTGCGTGTTGTGTGTGTGTGTTGTGTGTGTTGGTGCCTGTCGATGCCGATGACTTTGCCCTGGTCGCCGACCAAGTGGCCGAGGCACGCCGTGAGGTAGCCGCTCCCCGATCCGACGTCGAGCACCTTGGCCCTGCCACGGGATTTTGGGGGCAAAAGGGCTGTGAGTCTGTGGCTGAAGAAGAGAACCGGGAGAGAGGCTTGGAGTACCCAGGGACGGCGTGGTCCAGAAGCAGCTCGAGGCACATCGCGTGCATGTGCGGTGCGGAGATGGTTTGTGCTGGAGACACGAAAGCGAGTGAGTGGCACACATGGCACACGACACACGACACAAGCGTACAGCAGCCGATGCCGTGTGGTCGGTCGCAGTAGGCCTGGTCGGGATCGGTGGAGTAGTGGCCCCGGTCGACCGCCCGCATGGCGGCCTCCACCCGCTTCGACTTCACCAGCCCGTACGCTTTATTGATTTATTGATTTATTTATTATTTCAATCACAAAAAATATAAATCAGCACATTTCGAAAACAAATCTCTGAATAATGTAGAGGGAGGAGCGCACAACGGAGGGTGTAGATGAGTTCGTCGTTTGATCGGCACTCGGCCTTCCACGAGTGCTCCATATGAAGCGTACGGGTACACCTAATGAGGATCACCACAGCAGCTTTCAGCTGTTTTTTAGTACTATTTCTTGCCACGTTTCTTCAGCATCTTTTAACAGTTGGGCAGCACGTGCCTCCAGAGGGTGCAAACAGGACGTGGTGACTGTCGGCACACGGCGAGACTTTGACTCACAACACGACGCATGGTGTGGCGTGCCACTTGCCTTCTTTTTTAAATGCAATTATATAAACAATGTAACACACAAGAAGAGGCGTGATACCTTCTTCACACATCTGGTGTGGTGGGTAAGCACATGTGTGTGTACTACTTGATCATTTGACAACATTGACAACATAGAACGAAGGGAACCACCCGGCCTTGCCGCCCTTCTCCAGCGTGCCAAAATAGAGGCCCTCTTCCACATTCACTGCACAGCACCACACCAACTAGCGAATCAGACACGACACGGCACACGCACACGGCACACGCACACGACACACGACACACACGGCACACGAAACGTACCTGCTGTGACACGGATGATGTCGTTGAGCTTGAACTTCAGCTGCTTCCGCTTCTTGCTGCTGACTGCGTCGGGTGTGAGGAGCATCTTGCCCTTGAACTCGTCGATGGCGCGCACCAGTAGCACGCCCTCGCGTCGCAGCGTCTCGCGGCCCTCGCTCACCACCTTGGCCCGGTGGTGGTGGTCGTCCTTCACCGAACGCCTGATCTGCCGCTGGCCGCCCTCGGGCCGCACGTTGAGCTCGTCGATGCTGACCACCTTGGCCGCCTTCTCCCTCTCCCGCTCGATCGCCTGTCGCCTCTCCTCCTCACGCCACACTCGGAGCTAAAAAAATCGTTAAAAAATGTCAGCACACCGCACACACCATCGCACACACACACGACACACACGACACACGACACACGACACGCGACACGCGACACGCGACACGCGACACGACACACGATACCTCTTCGAGACTGTCCTCTTTTTGCTTCTCGCGGTCGGCGTAGAAGGAGTCGGAGTAGAGAAGCTTTGGGGCGAAGGGCGCGAGCCGCTCCTGCTCCAGCTGCCGCCTCTTCAGCTCCTCCTCGCGCTGTCGCGCCGGCCGCTCCTCATCGCTTTGTCGCCGCTCTGCCTCGTCGTCTTCATCACCGCGCCCGGCTTCCTCCTTGGGTTGGTCGGCCTCGTCGGGCCGAGGCGAGATCGGCCGCATCAACTCGCCATCGCTTCGCGCCATCCCTCGCGTTGGCAACCGCGGCCGCGCCGGCACAGGCACCAACTCCTATTTTTTACGAATCGTGTAATTTATTATTATAATATTTCAATACCAAATATGAATAATACATAACACCATTACACACTTGAAATAAATAAATAAAAAACAACGAAAAACCTGAGAACTGCTACAAAATAATAAATAAATAAATAAATAAAGAAGAGAAGATGGCGTACCTCTTGGTCTGGTGTGGGTCGGGGGAGCTGAGGCGAAGAGTTGAGGGTGGTGGACCGCTTCTTGGGGAGAAGGGGTCGCGGGGGCACGGCCACGACCGGCTCCGCCCCCGGCTGCACCGAGGTGCAAGCGCCAATCTTGGCGCGAGATGGCTCGGCCGAGTGGCGTTTGGGCAGCACGGGGCGCGGGGGCACGGGAACGGCCGGCGCCACCTCCTCGCCGGCGTTGTTGCCCTCTTCATCATCATCTTGCTCGACTCGAATCGATGGCGGAGCTGACGACATCTTTGTCTCTGAGGTTGCGGTTGGTATTGGGGACGCCAAAGTTTGAAAGTTGTGTGCTGGGCCGGCTGGCTCGGTTTCCACGACGATGAGCCGCGGCACGTAGGCAACGGGTGCTGTGGCGGGCACTAGAGGTAGAGGTACGGGGATGACGCCCCAGAACTGGTCCTGCAGTCGCGCCTCCTCCTCGGCTTCGTCTTCGTTTTTGTCTCCTTCGCTTTCGTTCTTTTCCTCGCTCCACTCGAGTTGTTGTCGTCTTCGCTCTTTGGTGGTTGTGACGAGCAGCTCGGAGTCATAGGCCCGCAGCGGGCGGTGCGGTGGCTGCGGCTGGCACCGCAGTGCTGGTGCCGGCGGTGGTGCGCGCAGGTGCGGGGCAGTTGTCGCGCGGTGTGGCCGGGGAGGCACGGGCTTGACCGGTGATGGTGGTGGAGATGGCAGCCTCGAGGCGGCCAGACCGCTCTGCATCGTCGTTGTTCAAAAAAGTTCGAACCTCGGCCTGCCGCCGCTTCTTCCCTCGGCCGAGGGTGGTGGTTCAAAAACAAAGGGCCGACGCTACCCACAACTACTTGTGTGTTGTGGGAGGAGACCAGCTTGCGGGTGTCCACGCAACGAGGTCGCCGCAAGCTCCGTTTTGTTCAAAATTCTATTTCGTTTTTGTTTGTCGAAACAACTCAAGATATGAAGGAGAAGGCAGACGAGGACTCACCCTCTTCTCCTCCTCCTCCTGCTTCGATCTCCTCCACTTCTTCCTTGCCTGCGTCTGCCGTGGGTGCTGGTGCTGGTGGTGCTGCCTCTTCTTCGCTGGCGGCGATGAAGGAGAAGGCGTGGCCACCGCTCTCCTCCTCCTTGTGGTCGTTGTTGTCGCTGTTGTGGCTGATGTCCTCGTCTTCGTCGTCTCCGATGATGAACGCAAACGAGGCCGCAGATGTGTCGACCGGTGGCAGCTGCTCCACTTCCTCCGCTGGCGCCGCCTCGTCCGTGATCTTCTCTGACTCCTCCACATTGTCCTTCTTCTCTTCCTCTCCTTCCTCTTCGTTGTCGTCGTGCGCCATGAAGGCGAAGGAGGAGGAGGAGGACGAGTCGGCGCCCTCTTCCACCACCGCAGCGGCTTGCTCTGCGTCGCCAACGTCTTCGTCTTCGTCTTCGTCTTCATTTTCGTTTTCGTCTTCGTTCTTTGGTGCCTCTTCTTCCTCTTCGGAGATAAACGCGAACCCGGCCTGGTCCGCTCCATCGTCACCCGAGGCCTCCACCTCCACCTCCCGCTCCACGCTCGGCTGATCAGCCTCTTCCTCGACCACACCTCGATCGGACTTAAACGCCTCGTCGCCATCATCGCCACCGCCACCGACGTCACCGCCATCTTCAGCGCGAGGAATGGAGGCGAAGGCCGATGGCTCTTCGTCAGGCGACGAATTCGACGTTTGCGTCGGCGCTGGATCACTCGAGGAGCTGCTGCTCGCGGGGAGCGCCGCTTGGAGGACGGCCGACCGCGCCTTGGCCCGCTCGATCTCCTGGTTGACCTCGTCAGCTCGGTCAAAGTCGTCGTTGGCCACGCACTGCTCGAGCTCGGCCTCCCACACCTCCAGGCGCGCGGCCAGGGTCCTCAGCTCCTCTTCCGCCGCGGCCGCATCGAACGCCGGGTCCGCACGCTCGCCCTGCTCTTCGCTTTCGCTCTTTTGGTCTTCCCTCTCGGCCTCCGGGGCGCGTTTGTCGCTTTCGCTTTCGCGCTCTTTGATTCCAGTGGTGTCTCCTCGACCTTCGCAACGTTGTCGTCTTCACTCTTTCGTTTGCTTTCGCTTTCGCTCTCGCGGAGAGCTTCGTCGTTGTCGTCATCGTCGTGCTGGGGGAGGTTCCACTTCAGCCGGAGGGAGGCCATCTCGGCCTGGCAGGACTCGAGCTCGAGCGCCGACATCTCCGTCTCCTCGTCCTGGCCGTGGTACCTGGCCAGCTTGGAGAGCAGCTCCTTCTCCTTGGCCTTGAGCCGCTGGAGCTTGACCTTGTCTGTCGGTTTCACACGCGCGAATTTAGTCAAGACAAAGTCGCGTCTTGCTTAGGGAAGTGTGGTGTGTGCGCATGTGTGCGTGTTGTGCGTGTGTGTGTGTGTGGTGTGTGTGTGTGCGCGGCGCGCGCGGTGGGTCATGTGTGGCGTTGGTGGCGTCGTGGAAGAGGCCGGTACCGGCTTTGCTCTCGGCTGAACTGAGCTCTTGGTCGAGCGATTTGAACTGTTCCTTGTGCTGCGACAGAGTGACCTTGCAGGTCTCAAGCTGCGTGTCGTGTCGTTGGTCGTGTCGTGCCATGGTGAGTCGCATGTCAGCCAGCGTCGCATCACGGCAACAGCGGCGAAAAGGGACACGCCACGCGGATCGATGATGCGTCAATGGCCACATACCTGCTCCGTGAGGGCAGCGACGGTGTCCTTGCTCTCTTCAATCTGTACCGAGGCCGTCTTCATCTCTTCGGCGATTCTCTTGGCCTCCTTGAAATTACGTCCTGGACGAGACAACAGATGTGAGCCGCGTGTGCGCCGTGTGCGGTTGTGCGTGTGCGTGTGCGGTTGTGCGTGTCGTGTGAATGCGATAGTGGCGGTACCGGACACAGCGAGTTTCTTCTCGGATTCAAGCGAGGGGATGCGAGCATCCAAGGCGACAATTTGCTGATTGGCGCCGTGTATCTCCCTGTCACCCACCCACCCACCCACATCGCGCGTTAATGCGTAACTCGTCTCGGCGTGATCAAATCAAATCGCGAGTGTGCGTGCGTGCGTGCGTGCGCTGTGCGTACTGCTGCAGAGAGAGCACTCGCGCGGTGAGTTGGGTGATGGCCGCGCTGCACGCCGAGGTCTGCTCGCGCACAGAAGACAACTGTGGTTGTTTTGGCACAGACCCGAGTGAGAAAAAAGGCAAGTCCGCGCGCGACAGTTACATGCCGACGAGAATCGTTGCGTGTCGTGTCGTGTCGTGTCGTGTCGTGGCGCACCTGCTCTTCTTGATCGGCCTCCATTCGGACGAAGGCCTCGTAGTTGGTCTTGGCCCTTCGCAGCTCGTCCTCCTTCTGCTCGAGTTTGTCGACCGCCGCGCGCTCGTTGGTCAGCTCGGCCTCGATCGCAGTGAGCGCGTCGTGGAAGCGCTTCTCCGCCTCCCTGTCCTTCGCCTCCTCGCCCTTCAGCTGCCGCTTCGCCTTCTTCAGCTCCTCCTGCACACCACCAAATAATATTAAATATAATATTTCCTTCCATTTTTCAAAAACAACTAAATAACAAATAATAATAAAAACGAATAAATAACAATAATTACAAATAAATAAATAATAAAAAATAATAATAGAATAATAAATAATAATGGATGGCGCACCATTTGGAGGGAGTATTTGTGGTTGTCCTTGGCGATGGCGTCTCGCTCGATGCCGATCCGCTCCATCTCGTTCTTGAACCTGTCGGTCACCTGCACGACGTTCCGCTCCAGCCCGTGGATCTGCCTGGTCAGCTCTTCCTCCTCTTTCCGCTTCTGGGCCAGCAGCCGCATCAGCTCCTTGATCTCCGTCTGTCGTGTGCGGGCACACAACACACACACCACGCACCAGACGTATAGAGCTGCCGAGGTAAGCAGTCTTTCATTCATTCATTCAAGGCCAGAAGAGTAGCTGCAGCAGAGCTACTGACCTGTACGGCGTCGCGATCTTGGTTGAGCTTGTGCAGGTCCTCCTTGAAGCTCTGCGTCTGTCGGTGGCGTTTAGTACACGCACGCATGTGTGTGCGTGCGGTGTGTGTGCGTGCGGTGTGTGTGCGCGCGTTGTGTGGTGTGTGTGTGTGTGTGCGCGCGCGCGCGCGCGGACAGCGAGTCGGAGAACAGGAGAGGGGGCTGAAGGCGAACCTGGGACGCGATGGACTGGTGCACCGTCTCTTCGCTCTTGAGCAACATCTCCAGGTCCAGGCGCACGTGACTGAAGGAACACAAGGTAATGTTATTAATAAATACGACACCGTATTTATATTTATGTTATAACATAAATATAAATATATAAATAAATTTGTCATCTTAAGTGAGAGAAGAATAGGACATGGAGGAGTCAACGCACGTGAGATGCTTCTGGATGCCCTTCTTCTTTGCCTGGATGCGCTCCTTCTCTTCCGAGAATTTGCTGCTCGTCTGGCTCTTGAATGCTTCCAGCTGTTCCTCCTCTTCCGTCTGTGCACACGGTAATCAGACCGCACACGACACGACACGACACGACACGACACGCGCGTGTGCCAATATATTTAGTGCTGAAAGACAGCGAGTGAGTAATTGATTTGGGGAGGGGGCACCTTCAGTTCCTTGAGCTTGTCGATGAAGCTCCGTCGTAGCTGCGCTTCCTTCTGCGCCGCCTGGCCCCTCTTCACATGCAAGACCAGCACCTGTTGGCTGAACTGCAGCTTCTGCCGTGCGATCTTCTTCATCTCCTCCTTGACCTCTATTTTGTTTGACGTGCAGAAGAGAATCATCAACATCAAACAATAACTTTGAGCGCGCGGTCAAGTAAGGATGCGAGTGTGCGTGCGTGCCTTCAATCTTTTCGTTCAATTTCTCGGCTCGTTCGAAGTCCTCGAGCTGAAGCGCTTGCACTTGCTCGGCATCCAGCTTGATCAGCTGTTCTTGCAACTGGACAAGAGTGAATAATGTAAGACTCGAGACGACACACGCGACACACGCGACACACAACCAAGGCACGCACGTTGAGCGTGACTCGGTTTCGCTCCCGCTGTTCGCTGAGGATGGTCTTCTGCTGGTGGGTCAGCGATTCGCGCTCGGCGTCCAAAGAAGCGAATTCCCGTCTCGCGTTCGCGATCACCTTTTCGTATTTCTTGTCGGGCTGGCTCGAGCCCTTCGATCGTTCGTCCGCCTCCTTCCTGCGCTGCAGCTGCCTCGCGGCCTCCTCCCTATCTTCTTCGCTTTCCTGTCGCTTTCGTTCTTCTTCTTCTTCCTTCTGCCTTTGTCGCTTTCGTTCTTCCTCCTCCTTCTCCCTCTGCCGCCGCTTCGCCGCTTCTTCTCGTTCGCGTTTGGCCGACGTGTCCTCCTCCGCCGCCTTGCTTTCGTCCTTTCGCTTGTCGCTCTCCTCCTTGCGCGGCGTCGTTGCCGGCTGTTTGGCGCTCCTCGCTTCTGCACGCAGCACACGACGCACGCGACATACGACACGACACGACACGACACGACACGACACGACACGACACGACACGACACGACACGACACGACACGACACGACACGACACGACACGACACGACACGACACGACCAACGACACGACACGACCAACGACACGACACGACACGACACGCAACACGAATTGAGTACACTTAGCAAGAAGGCCTGCGCGTGAAGATGCGGCTAGCTTACCTTCTGCCTTGCGTGAGGCTGGTGAAGGAGAAGAAGATGAAGGAGAAGATGAAGAAGAAGGTGAGGCCTTGGTGGCACCGGCCGTGGCCGCAGCGGCGGCTGGCTTGACCTGATCGCCCTCCTGGTAGTACGTGCCGGGCCGCTTGGCCGCCTTCCTCTTGCGCACGGCCCCGCCGCCCGGCGACCCGCCTGCGCCTGCAGGAGTTGAAGAAGAAGAGCGCGTGCCTTCACCTTCATCTTCTTCTTCTCCCTGGGGCTCCTCGTTGATGAACGAAAACGAAGACGAGCCGCCACCCGAGGCCCTGTTGCCCAAAGGTAAAGAAATAAATCAACACAAAAAAAAGTAATCACAATAAATAAATAAATCAACACTTGTAAAAATCAATAAAAGAGCAAGCAGGGGTCGTACGTGGTTGTGGATGTGGTCTCTTCTTCTTCTTCTTCCTTGATGGCAAGACCCTCGAACAAGGCCGCGGCCTGGGGTTTGGGCTTGAGGGCCATCCCCTCGAATAGGCTCCCGCCAGCAGCAGTCTTGCCATCCTCGCCGTCCTGAGAGGACGTCGATGAAGAAGATGATTTCTTTCGAGGCGGCTGCGGTTGGCCGGCGGCGGTGCCCTTCACTACATTCGGCTTCGGCCTCGATGGTGCCGCAGCAGATTGAGACGACGATTTACCGGTGGTGCCCGACTTTGTGGGCGTGGCAGCTGCTGCCGGCGGTGGTGCAGACCCGCTCGAGGAGCCAAAAAACCACGAGGACCACCCTGCAGGCTTCTTCTCCGTCATCTTGTCAAAAAAATGACCAAAAATTGAGCAGATAATAATAATGATAAGAAAAGGCATGGAATGCAGAGTATTTCAGGTTTTATTGCGCTCGCTTTGCTTTCGCCTTTTCCTGCAGTCGCTACATCTCCATCTCTCTTGCGCTTTCCACAAAATGGTACTGCGATCCCTTCCTTCTTCTGCAGGCCTTCGTTTGTGCCATGTTTGATGGACATTTTGTTTATTTAATTGCCCCCCCCCAAATCAATTGCGTAGCGTTTCAGATTTTGCGGAGAGCTCGATGCGCCCGACTGGCTCCTCAAGGAGATCGAAATCCTTTCGAAAATCTCGTCCGTGCGAATCAAATTCATCGTCAAGGAGGTCATCACCCACATCCTCACTGGCACCATCGACGTACGACCTCCCCTCCCTCCTCACACGGCCGCCACAGTTCAGCACTCATGCTTCTGGTGGTCGTGCCACGTCGTGCTGCTCAGTTCGAGAAGGTGATCACCCACACGTCCAAGTCTGGCATTTGTACGTGCGCACGCACGCACGCACGCACACGCACGCACAACACAACACACACACAACACACGGCACGCACATCAACCGCACACGGCACGCAACCGCTGTTGGCCCAAGCGGTGGCTGTAGTTGTTGACTCGAGCTGCAATGCTGTGTTGCGCGTATCAGCTGATTCGGATGTGAAGGCCCTCATCGCTGCGGTGGACTTCATCATCACCAACGGCGCCAAGTACAATGTCGACGACCAAGTGCTGGTCACTGAGCTTCAGCAGCTCGGTCTCCCCAAGGGTAAGCCTTCTTCTCAAATCGAGACCTTGCATTGCTTGTGTGCGGTGGTGTGTGTCGTGTGCGCCGTGTGTGCCGTGTGTCGTGCGTGTGCGTGCCGTTAGTCTAATAAATGAAACGTGTGAATGGCAGAGAACTGCGACTCCCTTGTGCGTCCCTTCGCCGAGAGCAAGCAGGCGCTCCAGGAGAAGCTCCACTCGCGCTCGCTCAGACGTACGCTCGTCCCGCCGTTCTATCTATTCTTCACTCTTCCTCCTCCTCCTCTGCACCCGTTTCTTGTCTTCTCACCAACCCCCTATCTTCCGCCCACCCAGTGGACACCATCAAGTCTCTCGATTGGCGAGTGGACTACCTGCTGTCCTCGCACAACCTCAACGTACCTATTTATTATTTATTATTTATTTGTATTATTATTATTTGTTGTTTGTTTTATTTCTCTTACTCATTTGCTTGGTTGTTCAGAATGTCAACGCGCCTGCGGTCCAGCTCGCACTCACGGTGAGCTCGCCCGAGGCCCGCACGCACGAGGACTCGAAGGACAAGCACACCAAGCACTCCTTCGAGATTGATGCCGACAAGTTCCGAGTCCTGCTCACGGGTACGGCTTCTTGTGCCCACATTTTATTTATGATATTTATATTTATTTATTTATTATATATATATATATATTCATGTATCTGTTGTTGACACCGGCATGTTCTGTTTCGTGTAGAGCTTCAAATCGCCCGAGCGATGATGGAGGCCATTCCCACCGGCGACGAAGAAGGACGAGAATGAACACGTTCTGGCCTTGATGCAAAAAGAAGAAGTAGAAGTAGAAGGAAAAGGAGAAAGCAGCCGAAGAAGACGATGAAGAGATGGTGGGCTGCAGGACCTCTGAGGCGACGCAACCTCCCTAGAGCTCGTTCATTCCACGCGTGGAGGTTCAAATAAAGAGATCAGAAATGAAAAGAAAACCCAAAGGAAATTATGTAAACTCCGGACGTTCAAGAAGCTGTGACTCCTGGTGCGGGAGTGATGGCACCATGCGACGAACTGGGCCTCCTTCCTCCGGGTTCTGCGGGTGTCACCTGGGCGTCACGCGCGATGGAGTAGTGGTGGACCATCACCCCGACGCCGTGAGCCATTCAACTTTTTTACAAACAAAAAGGACGTAGAAGTGGAGAGGAGCAAGATCGAGGCACCCTTCTACAAAGACGATTTTGTTTCCATCATTTTAGTCCAGAAGGTGGACTCTCGTTGAAGGCCTCTTTGATCTCAATCGGATTAGCATCACATCATCGCTTCAACATGATGTTCTTCAAGAGCAGAGAGGCCAAGCTGGCCGCCAGCTCCCCGCCCCCAACAACATCAGGTATCGCATCCCCCACCCCCTTTCTTCTTTCCGCTTTCCTCCTCACGTTCGTTCGTTCGTTGCCGCGTGCGCACTCGACAGTCGCAAACGCAGCCCAAAAGGCCGCCGAGTCGCCCATGTCGCCGCGGGCACACACCCAGGCGCCTGGCCCAGGCCCTGCCCGTGCCCTGCAGCACCACGTCTCCCACGGCGATCTCGTCAACGAGCTCGTCCGCAAGCGCGGCCCGGCCGCCCTCACCGGCAGCCTGGGCAGCGGCCCCACCACCGCCGCTGCCGCCGGGCCAACGCCGCCGCTCAAGAACGGCCTCGGCAGCCCGCGCGGTCTGTCGGCGTCGTCGCCGACCCTGCCCTCGTGCCCGCCGTCCCCGCCGACGCCGCACCTGCCCCTGCACTCGCCGCCCACCTCGCCCCGCAGCGCGCCCACCTATTCCCCGGCGGCCTCATCGCCTCTCACGTCCGCCGCAACCGCCTACCACCGGCCACCGCCGCTCATGCCGCCCAACAAGCGCGCGCCGCCGCCGCCCGTACCGTCGTCGCCCAAGCCGTCGAGCAGCCTGACGACAGGAGGCGCGCGATCGCCGCAGGCCGCGTCGCCCGCGTCGTCGCCCCACTCTTCGACATACGTCTCGACGCCGCCTGGTTCGTCGCCGGTGTCGTCGCCGTCCTCCTCGTCCTACGCCTGTGCGTCGCCGCTGGCCACGTCGTCGTCGTCGCACTCGTTGCCGTCGCCGTCGCCGTCGTCAGGTGGTCCGTCGTTGCCGCCGCTGGCGCTGGGCGAAGGACTATCGCTGCCGCCGCTGCCGGCGTCGTATCCGCCGCCGCCGCCACCGCCCCGCAAGCCGCTGCTCGCGACGCCGGCCGTGGTCCATCTGCCCTCGCCCGGCTCCGGCGACGGCAGCGGCAGCGGTAGCCCAAGCATTCCTAAGATTCCGCTGGGCTCGTCGGCGTCGTTCCCGTCGCCCGCGGCCTCGCCATCGCAGGACCGACGCCGACGCAGCAACACGGCCGACACCGCTCTCGCCCGCAACCACTCCGTCATCACCGCGCCTGCGGCGCCGAGCGCCGGATCCCCCACGTCGTCGTCACCTTCCTGTTCGCCCACGTCGTCGGCCTACCACCACGCGTCGCCGCTCTCGCCGCGCGGCGGCTACCCGCTGCCGTCGCTCGTCGAGCGCAACGTCGAGGAGAAGGCGCGCGAGCTCCAGGGCCAGCTCCACCAGCTCCACCACCAACAACATCAACACCAGCAGCAACAGCTGAAGAAGGAGAAAGAGAAGGAAAAGGAGAAAGAAAAGGAGAACAATAAGATGCTGAAGCGGACGGTGAGCGAGAAGAATGTGCCGCAGTCGATGGTGATGCATGTGTCGAATCCGCTGATGTCGATGGTGTCGCCCCGCGGCGCCACGAAGAAGCAGCCGCCCGCGGCGTGCGGGTCGCAGGAGCGGCCGCTGCGGCCGCGCAAGGGCACCGATATCGCCGGCATGGCCATCCGACGCAGCGAGGAGCGCAAGGAGCGCAGCAACTCGGCCGGCGCCGCTGCCGAGCTCAAGGGCGCGCCGCGTCGCAAGCTTACTGACGAAGGTATGCGCGTGTCACGTCGTGTTGCGTGTGCCGTGCGTGTCGTGCGATGACAACTCATGACACGCGTGATCAATGCCAGGCCTGTCTGACGGCGAACTCGACGACCCTCTGGCCCACGTGTCTATCACCCGCATTTGTGGCGGCGGCGCTGCGGGCTCTGTCGCGGCCGCGTCGGCCACCGGCGGCGTGCCGCCCACGCCGCTCAGCCCGCGCGAGCTGCGACAACTCGTCGTCAACGAACTCATCCACACCGAGAAGTCCTACTTCCGCGACCTCTCTCTCATCGTCGAGGTACACGTCTTTGTTCACACATGCGCGTGTGTGCGTGTGCGTGTGCGGTCGTGCGTGTTGCATTCCGTGCATTCTAGTCCGCTGACGCGTTATTGCGAACAAAATGGATGGCCAGGCGTGGATGAAGCCGCTGCGCGCGCAGGGCCTGTTCTCGGTGGAGGACATCGGGGTGGTGTTCTCCAACGTCGAGCAGCTGCGGATGCTCAACGAGGAGCTGCTCACGTCGCTCCAGGGCGTCGAGGAGTTGCCAGCGGCCGAGCAGGACGTGGGCCGGCGCTTCGCGCGATTCGTGGACTTCCTCAAGATGTACTTTGAGTACTGCGCCAACCAGGCCGCCGCCATCGAGCGGCTGCAGGAGCTCAAGAAGGCCAAGCCCCAGCTCCAGCAAGTGCTCGAGGTACCTAACACCTCACACGACACACGACACACGACACACGACACACGACACACGACACACGACACACGACACACGACACACGACACACGACACACGACACACGACACACGACACACGACACACGACACACGACACACGACACACGACACACGACACACGACACACGACACACGACACACGACACACGACACACGACACACGACACACGACACACGACCGCACACACCGTACTGATCGCCACCAAACAAAACAGGAAATCAAAAACAGGCCCGAGTGCAATCTGCTCGACCTGGAGAGCTATTTGATCAAACCAATGCAGCGCGTGACCAAGTACCCGCTTCTGCTCAAGGAGATCCTCAAACACACGGAGCCGACCCACCCCGACTACGCTGCGCTCGACAAGTGCTACACCCGCATCGCCGAAGTCGTGCTGGGTCCGCTTCTCCCTCTCCTTGTGTTTCGTATCGTGCCGTGTGCGTGTGCGGTGGTGTGTGTGCGGTGAGCTGACCGGAAGCTCGTGCTGGTGTGGGTCACTGAAGAAATCAACGAAAAGAAGCGACAATCTGAAAACCTGGTCAAGCTGATCCAGCTTCAGAACAACTTCATCACCAACGCCGGCGAAGAGGTACATCATCCACGACGCAACGACACGACACGACACGACACGACACGACACACGCACACTTGGTTTGAAGACTCATTACTCTGTTCCTCCTCTTTGCCTGGCAGCCGCTGAAGCTGATCTCGCCGCATCGTCGGTTGGTCGCGCACGGCACGTTCAAGAAAGTGTTCGTGGGCACCAAGACGCCGGTCAAGGTCAAGAACGGCCACCTGTTCCTCTTCAACGACATGCTCCTCGTCGCGTCCGAGGAGGGCAACATGTTCAAGAAGGCGAGCAAGAAGAAGTTCGTGATTCGCAGCGGCCCGATCGCCATCACCAACGTGCTGCTGTGGAGCGGCAACGACGCCGAGGGGCTCGTGTTCTGCATCGTGCGCATGGACGACAGCAGCGGCCAGATCACCCTCCAGGCCTCTTCGGCCGAAGAGAAATTCGAATGGATCTCCCGCATCAACGACGTACGCCCTCCACGCCAACCACATAACACACAACACACAACACACAACACACAACTAAAATGCGCTTGGATGTGCGTAGTGCATTGTGACGCTGCCCAACGGTGGCTTGCGTGGTGGAGGCGCCGCATCGCCCAGAGAGCCTGCCGACGTTGTGGGTTCGTGCGCCCAACTCTCTCTTCGTTGCACCTCGCTCGTTGAAACTCACACAGTGAACTATCATCATCTTCCTTCCTTCTCACAGAGAAATTCTCTCGCCTGAAGTGAGAAAGAAGCTCCATGTCGTCTGTGCCCTGCTGTAAGAACACAATCTTGTACATAGCAACATTAACAAAAAAACAAAAGCATATTTTTATTTATCATTTTTCACGGTTTTCATGATTATTTCATCTAAATGAGATCTATTTTTTCCGGAAGGGGCAGAAAAGAAGACAAACGTAGAAGAAAAGAAAAGAAGATGAAGAAGGTGCTGAATGCGTTGGGGGGTGGGACAAAGGGGCTGGAGGAGGTGAGCGCGGCAGAAGTGGCCAGCGGCACCTACCTGTCGGTGGAGGAGGTGACGGCGCTCATGGAGGCCTTCAAGGCCAAGGGCAACAGCAAGGGCCCCCATCGCGCTGAAGCCGTTCCTCAAGGTGGTGGAGGAGGTCAACCGTACCTACCACCAGCCGCTGTTCAACCACGACGAGGCCCAGCTCACCTTCCACCTCCTCGACACCAACCACGACGGCAAAGGTACCCCCACCTATACCGATATATTTATATATTAATATTTTTATTTTCATTCCTATTTAATATGTACTCCATTTAGCATTAAATGCTAAATATGCATATGTATTATATTTAATTCAAATATTACTGAAATGCTCAAAAAAGTGGTTTAAAGTGCAAATAATAATGAAAACGAAACAGTGGTAATAAAAGTAATGAATAGATAAATACAACTTTCACGGTGCGTGCAGTGGACCCGTTCGAGTTGATCTACGGGGTGTCGGTGCTGTGCGAGGGATCGGAGCAGGACAAGGCCGAGCTGGTGTTCAAGGCCATCGACCTCGACAACAACGGACGCATCTCCAAGGCCGAGCTCCTCGGCTACCTCGGTACCCGATATCGTGTTGTGCGTCGTGTGGTCCTGTGTGTGCGGTTGCGCGTGTGCGTGTGTGGTCCTGCGTGTGCGTGCCGTGCGGTGATCTGATGGTGGGGAGGGGCCAACAGAGATCACGTTCACGGTGGCGGAGAAGATCGCGAAGGAGCACATCAAGCGGGGCAAGCTGGCCCACAAGAAGGAGCTCCTCGATCTCGCCGCGAACGCCAAGCAATCCCTCCTCGACAAGAACATCGACGACATCTTCAAAGCCGACACCAACAAGGCAGCCTTCTCACCTTCGTTTTATTATTATTTGTTATTATTATTTATTTATTATTATGTTGTTGTCATTTTTGTATTTATTCATTCATTCATTTCTGTGTATTACAGGACGGCAGCATAGACCTGGAGGAGTGGAGGACGGCGATCGCCAACAACGCCGCCATCAAGAGCCTTATCAACCCCTCGCGGAGCGTCTACGTCATCCAGGAGACCGTCGACAGAGAAGCCCGGGAGTGAACCAGAAGTGGTCCGCCTGACAAGGTGTGGCCACAATAAAGTTGCTTGTATTCAATCGATAGCGACTCCGCTTTTCTCACATGTTGCTATTATATTCCCCGGGTCTGGCCGCAGTCAGATCTGACTCAGTCCTTCTTCAGTGTGGAGGAGCGCAAGAAGCTCGGCCCACGGTTTTATGCCCCCCCCCCCAACCCAAAAAAAGTGGCCACCGCGGTGCTGGTGTGATGATGGTGCTCCGACGAGGGGCTGGACCTGGCGCGTGGCCTGCTCGAGCCGGAGCCCGAAGATCGTCTGACGTTTTTGTTGAAGCGCTACAGCATCCTTTCCTCCTGACCAGCTCTGCGTGAGTCATCACTCCCTTTCCCGGCTTTTGGACTGTTACTTCGACCACGCTGGTGAGATCGTCGAGATCTGGTACTTCGTCGTCAACGCCTCGGTCTCGACACCAACTACTCGTTCAAAAAAAAATTTAAAAATCAAGAGGCTCGTCGTGTGTACAATCATCATTATCAGGCGGTGGGGTAGTGGCCCTCCTCCCAGGCTTGCTCGTTGTCGTGGGTCTGGCACTCGCGGCCGCTGAGGTAGGCGCAGTAGGTAGCGGGGAAGTAGCCCACCTGCCGGATGATCTTCTCGCCCTGGTAGTCGGGCGGTGCGCTCTCTGGTGGCGATCGACCGCCGCCGCCGTAGGAAAGCTCGCCGAGCCACCAGCCGCTGCCGTGGATCTCCACCACCATCAACACATCGCCCTGTCGCACACGCAGCTGTGGGGAATCGATTGCGCGCAGAGAAACAGGTGAGTAGCGCAACACACTACACTAACCGTGATTTTTAGCTCCGAACCTCGCCTTGCGTGTGGGGCGGCGGCTCATAGTCAAAGAGCGCTCGGACCTAAAAGAGAAAGAAGAAGGAAAAGAGCGAAAGCGATGTCAAAAGACTGTGACAGCTTGGGGGGGGTTAGAGCGGGAGGCGGGTCCCGTACGTAGCACTTGTAGTGGGGCTCGTAGTCAACCTTGGCGAAAAGGCTGTCGTAGTTTTTGATGAGCGCCAGCGTGATGCCGTTGATGTGTGCAAAGTCCTCCAGAAGCTGCTCGTCAGGACCTGCAATGCCAAAAAATAAAAAAAAAATGTGAGACGACACGACACGACAGACGACACGCAAGACGACGTTGTGTGCGTGTGCGGCGTGTGCGGCGTGTGCGGTGTGTGCGGTGCGTGCGGCGTGTGCGTTACCGGCGAGGGCGCGCAGAAGATTGGGTCCGAAGATCATGCCCAGGTTGTCCTCGTTCATCTTGTTCTGGGCCGAGTGCTGGCTCACCTTGCGCAGGGTGTACACGATTCGCTTGAGCAGTCGCTGGTTGGGCGTGGGCAGCAGGTCCACCAGCCCGTGCAGATCCACCGGCTGCCCCATACCTGCACAGATCGCAGCAAATGAAGTGGTTAGGTGCGTGTGCGGTGCGTGCGGCGTGTGCGGTGCGTGCGGCGTGGGCGTACGGAGGGCGGCCTTGGCCTTGGCCAGGAAGCAATCGTAGAGTTCGAAGGTGAGCAGAGGTTCGGGCAGCTGGCGCAGGTACAGCTTGAGCAGGTCACATATCACCAGATCGTCCATGTGCCACAAGTCCAGCGTTTTGCCTGCACGCACCTCAGCACATCAGTCATCGCCCACACCGCACACACCGCACACACCGCACACACCGCACACACCGCACACACCGCACACACCGCACACACCGCACACACCGCACACACCGCACAGTGACGATACCATCGTTGAGCGCGTTGCGGCATTTCTCGAGGGCTTCGGCGTTGGCCGCCAGGCGGAACATGCCCTGGGTGTGGAGCATGGTCTGTTCGATGTGGAGACACACCTGCTCGATGAAGGGCGGCACTTTGAAGCCCGCCTCCACGTGCTCCTTGAGCGCCGCCGCCAACGGCACACCGAACAGGCCTCGATTGTCGCGACACTCACGGCCGTCAGCACGCCGCGTGCGCGGTGACATGTGTTGTGTGTGTGCGGCGTGTGCGGTGTGTGCGGCGTGTACCTGTGACCGAGTTGTTGCGGTAGTTGGTGGGACCAGAAATGCGGAGGGCGGAGGTGAGGGAGTGCGACTTGTCCTTTTCCTTGTTCTTGTTCTTCGCCAGCGAGCCCCTATGTTCGTTTTATAAAATAACTTAATAATTATTATTTATCATTTATTTATTGTAAAATGCTCTGATGCATGACAAATAAATGTGACCCTTAAAATAAATATTCTGATGGGAGGTACCGCGACAGGGAGCCGGCACGACGCCGAAAGGTGCTGACGAGCTTGGATTTGCTCGAAGATGAACTCAGATCCATTATTTATACCGAACCAGTATCAGCAACAGAAACTCCTCCCTCTCTATGTTTGCTTCTTCTCTTCTGCTGACTTTTTTTATGGTTTTATTTTTAATTTTTAGTTTTAGTCTTGCGGCGCAATTGGACGTTTGCGCTGCAACCCGAAATTCCATCACCCCGAATGTCCGCTCTGCTTCAGGGCCAACCGATGTTGTGGTACAACTTGACCTACAGCTGTGCATTTATCTGCCCTACAGTTGTTAAATATCTTTTCTTCTTTTTCTTCATTCTTACATTTGCCAGCTTCACACCACCACCATCACCACCTTCTAAAATTGGTGGTGATTTGCTGCTGACGCTGGTGATGATGGCTGATCAGGAGATCAGGAGAGGAGGCAGTAGGTACAGGTCTTGCGGCCTGACATGAGCGCGGTGGCCTCGCTGGCAAACTTCATGGCCTCCTCGTAGTCCCGGTCGTTGAGCCGCAGCTGCTCCTTGGGCACCTGCTCGTCCATCGTGCCATAACCACCGCCGCCTCGCCCGCCCGAACCGTCGTTCAGCACCTTCTCGCTGCCGTCCTCGAGCCGCAGCACCTCGGCCGGAATGAACTCATCGTCGTCGTCGCCTCCGCCGCCGCCTCGTCCGCCGCCGCCTTCGTAGCTGCCCCGGCCACCACCGCTGTTTCCTCGTCCCCGCGCGCCGCCACCGCCTCGGCGGTAGTCGTCGTCATCGTCGTCATCGTAGGCGCCACGCCCGTAGCCGCCACCACCACCGCCGCCGCCATAGCCGCCTTTACCACAAGAGAGAAAGAGATCACGTCAACACACATGATCGCACGCACTCACGCACACGCACACACTCACTGCCTCTCTGACGAAGGGATACCTCGGGGGCTTTTGCTCTTTGCTCGTCTGCCGTAGTCTTCATCAGAGTCCTGGCGACCCTCTGTGCGCACAGAGCGAGCGAGCGAGCGAGCGAACGAGGACAAGAGGTTGTTAGACGAACGTCAGAAGAAGAACGAAGAAGAAGAACGAAGAACGAATGCGTACTTCGATGAGACGAGATCTTGCTTCCTCGTCCCTTCTTGCCCCGATCACCGTCGCTGTCGCTGTCGAACTCAGACTCTGCGAAATGGAGGAGAGAGCGCAATGCGTAAGATTCGCTCAATGAAGCAGCCGAGCGGCGCTGTCGTCATCGTCGTCGTCATCGTCATCATAGGCGTGGCGACTCACGAGCCAGCGGCGACTGATGGGGCAGGGGGCAGTGGTACCTGAGTCGCCGATCTCAGAGCCGTTCTCCGAGTCGCTGTAGTCGGTGTAGCTGTCACCGTCGCTGCCCTTCTTCTTTTTCTTTTTGATTCCCAAGATGGACCGCCTCTTCGACTTCTCGCCTGTTTAGAAAAGGAATAAATTAAAGAAAATAAAACGATTAACAATAATAAATAAATAAATAAATAAATAAAGATGAAGTAATAAATCGGACTATTTCTTTTAATAAAAGAAATTGAGTAGTACCGCCAGTTTCGGGTGTGCCGAGGGATGCGCTGGAGGACTCTCGCTTGAGTCGCTTCTTCCTCTCCTTCTCCCGCTTCTTCTCCTCCTTCTCCCTCTCCTTCTCCCGCTTCTTCTCCTCCTTCTCTCGCTTCTTCTCCTCCTTCTTCTCCTTCTTGCTCGCCGTGCTGCTCGTGCTACGCGTGCTCTCTGTGCTGCCACGTCGCGATCGCGATCGAGATGACGATACCGAGTCGGTGTCGGATTCGCTGTACTCCGATTCCGATTCATCGTAGTCGGTCATCGAGCCCTCGCCCTTGTCCTTGTTCTTCTTCCTCCTCGAGAATAGGCCACGCAGACCGCGTCGCTTCTTCTTCTCGCCCGAGGCCGAGGCCGATGACGAGATGCTGCGCCTGGACGAAGTCGATTCATCGGAATCGTAGTCCTCTATATCGGTCATCGAGGCCTTCGCTTTCTTCGAAGACGAAGACGACTTCTTCTTGCTGCTCATCTTCTGTTGTGTTGGCCTTTCGCCTCCTTCTCCCTGTATCACTCTTTGTCTTCGCTAACAATGAATCGAGTAGCGAAATCGTTCGATTGGCAATCAATCACCCCCCCGCTTTGACGATCAAAATGTGTGTCTGTCTCCTGAGCAGACGCGAGCGGATCACGCGACGTGCGTGTGGGGAGGGTGAACAGAAGCGCTGTGTGACGATGCTTCTCTCGTCGCTCACCCCAACAGAAGCAAGAACCCTGGACACGACTTCCGGCTTTCTCGGCACGCCGGTTCGAATCCGTATTCGGACCGTTGCATAAAAGATGTGATATCAAGCCAACGTGTTCACACAACGTCCCACCATGTGTTGCCGGTCATGAACCACAACGCCTCAAATGAGAAAGGTAAGATCTATACATTTACACCCAATGTTTGCTCTTGTGTATAGTAGTACTGTCAGGTGACCAGAGTTTATGCTCGGCGTTCACGAGGGACGAGGGTGAATCCCAGAGCCCCGATTGACGGTCTCCTGAATGGCATACACGCTCCTGGACGGGTTGATCATACTCTTAATGGCGACGTTGTTGACCGCCCCTGCCTTCCACTCTTCCAGGTCTATGCTTCCATCCTGCACGAAACCACATACACCACATTATTGGAATGTGTGAAGAAATTGGCTGTGTGCAGTGCAGGCGCGCACCTGGTTGGTGTCAGCCTCAACACCTCATCTAGGCTTGACTCTAGGAGGGACTTCTTGTAGTTGGCTGCAATGTTGAGGAGCTCCTTCTTGTGGCCAGCTTGCCCCGCTTGATGTGCTCCTTCGCGATCTTCTCCGCCACCGTCAACGTGATCTCTTTTGCCCATCGTCCTACCATCAGCCGTCGGCCAGCGCACAGTCGCACACGACACGAACGCACCCACGTAGCTCAGGAGCTCGGCCTTGGAGATGCGTCCGTTGTTATCGAGGTCTATGGCCTTGAACACCAGCTCGGCCTTGTCCTGCTCCGACCCTTCGCACAGTACCGACACCCCGTAGATCAACTCGAACGGGTCCACTGCCCAATTACACTCACGGTTATTGTTGTAGTTATTTATTATTAGTATTTTTATTATCTATTTGTATTAATAATAATAGTAGTATTTTTATGATTAAATAAAAGTGGTAAATATATATCCGTAGGACCTTTGCCGTCGTGGTTGGTGTCGAGGAGGTGGAAGGTGAGCTGGGGCCTCGTCGTGGTTGAACAGCGGCTGATGGTAGGTGCGGTTGACCTCCTCCACCACCTTGAGGAACGGCTTCAGCGCGAGGGGCTGCCCTTGCTGTTGCCCTTGGCCTTGAAGGCCTCCATGAGTGCCGTCACCTCCTCCACCGACAGGTAGCGCCCGCTCGCCATCTTCACCCAACCCTTCGCTCCGCCATTGTTGCTATCGTCCGCCATTGCAGTGCCCAGCCACCACTTGCTTATGCTTCACGTTCTGCTGAGCGGAGCCTTCACCTTATCGAGCGTCAAGTTACAGCGCAACTGTTTGTATTTTGTTTTTTTGAAAAAATGTTTATTTAAAGTCTGGGGTGGCGGAGCCGAGGTAGGTGCGGACGTCGGCCGGGGTCACCTTCACGATCTTCGCCCGTACGGTGGGCTTTCCCAGCCGTCGGTGGGCCTCGTAGCGATGGCACCCGCCGAAGGCAAAGTAGTAGTTGTTGGCCGGGTCGCGGCCCTGCACCCACATGACGTCGATGGGCGGTACGAGGTGTCGCGTGGCTGGGTCGCTCAGGGTGCCCATGATGGACTCCACCTTGGCATTATCGATCTCGAGCGGCAGTCCGCGGGCGATGGCGGCGAAGGGCATCTCGTGGATCTCTGCCACACTTCGCGTGTGGATGCTCATGTCGTCCTCCCCCTCCTGCTGCTTCTGGATGCTGCTGGTCGTGGTTTGCTCTTGCTGCGCTTGGGCCATTGTTGTTGGTGGTTTGTTTGGTTTGCGAAGTGAATGAACGCAAGAGGTTTTGTGGGTGGTGCTCTCGGCGATTGGCGTGCCATTCCCTGTTTGCTTTTTTTCCTTTCCTTTTGGGGATTAGTTCCTCATTTCCAGGAACTGAACAATGGCAAAAAGCCCACACCTGCTGGAAAGTTCCCTGCTGTCCGCCCGAAGCCCTAAACTGTGCGACACCTCTACCGCCAGCTACGTCATGTGGGTGTGTACCTGCTCTCTTGGTTTGGGGTACCATCAAGAACTTGCCAACAAGAACTGCAACCACCCGAGCCAAAAATAAATTATAAAAACTGCGTTCTCATTTTGTATTCCGGAATAAATCCGTCAATTGCCAACACAGGCAGAGCAACACGAACGCAGGCAAGACATTTCTACACGCAGCAGAAGTAGTACGCACATTCACATTCACATCGAGCACCAACCGAGACACCACAAGATTCAGATTCGTCCGAACGAAAAATCAACACAAGATGAGTAGTAAAATCAGTCAAGCCGAGAAGGGATCGTCGCAGCAGCTCGTGTTGCTGGACGACGATGAGGTGCGCCAAGCGATCACCGCACGTGAGGCCATCAAGGTGGTGGGCGAGGCCTTCGTCCAGCTGCATACCAAGGACGCCCAGGTACGCCTTTCCTTCCCAGTCCGCCTCTTTTTCATTGATTGACATCTGTGATTGCAAATTTCTGCTGACAAATGGACTGAATAATTTCACAATTGATTGTCCTTTGTGCTGCTGCGCGCTACTCTGCCCCATTAAAATAAACCATTTATTTTCTCTTGGTTTGAAAGCAATTTCCATCAATGGCACGGGTAGGGCGGGGTGAGGCTTCTCCCTTTTCTCACTTCTAACCCTGTTCTACCCTGGCAGGAACCAGTTTTATTTTTTTGTTACGTTTACATTATTTATGTTTATATTTCTCCACTCCCACTGCGCTGACGCTCTCTTTAGGTGCCTCTTCGCACCGGCATCGCCACCAGCGAACCAGGTGCCGCCACCTTCTTCATGCCGGCGCGAGTCGCCAAGACCGGCGCGCTCGGTATCAAGCTCGGTACGGCACGCTCCTCAGCCGGCCAAGTGTGAATCCAACATTTCTCACTCCGTTCTCTGTTTTAACCTCCGATCCCTCTTTATCTCTGTGTGGTGCGTTCCATTTGTGTGCGTTGTGTTGCGTGCGTGTGCGGCGGTGCGTGTTGCGTGTTGCGTGTGCGTGTGCCATGAAACAGTCAGCGTGCGACCAAGCAACGCCGGCCGTGGACTCCCCACCGTGCCGGCTGTTGTAATGCTGCTCGACGAACCCACCGGCCTGCCCGTCGCACTCATGCAGGCGCGTTTTCTCTCTTCTCCGTTTGGTTTGTGTTACACGACCGTTGTTGCTGACTTTTCTTTTCTTTCCATTTTCCCGCTTTTTCTTCTACAGGCGACGCAGCTGACGGCCATCCGCACTGCGGCGGGCTCCGCGGTCGCCACCAACGCGCTGGCCAAGAAGAACGCGCACGTCATGGTGGTGTTCGGTACGCCCAGCGCCAAAGCTCTGCGACGACAACGCGCACGTGCACGGTGAGTCACTGAGGGGGCCGCGGGTCGCGCATTGGTGGGGAGCAGGTGTGGGAGAGCAAGCGCAGGCTCATACTGAGGCTATCTGCACCGTGCGAAGTATTAAGGAGGTACGTCGTGTGTGTCGTGTGTCGTCACGTGTGCGCACACGTCTATACGAGCGCGGCTTTGCTGACGTAAAATCACAACGACCAACACACACACACACACACACAAAACAAACAGGTTTACCTCATCAACCGAACTAAGTCGAAGGCGCTCGACCTGCAGCAGCGCTACCAGGCCGCTGTGGGCCACGGCTACACCGAAATCACCTGGCATGTCGTTGACAAGGACTCTGAAGGTAACAAAAAAACACGCACCACCACCCATCTCGGTGCAAAGTCGTCGTCCGAGCCGCAAGCGTCGTCTCACGCCTGTGGTCGTCGTGTCGCTGTGTAGATGAGAACAAGGCCGTGAGTCGGGCGGACATCATAGTGACCGCCACCAACTCCTCCAAACCCATCTTCAACGGCAAGTACCTGAAGCCCGGCGTGCACATCAACGCCATCGGTACCCGAACCCCTCCCTTTTTATTTTGAATTTCTCTTTTTATTATAGAATGAGATAGGAATAAAAAGAAATAAAAAATAAAGAGATAATATCTTAATATAATATCTTAATATCTTTCTCTACATATCTGTATTTCTCTGCGCTGGCGTCACTCGCTGATTCTGTACGGTGCTCTTTGCAGGGTCGTATTCTCATTCGATGCAGGAGCTGGACGAAACGACTGTACAGAGCGCCAAGGTACGACCATGGCCTCGTCACATGCGCTGCCTTGAATGGATTGAATGTTGCGATTGACTCACAAAATACCACGATTGCAGATCGTGGTTGATAACCGCGAGGCGGCGCTGAAGGAGGCCGGCGATATCGTGATTCCCCTCGAGAAGGGTCTCATCACCACCAGCAGCATAGTCGCCGAGCTGGGCCAGGTCCTGGCCGAAGAAATGGTGACGCTCCACACAAACACACACACACGCACACACACAACACAATGGAGTCGCCTGAGCACTGACACATCCCTCGACACGAACACGAACACGAACATGACAGGAGGTGCGTCAGTCGGATGAGGACATCACGCTGTTCAAGTCCGTGGGCAACGCCGTGCAGGACGTGTCGGTGGCTCACGCAGTCTTCCTCGCCGCCCAGAAGCGCGGGCTCGGCGAGCGCATCGCCTTCAATCCCACCGCCGCTCGCCTCTAATTTTTGGCATTTGAAAAAATGTTTTGTTGATGAGAAAGTGTACCACAATGGGTCCAAACATGAGGATTGCTGCTGAAGCCTTTGGCAAAAAGTTTGTTCACAAAAACTGGGAAAGTGATGGCACAGAACAGCTTAGAGGGAGATCTTCCAGTCCTCGTTGAAGAGGACTTCAGTGGAAGAGGGCAGGGTCCACTGCCACCACACCTGGGTGTCCTTGTTCTCCATGTGGCAATCGAAGATCTGTGTGGTGGTGCGTGTGGGTGTGCGGTGAGTTTGTGTCGACTGTGCGTGTGCGGTTCGGAGAGGAGCGCGTACCCAGAGGATGCACTTCTTGATCTGGTAGAAGGACTCGAAGTAGGCGTCCATGGGGTTGTTGGTCCTCTCGACGTCGAAGCCGACCTCGCACTCGGAGCCGTGGATGTAGGCCTGCGGGCGGATCTGGGTGTTGACCTGGGCGGCGAGCTCAATGCCGGCCGAGATGATCAGCAGGTCGAGCTCCACGTCGCCCTGCGCGGTGAAGGTCGCGCCAGGAATGAGCTCTGCACCGCACGCGTTAGTGATCGGAGTTAAAAAAACACGGTTGAAAGCGTCGAGGCAAAGGGGACGGAGGCGTTACCAACAAGGGCGGAGAGCTCAGAGTCGCAGATGGACCAGCCCCAGTCGACGTTCAGGGTGACGCCAGCGCTGGCCGAGAAGACGACGGGGATCACGCTGATCCACACCACGTACGAGGCTGTGACATGTGGTGTGAGTCGAGCGGGAAAAAAAAGAGCGAAAGAGAAGGAGAAATAGAACGAAAGCGACAAACAACGCGACGTGTACCGGAGATGACGGGGGAGGTGTGGAAGAGGTTGTAGGTGTGCTCCATGCAGTCGACCTGGGGGAAGGGCTGGTCGATGACGGTCTGGCCCAGGAAAACGAGCGAGAACTGGTCGGCGAGGTGCACGCCGTTGTCGGCGCCGTAGATGGCCTCGGCGGTGAAGACGGTGGCGGTCTCGGTGAAGAGGGTGACGGCACCGGTCACCTCGGCGAGGCCCTCGTAGTTGAAGTACTGCTGGTTGCAGTCGAAGTTGGTGCCGATGAAGAGCTCGCCGTGGAGGTCGAGGTTGACGTCGCGGCCACCGATCACCAGGTCCTTGGTGTACGAGCGGTTGAAGGGGAAGTCCGAGCCATCGACGATGGCCGACAGCTGCATGTCCAGGGTATCAGCGTTCTGGGGCATGTACTCCTTGAGCAGACGCCTGATGTTCGACCTCAGGTTGGGCTCTGTAGACGCGTCAGACCACATTGTGAGTTATAATAATAATAACTATCATAGTTTGACTCCGATTGGAAAAGAATGAAAGCGAAGGGAAAGCGATGAGAGGAGGTTGTACCCTTCCTGAAGAGCCTGATGGCCTTCTCGACGATCTTGGAGGGCGGGACGACGGAGGGACCGGCGTTCTTGATGGCAGCGAGCACGGTGGCGAGCTGCTGCACGTCGTACGAAGGCGTGGCGGCGAGCAGGTCCACGAGGACCTTACCTCCGGCCTTGGCCGCCGGGCTGTACAGCTTCTTCAACACAGTACCGTAGGCAAGCAGAGCAGCGTGCCTGTGTGTGTCGTGTGTCGTGAGATTCGGAGTTAAAAAGACGTAACAACGAAGGAAGGGAACGCACTTCGTCTTGGAGTCCTGGGCGGCCATGGCGATGGAGTGGAGCGAGCCAGCGAGGGCCGAGGTGGGCGTCTGCAGGGTGGCGGCGGTGACGATGGCGTGCAGCCGGACCTCGGCGTCGGCCGACGACAGACCGTACTCGATCAGGCTCTTGCTGTCGTCCAGCGCCGCGAGGAGGTAGAACAGACGGTCGCGCAGCACCTGGCTGCTCATCACGTCGGCCTTCTTCAGGTAGTTCTCCAGAATGTTCATGTCCCTGTTTGTGCACGAGGGCACGGTGACGTCAGCAGCGCACTCAATGAAGGGTATTTAAGGAGGCGGTGCGTACTCCTTGTGGACCTTAAGGTAGCGGATGACGCGGGTGATCTGGGCGAAGGCGTGGGCGCCGCCCTCGGAGGAGAAGATCTTGCTGAGCTCCTCGGCGACGTCCATCGGCTGCGGGTTCTGGGCCTTGAACAGGGCCGCCTTGGCCGAGTAGCCGTGGAACGAGTCCGTCAGGAACGTGCGGTTGCTGCGGAGGCCGGCAAAGTTGTACGTCTCCTTGGGGCTGAAGCGGCTGGACGCAGTCTGTGCATGTTGTGTGCGGTGGTGTGCGTGTGTGCGAGTTACATTGAGTGGACCGCACACACGAAGACGACACACGCCACACACACGACAAGGCTGATGGCACGTACCCTCATGGGACCCTTGACCATGTTGACCTGCTGGAGGTTGACGTTCATCTGACCGTTGGAGAGCATGAACATGTTGAAACCGTTGTTATCCCTCTTGCCCTGTTGTTGCATTACCGCACGACACACACCGCACACGCACACAGTCAACAGTTGTTTTTTTCATGACTGGATTCAAGGAAACTGGGGTGAAAAAGAGTGAGGTGGTTACCTGGCCGTGCTGAGCGGGGGGCGTGTTGACGAGGAGGACCTTCTGGCTGAAGCTGGTGGACTGGATGTAGCCGGCCGGGTGGACGGACACGCCCTGGTTGGCGTTGAGGATGAGGTCGCTCGCCGAGAGGCTGGGGTCAGTGGCGAACTTGGTGAAGTCCTTCTGGTCGAACGACTTGGCAACGCTCAGGCCTGGTACACCCCACACACACCACCACCGCACACGACACGACACACACGAGGCATTGATGTCAGTTATTTTAGCTCCGAAGCGAGTAAAAGAAAGAAGCGCGTAGAGTCGCACTGTTGTCGGCGTTCTTCGAGCCCACGAAGTCGGAGTTGTGGACACCGATCAGATCGGTCTCCTGGTACTGGAAGGTCTGCTGGTTGGCAGGCACCACCCTGGTCTGGAACTGGTTGATCGCGCCAGCCTGCAATGGAGCAAAAAACACAAGGATTATGTGACTCCGAACGCCAAAACAAGTAGGAGAGGAGTTGGTATCGGTCGTTACCTTGACGTTGACAAAGTACGGGGAGTCGCCGGTGTTGTACCAGATCTTGACGATCTCGCCGGTCTTGAGCTGCTGGAAGTACATGTTGTCGCCGAGGGCGTTGTTGCTGCCCAGACCGATGAGCGTGGCCTTCTCCTTGAAGATGACCTCGCTGGCCGAGAGCGAGTTCTGACCCACGTTCACGGTGGTGTCGAACATGTTCATCACAAACCTGCGACCCGCCCACACCAACAACAAGAAGATCGAAAGCGACATGTGGTCAGAAAGAACGAAGAACGAAAAAAGAGAAACGCGACAGCGAAAGAGCGAAGCTCGGGAAGAGTACAGGTAGGAGGTGGCATCCATGTCGGTACACTGGTAGACGACGGTGCTGTTCATGAGGGCAATCGAGCCACCGCCGGGCTGGAGGGTGAGCGAATCAGCGTGGCGAGCATCCACGCTCGAGCCCATGCCGAACACGAACTCCTGACCTGCGAGGTGGAAAGTCGCGAGTGGGTGAGTGTGCGCTTCGTATCAATGGAGCGGATCTACGGTCGCAAGGTAACTGATGATCGCCTCGTGCGGATTGGCTCACTTTTTTCCAGCGGGTTAAGGTGGCGCTGCAATTTCAGCCCATTAATTTAGGTCCGAAGTGGCATAAGAAGAAGAAGATGCATCGTCTTGCAGTTGATGAAGGAGAAGAAGCTTCGAGTTCTACAAAGCGCATCATAGATGACCGGAGTGGGTTTGGAGTGTGTTTGTGCAAGTACTACTTACCAATCTGATAGGTCAGCTGGGTGGGCTGGGCGGCGACATAGGCGGCCAGCAGAACGACCACGAGGAGCGAAAGCGCCTTCATCTTGGGGCACAAGTGACAGTAGAAGAGGAAGAGGATGGATTGGGAGTGGTCCTACTTCTGCTGCTGTTTTTTCCTGGCGTGTGCTGGGCACAAACGCGTCAACAAATTAACCAACGCAACGGCGATTGGCCGAGAGATGTCTGTTGCGCGTGCTGATGAGCTTTCGGTCGCAGTTTCCGTGCCGACGCAGCTCTTGTCCGGTTTTATCCTGGTACAGCTTAAGTGTTTTCGGAGCCCCAACACACGCGCCCACCGAATTCCATTATGTGCGAACCACCATTTATCCTGTCGTACCCCCAACCGAAGTGAGCCCACCTTGTGTTGGACTAAGTGAGTGTGTGCCTTCTTGAAGGAGAAGATAGCGGAGGGCACACACTTCACTCCGCTGCTTGTGGTCTCTTCAGGTCGGCGTTTCTTGTTTTGCTTTCCGCTTCTTCGGTAAGTTTGGACCGCAATCACCCCAAGTGGCGTTCGCAGAACGCAGCACTGTGGGACCACCAGTTCAAACCAAGGCTGGGCAACCACTCAAAGGCAACAAACTCAAACGCGCCAACACACCACAAACATCAACAAACCGGAGCTGGTCCAACGATGGCGGTGCTGGGCGAGACGAAGGAGAAGGGGGTTGAGATCTTCCTCACCCTGGTGGAAATCTGTACAGCCGTCACCGCCATTGTGCTGGCGGCCATCGCCCTGCAGCAGTCAGTGGCCGGCGACCCGTGCGAGATGAAAGATTACAACGCCACCCTGGCCAACCAGACTACGGTGGAGAATAACGGGACCTCGTTCTTCGACGAGACGTGCTTCATCATGAACGATACGAAGCAAATCTGCTGCGGCCGGGACAAGGGCGCGGTCCTCATCAACGCCGGCGTGTTGCAGCTCTCCGGCGTCGTCTTCATTCTCCTCTCCATCCGATTGATCGTCACCATCTGGCGCTGCTGCGAGGTGCGGAAGGAGCCCCTGCACGACCCCATGAGCAAAGGATCCATCAACGCCGGCCTCTGATTCAAAAAATCACAATGTAAAGCCCCTATTTATTTCATTAATTAATTATAATCGGGTCACTCGATTGTTCATCCTCTTCCTACTCGCATCTTTATTGCATTTCTATCTTTCTTGTTTTTCAATTGTTTGTTGCGTGCTTTGACCAAGGAGGAAGTGGCCATCAATCTCGTGTGGGTGCTCGCGAGGCTTGACGTGATGGTACGCGAGGACGAGTGCGAGCGGGGAGCTGGCTACTCCTTGGACTTGTGGGCCAGTGCGGCCGCGTTCTCCCAGTTGACGCCGTCGAAGGGGATGACGCGCATCTCCTTCACCGTGCCCTCGTCCAGACATCGTGCATTGACCGAGTAGCCATCAGGGTCTGCACGGCATTGACGTGCAATGGCCAACACGAGTGCAAGCACACGCACGAAACGACACACGCATGGCACGCACACGCACACACGCCACACGAGATGGTGAGGTGGTGACCACATGTGCAAGAGGAGGTGGAGGCGAGGACGTACTGGACCGAGGAATGTAGAATGACCCAATGCCGCAGGTGGAACAGAAGTAGTGCTTGGCCGTGTGCGTCCCAAACGTGTAGAGCGACAGCGCCTCCTGTGAGCCTTCGCCCAAGCGGAACCGTGACTTGGGCACAATCAAGTGCAGGAAACCCTTCCTCTGGCCTGTTGGATCAGGATTGATTAATGGAAACAAATCTGTGAAAATCATTGCTATGCGCAAAGATGGAGATTTTACAGATGGAGCAGTTGCAATCGTCAACTTCAAGTACCTCCGGGGCATCGATCTCAAAGCGGACCTTACCACAGTGGCAACCGCCCTTGTGCACCACCATCTTGCCCTCCGCACAATCCATCTTTTATTTTATTTCGTGTTGCTGCTTTTTCGTGCGAAAGAGGAAGAGGACACTGTCTAGGTTTATGGAACGGCCAGAGAGTCCAATCTTTTGTCGGAGGACGGATGGCCGAGTTGGTCTAAGGCGCTACGTTCAGGTCGTAGTCTGGGTCTCCAGGCGTGGGTTCGAATCCCACTTCGTCCAACACCTTTTGTGGGCCAAAAAGGTGGCCCTCTCAAACCGCACAGGTGCCTAACAATGAAGTAGGCGCTGAGAAGCGTACATGCAAGGTGGATGCGGTGATCCTCTTCTTTTGCTTCTTACAAAAACGCAAAGAGGAACAACGAAAGCTTTGAAGAAGAGAGTTGAGGGAAAGAGAGAGTCCTGTCCAGCCACGAACTAACGACCGAGCCGTGGTAGGAGATGGTGCCAACGTGCGCGACGTTTGCCGACGCCAAGGTGGTCGTGAGTGACCGATGTTGCTCTAGAGAGGAGGAGGAGGAGAAGGAGGACCGAGACACTGCAGGAGAGATAGTCATTTGTCCTTGTACTCGAATGCCTGCAGTGTGTCTTCCCATCCTCTGCATAGCAAACACCCGCCATGCACAATCGTGAGCTTCATGACTGCGTTCACCGTGGATGGGGGAGGGGGATGATGAGTGCGTACCCGCCCTTGGGCAAGTTGAGAACAACGTCGGAGAACTCGCCAAGGAGTCCGTCCCCGTTTGTGTCCACCCGCCCCTCGTCCAACGTCTCCGCACCCTCGAGCACCTTGGCGGCCTCCTCGAGCCCCACCAGGTCGTCCTTTTCCTCTCCGTCCGATGATCCATCCACAGATGCTGCAGAATGGAGAGATGTGATGGTTCGGTCAGAGATTGCATGTTTCCCACTCTTGGGGGGCTAATCGCAAGTGAAAGTGTGGGAAGTAGTGAGAAGGGAAGAGTACACAGTAGGTGGTACATACCCTCCGCCTTTCGTCCCCGTCTGGCTCTCTTGTTGCCAGGGGAAGTGTGGTGGAGATGGTGAAGCGCGGCGAGCTCATCGATCGCGCCAACTGATTCCAGGCTGCCCAATCCGCCATCGTCCTCGGCTTCGGCCTCCTGCAGCATGGTCAGGGAGGATCGCTTCCTCGTTGATGGGCTGCGGGTGGGCCGGACGCCCTTCTCGCCTTGTGTGAGCAAGCGGACGGCTCTCTTGTAGCCGATGTGAAGCTCATGGCGCAGCTCATTTGTCGAGATGTCGCGTCCCTCGTCTCTGCACTTGTGAATGAAAGCGATTACGGCCTCGTCTGATACGGACTCGCTCGCATCTCGCTTGGGTGTGGTCTTGGATCGCCCACCGTCTGGGTTCGTGGGGCCAAGCTCATCATCGTGCAGCCTCTTCGCTCGCTTGTATCCGATCCCGAACTTCTTTCTCAGATGCTCCACCGATACATCCGATCCCTCACCCTTCTTGGCCGCGAGGTTTTTGATGTACTGCCGAATGTGATCGTCCGCCACCTTTTCTCCTCTCGCCTTACTATTCATCTTCCTCTCCTTCTTTCTCCCTTGTCTTCTTCCTTATCTTTCGACGACCTGTCTTGTGCTGTAACGACTTCGCCCGCCTCCAAACGCTGCAATCTGATGATGATCAACCACTTGCCTCTTTCCCCTTTCAACGGTTCTGCCGGCAATAGGGGACATGACCACCTTTCGTCGTTGGTCAGCGTCGACAGTCGTGTCCGACGTGGCATGACGTCTGCCAACAGACAAAAAGGATTGGGCGCCAAAAGGTGGGGGGGGTGAATGTAACGGTTGAAGAAGGTTTTTCTTTTGATTGTCTTTTGTACAGTGGCAAAAAGGAAGAGGATGAGCATGAGGCGAACAACCACATAGTGGCCGCGTCCTCGCCTACCCTCTCTTCGTTCGTTGTGAGCTTAGGCGCGCTCACCACGGATCCTGCGTGCGAGCTGGATGTCTTTGGGCATGATCGTGACCCTCTTGGCGTGAATGGCGCAGAGGTTGGTGTCCTCGAACAGACCCACAAGGTAAGCCTCACCGGCCTCTTGAAGAGCAGCGACGGCGGAAGCCTGGAACCTCAGATCTGTCGTGAATAAAGAAAGAGACGGGTGAGCAAGCCGTTGTTAGAGGCTCAGTAAATGGTTGAGATGGACGTACCAGTCTTGAAATCCTGGGCGAGCTCTCTCACGAGGCGCTGGAAGGGAGCCTTTCGGATGAGGAGGTCGGTCGACTTCTGGTACTTCCTGATCTCGCGGAGGGCCACGGTGCCGGGCCTGAACCTGTGCGGCTTCTTCACGCCGCCGGCCAGGGCGCTCTTCTTTGCCGACTTGGAGGCCATCTTCCGGGGCGCCTTGCCACCGGTCGACTTACGGGCAGTTTGCTTGGTACGGGCCATTGTTGAGTGTTGGTTGGGATGTGTTCGTAACGGTCGTTCTTGAAATGATGACAATGCCACCGTTACACCCCTTTTATAGCCGTTACTGTGTTTTCACATTCCCGGTTTTTGTCCCCGTCCGAAAACACATTTCCGAACCCGGTTTGCTTCCCGGTTACAGGTTCTCTTTTCATTGGCGGGGCCTGTTTTTTTGTACTTTGTCGGCAATAAATGATTTCTTGGTGCAACAAAGGCCTTCACCTGTCCAGGCGCCTGCGCTTGGGGTCGCTCGGTGCGGCCTTCCTGGTCGCAGCGCCGGCGCCACGCGAAGCGGCAGATGACGCAGGTCGCGCGGCTGAAGAAGAAGCTGATCTGCCGGCCGCGGGTCTAGCACCACCGGCCGCGGGCCTGGCCGAAGCGCCACCACGCGCAGAAGAGGCCGAAGACCGCTTGGGCCTGTCGTCTTCATCGTCCGAGTAGTCGTCCCTTCGCCGCTTGCGGGACTGGGGCACGTCATCGTCGTACTTGACCCTCTTGTCCTCCTCGGCCGCTCGCTTCTCGAGCTCGTCCCAGTCGAGGCCCTCCTCCTCCGAGTCCTCACCATCGTCATCGTCATCGTCATCGCCGTCGTCGCTAACGTCGTCGGCCTCCTCGCTGCCCGAGTACGCGTCCGATTCCGATTCCGCTGCCTGGTGTGTGTGTGTGTGTGTGTGCGTGCGCCCGAGATAATAGGTTCAGAATACCGCACACGCCACTGCACGCACACGCACACGCGAGAGGGATCGTAAGAGGAACGCACCTCCTCGTCGGATTGGTCGGAGGGGTTGTAGGCGTCCTCCTCCTCGGACTCGCTGTCGTCATCGCTGCCGCCGTCGGTGTTGAGGAAGTTCCAGCCGCCGTCCTCCCAGAACTTCTTGGGGTCCTCGCGGATGGTCGACAGGATTGTCTTCCAGTTCAAGTTGGCCGGTCCCTCATAGTACTTGATGTTACACTCACTATTGAGTTGTGTAGTTGTGTAGTTGTGTGTGTGTGGTGTGTTGTGTGTGTTGTGTGGTTAGCACTTGATAGCAGGAAGAATGATCGTGGTGAGAGGAATAAATGACTAAATAAAAATAATAAAAAATAAAATAAAATAAATTATGGTGCGTACTCGAGCCAGTCCTTGATGGGGTCCAGGTTTTGAACGGGGATGGCGGAGATGAAGGCGGGCTGTCGCGTGAGGTCCTTGTAGACGAACACGAGATCAAAGTTCTTGAGGGAGAACTGCACGCGCTCAAAAGTGCGCGATGTCGACCTCGTCGAGGGTCAGCACGAAGAAGGGCGGCTCGAGCAGCTGCACCAGGCAGTGCACGGTGGGCATGAGGAACGTGCTGGTCCTGCCCGGCACACCGAAGAATCCCAGCTCCCGGTACGGAATGTCGAACTCCAAGTCCGGCACCTGCAACGCGTGACCACGTTCAGAGTCAAACGTCAGCAAACACACGCACAGCACGCACACGCACACAAGCGCGATTGGCTCATGGTGCGAAGTGGGACAAGACACGTACCAGGTCCTCGACCTTCTTGGTGAAGTTCTGGAAGTCGGCGTTCATCTTGGCCCGCTGCTCCCGCTCGTGGTTCTCGTCGTCGTACTCTTCTCGCTCCATGCCGCGGGGCATGCGACCATCCAGCGCCTGCGCAATCTCCATGACTTCGCTGTACGCTTGGATGTCCTGTTTTGTGCAATGAATCATCAGGTCGTGTCGTGCCGTGTGTGTTGCGTGTTTCGCGTCGTGTGAAAAGAGATACAACGTACGCTGGTCTTCTTCTTGCCCACCATGATGGGGTGCCACAGGTGGAAGTGGATGATGGTGATCACTTCGTTCTCGGCCGGCTGGAAGAAGGCGTGCTTGATGTTCTTGAACATGATGTCCACGTTGCCGCCCTTGGACGAGCGGAAGCGGAAACCGTTCTTGTGAAGCTCCAGCGTGCCCGTCGAACGCCTTCCGCCAAGCGTCGGACGTATGTACAAATCGGGCAGCGAGAGCGGACGACCTATTGAACACACATGCGCGGGAAACAAAGTGAGAAATGACATACACACACACACACACACGACACACACGACACACACACAGAGCACGCGTCTCTCTTGACGAACCTTTGTTGAGGATGAGCTCCTCCTGGGCCACGAGGCTGTCGCGCACGTGGGAGTCGTGGGCGCGCAGCGAGGCCCGCTTGCGCAGCTCGTTGATGAGGCGGAGCGACGTGGCGAGGGACTTGGGGTCGGAGCAGCGGAAGCTCATCTCGCGGATGAACGTGGCCTGGCCGTCCTTCCACACCTTGGGCAGCTTGTCGTTGGGCAGCGTCGAGCCGGGGGTGATGAAGTTGATGCGCAGGTAGTCCTCCGACTTGGTGGCGTTCTTGATGGTCGAGATGTGGAACGGCACCAGCATGCCGTAGATGGGCAGCAGCACGGCCTCGCGCTTCTGGTCGATGTGGATGCGGCCGTTGCGCGCCTCCGGCGGGAACTCAGTGGCCGACCGGTAGGCCATCACCTCCTTCACCACGGCGCCGCCCTCCCGCCCGCCGTCGCCCTTGGACTTGGACCCGAATCGCGCGGCCGCCTCCTCGCGCTTCTTCTTCTCCAGCTCCTCCTGGTGCTTCTTCCGCCGGAGCTCGGCCGCCATGTCCTTCTTGTTCTTGTCGGCGTCGCGCGCTCGCGTGGTGCGCATGCCGAACGCGGCCGCGTCGTCGTCTCGCAGCCTCGACGACGTGCGCCCGGCGGCGGCGGCAGAGTCCTTCTTCTCCTTGCCCTTGCCCTTGCTCTTGGCGGCGGGCTTGTCTTCCTCCTCCTCGGCCTCGTCGTCTTCGCCGACCGAGTAGGAGATGTCGTCCCACGCCGAGGGCGCGTTGGAGGTGAGCGGCTTGGGCTCGCCGCTGGCCGGCACCACGACGGTGTCGGCGATCATCATCGAGTAGACCTTCTTCTTGGGGTCGGCCACGGTGCCCTTGCGCTCGAGGTTGTGGAAGCCGGGCGAGATGTTGAACACCATGCCCTCGCGGATCACCTTCGCGTTCTTGTTGGTGATCGAGAGCGCGGATTCCCTGAATTCCAAGCCCATCTGTGTACCCAAGCGCCACCACGTCAGCAAAAAATAAGAATAAATAAATTGGGCGTTCGAACAACATTGGGGGACGTACGCCGAAGCCACCAGTCTTGACAAAGTGCGGCACCAGCTCGGGCTTCTTCTTTTGGATGTGCTCCACGGCCACCTCCATGATCTTCTTCACAGGGTTGCCGGGCGCCAACGCCTTGATCATCAGCTTGTGTACCTCGAGCAGGAGCGCATAGATCTCCTCTTGCTCCTATATACACGGGTCAATCGTCAGCCCGTGCGCACAGGGGCAGTGCACCTGGAATGGAAAGAATGCAACGGCGGGCTGCGGACCTTGTCGGGGTCGACGAAGTAGGTGCGCGCCACGTTGGAGCAGTAGTGGCGGTAGCGCGCGCCGAGAGAGCAGATGATGGTGCCAAAGTGCAGCTGGTCGTCGTTACTCACGGCGGATGGCTTGAGGTCGTACACGCCGCCGCTCTGGATAATCGGGGTGTAGCACGACTCCACCAAGTCGGCAGTGAGCTGCACGACACACGCACACAGAGGCCGGTTAGTCGAGTCGTGATGGTCAAACACACCGCGCCGCAACAGTAACGAGGGTGAAATGCGTGGAATGTGTGCCTTGGGGTTGATCTTCGAGGGAGTGAGGAAGATGTCGTCGATCTTCTCAGCCACCGCGGAGTGGGTGACCTTCTTCTCCTCGTCGACAATCGTCTCGATCTCGGGCACCACAAAGTTCTTCAGGACCGCCGCGCTGATGGCGCCGGCCGTACGCACGAATTTCTAAAAACAAGCGAGCAACGGTTAGAGTGAGTCGAGTGACCACTGAAAACAGCGTCGATGCCAATGCCGCACCTGCTCTTGCTCGTCCTTGGTCGAGAAGAGGTTGCCGATGGCGTTGGCAGCGTTGACGACGGTGAGGCCGGCGTCATCGAAAGCCTTCTTCCACGCCGCGATGAAGTCGCCCAGAGCCTCCTCGCGCGGCAGAGCGCCCACGCCTCTCTGTTTTATTGTTTTAGTTGTGCGTCAGCGAAAGCTGGTGTGAATGAGGTGGTGGAGGAGGAGGTTGGGACGTACGCCCTCCAGGTTGTCCCTGATGATGGCGAGCAGCCTCTCGAAGTTCTGTGTGTTGTCTCCAGCTTCCATGGGGTAGAGCGCGGTGGAGAGCTCGGGCCTGTCTGCGGGCTGGGCATCGGCGATGCCGCCCAGCAGATCGGCCTTGGCGGTGAGGATGTGGACGCCGCGCTCCGTGAACACCATGACCGTGTTCTCGAGCTCGAACCCGACAAGCCAGTCTTGCAGGGCAGTTGATTTTTTGTAGATGATCTCCTCATCGGGCGTGCCGTTGGTTATAACCAGCACACCGATGTTCTTCCATACGTCTTGTGACTCGGGATTCTGTGGTGTGATGATTCAAAAAATCCATTCGTCACCTCAAAACGTTCTAAGAAAAGCCTACGACGGAAAAGTTCCCGTAAATGACGCACTAAGGGGAAGGCGCACCTTCCAGTCATCGTAGAGCGCACCCAGCCGCTTGGCATAGAGCTTTGGATCGAATTTAGGGGTCGATTTTTTCGACGCCATTTTCCGTTCAATTTTCCTTTCCTTCTAATTGATCTTGCGCTGCGCCTTCAGGAGCGGGAGGGAGGGGGGCGTGGCTCTCGTGGCGTGCGTTCGGCAAGGGGTGACAGCAGGAACTGACTCGCCAGGCTCGCCCGTTTGGTTTTTGGCGGCTATCCGCGCCAAAAAGCTGGACAAAATCCGGACATTTGGGGCGAAGGAAAAGGGCGCGAAAAGAGAAATTGAATGGAGGTGATTTGATCAAGATTAGGCTAATGTACTCGCATACAGAACCTGCATGCGTGGGACGAGAGGCAGTGGGCTCAGAATTGCTTGAAGAAGGCACATATGTCCTGATGGCGGCCAAAGCCAGCCTTGAACTCGGTAAGCGAAATCGTGCCGCTCTGCATTTGCGGAGTGCGTGAGTAGAGAGCACGTTGAACCGACAGAACGAACGAAGCAAAGAAGTCTTGGTTGGGGACGAACCTGGTCCTCATCGATCTTGGCAAAGATGCCTCGCACAATCTCCTTGATTCGGGCCTTGAGCTCGTCTGGGATGGTGACCGCCGTGTTGCCGGTGGCCTTCTTGGTGTCCTCATGCGTGTTGTACCTCTTGCGCACAACAGCGCGGGTCGCCATGAGCAGCATCCTCTCGACCTCAGCCTCGGACAGCTCTCCATTGCCGTCCTCGTCGAAGAGGTTGAACGAAGCTGCGACGATGAAGGGTCGGTTAGGGTGTGCAAGTCGTGCAAAGTGCGCACCTCCCTACACGAGCAATGAAGAGAGCGGTACGCTACCTTCTAGCTTCTCTTCAACGCTGCCACCAAACGTCACGCCCATGAGCGCCAAGTACTCGTGCACATCGATACACCTGCGGTTGAGGGAAAGCTGTGCTGAGCTCAGATGGCCACAACCTTCAGACAACATCTGTGAGATGGCACGCACCCATTGCCGTCGCGATCGAAGGATTCGAAGATGGCTGCGGCGAACTCTTCGTCCGCGGCGCCGTGCTCGGCCATCACCTGGATGAACTTGGCCTTCGAGATCAATCCATCTTTACCCTTCTGCGTTTTGAAGGCCTTGAGCGTCAGCTCCACCTTGTCCTTTGGAACTGTTGGTTGTCGCCCAAGGTGAGATCTAGATCAAGATCGCGATTTGAGGAGGGGAGGGCGGCACAAGCCGATCTAGGAAGGAAAATGAGACAACGCCATACGTACTATTATACCTGTCCTGCCACTCCCGCACCTCCTTCTTTTGAATGCCCAGGTCATTACCCATTTTGTAACTTTACGGCTTTTGATGAATGAAGCTTCGTCGTCTGCGTCTGGCCGTAAATGATTTTCTCTGTTTTTCATGGAGCTCCCGCCCGCCCGCCACGTGCGCTTCATTACGGCCAGACCGCCAAGACGACGAGGACGCAGCGACGCACGATGCGGTGCCAGCAACACGAAAGAGGTGAACACGTCTTGTTGTTATTGGTGGTCTACCAGTTGAAGCCCAGGCCCTTGGCCGACGTGCCTTGGCCGATGCCCGCCATGAATTCCCTCTCCAGCTCCTGAAACAACTTGTCCTGCGTTCACAATATGCACGCGAGCGCCGCGGTTAGTGGAGTACTCACGGAGCGCGAGCCAAGCAGAAGAATGATGAATACCTGGCCCGGTCCCGCGGCTTCCGTTGGCGGAGGCGGCGGTGCTTGCAGCAGAGCTTCGTTCTCTTTCTTCTTTGCGCCCATTAGCTTGAGAAACTTTTCCTTTCTCGCAGCATCGCCAAGATCAGCGTTCGCCCACGTCGTGGCCGTTGCCGAAGTGGCCTAACAGAGTGAAGGGCGAGTAATGAATGAGCCCACTTGCACGGACGAAGCAAAGCCGCGTGCCTAAGGGATGGCCGAGGAAGAGTGAAACGGAAAGAGAGGCTCGTACCTGTGCGGTCTCCGTCTTCTTGCCGCTCCAGAGGAGCTTTTTCTTGTGTTCCGCCGACTGGGTCTTGGGCTGTTGTGACGCCTGCTGGCCGGCCAGCAGGTTGTGCATGTTGGCCAGCTGCATACCAGCCACCGGGTGGTTGGGGAGAAGACCTCCTGCTCGCAGTTGCGCGAAATGCATCTGGGTCGCCGCCATGAGCTCCGCGGGCGTGCGCATAAGGGCCTGAGGTCTCGGCGCAGACGGCACGGCCGCAGCGGGAGCGGGGTCCCACTTGTTCGCCCTGCTGCTGCTGCCCTCGTCCCTCCTCGGTTCCCTCCTCCGTTCTCGAGACGGGGATCGGCTGCGTTCCCTGCTCCTACTCCTTCCGCCCCCACCGCGTCGAGACGATTTCCTTCTCTCCCTGCTGCGGCTCCTGTCCCTGCTACGCCTTTCGTCGTTGCGTCGCGATCTGTCTCTGCTTCTGCTGCGGCTCCTGGTTCGACTGCGGCTTCTGTCCCGATCCCTTCGTCCCCCTCTTCGCCTTCCACCCTCTCGGCTGCGGCTGCGCTCGCGCCTTCTGCTTCCGCGAGCTCGCTCTCTGCTCCGACTTCGACTACGATGCTCACTCCGGCCCTTGCGCTCGGCACCGCTGGGGCCTTGTTGCCCGACGTCGGCTCTCTCCCTGGGACCCTCACGAGCTTCAGGGCTCCGCGAGGAACGCTGACGCTTGGATGCGGGAGCGTTGCGACCTTCGTCGGCAGCTGCCGTGCCGCTGGCCTCTCGTGGTCGCTTCTCCTTGTCTGCACCCTGCTGCAGAAGGGAGAAAAAGAGAAGGAGGATTCACTTCACTGTCCGTGTCAGCAGGTCTGTCTCTACTCGCACGATCTGGGTAATTGTAATTGTAATTGATGTGTTGAAGTTTCACTTCGTGAAGTAGCGTAACTCTCGCGACGTTAAAATGGGTGTACCTGCACCGTGGCCTCGCCGTTGCTGCTGGCACCATCCGGCCGTGGCATATCTTCTTGCTTCCGTTCCATCTTAAGTCCTGACTGGCGATTCTGGCGGTGCCGCCAACACAGCATTAGAGGAGTCCGAAATTTCGCCAAGCTGCGGCGACCAATCACGATTTTTCAGCTTCCAAGCAGAAGGACAGGAGGCGCGCCAGAGCATAAATAGAAGACAAAAGGGGGGGGACAACATGCCACGCCACCACCTCGCCCCCACCCCCTCCACCTGTTCTCTCTTCTTCTTCTCCCAACTTCGTGCCAGACTGGTGGACGATCAAGTGGAGCGTGTGTGAAGGCGATCTCTTGATTTTCAATTTCAATTTCAATTGATTTTTATAAATCAGCAAGATGGCTACGCGACTAGACCGCCTGCTCAACTTGCTGGAGAGTGAGTGCCTCCAATGCCCACGTTGTTTCTGTTTACCTTCTTGTTGCCTACTAACGGGCGCCTACTGTGCAGCTGGCTCTACGCCCGCCATCAGGCAGACTGCCGCTTCGCAAATCGGCGAGATCCAGAAAATTCATCCATACGATCTCCAAAATTTGCTCAGGAGGGTATGCTACTTGCTATGCCTACGTTGTGGAGTGCAGTCCTCTTAGAGTACCTCCTTACATTGTAGGTAAGAATCGTGCTGCGCAACAACAATTGGGATGCACGTGTAGCAGCTGGGCAAGCGATTGATGCCATCGCGTCCAACGTGCCGCTCTGGAACCCAGCCCCCAGTTCCACCACGCAACCTGGTAAGTACGACCCTCTCGCCACTCTCAAATCTCTGAATCGCTGAGTGAAGAGAATCGCAACAGAGCTGGTAGCGGAAGTGAAAAAGGAAGAGCCCACCGCACCCACCACACTTATGAGCTTTGACACGTTCAACGTGACCCGAGTACTCGATAACGGCAAGAAGTTGCTTGCATCTGGAGGCGAGGTACCGTACAAACATGCATGGTATACTCCACGAAGTGCGCAGGCTTCTTACACCACGTGAACGCACAGGAGTTTGATATCAACCTCGACGAGATGCCGCTAGCCGAGAGGCTGGCTTTCCAGCGAGCTCAGCTGAAGCAGAACTTGGGCATGGTGGGCCAGTTCGGTGGTGACGATGACGATCTGATATCCGATGAGGACCTCGTCATGCACACCAAACTCGAGCAGGCCAAGAAAGAGGAGGAAGTCAAGCGCGAGGCCGAGGTCGAGAATACCGAGGGCATGTCTGCGCGCCAACGCAATGCTGCCAAGAGGCGCGCCAAGAAGATGGCCAAGGACACCACCACCAAGCGAGGCAGAGGTGCCAGCGCCTCCGCCTCGGCACCAGCACCGAAGGCCGATGAAAGCGCGCCCAAGAAGGGCCGCAACATGAAGACAGTGGTGACCGACCAGCCGCAATCGTCCGACAAGGTGGTCCTCGAGTCTGTGGTGGACAACGAGAAGGCGTACGAAGACACAACCGTTTGGCCCTTCCAAGACATAACCGAGGATCTGTGTCACGATCTCTTCAAGTACGTCTTCGCTTCCGCCTCTTTTGCAGCGTTTCCTGAGCTCCCCGACTCACGCCGACCCGCGACAGCCCCAATTGGGAGGTGAGGCATGGCGCAGGTGTCGGTCTGAGGGAGATCTTCAAGACGCACGCCAAGGGTGCTGGGAAGACGGTGGGTGCGACTGCGGAGCAGCTCGAGCGTCAGAACAGGGCCTGCCTTCAGGACTACGCCCTCCGCTTGCTCTGCGTGTTCGCGCTCGATCGATTCGGCGATTACATTTCCGACCAGATGACCGCGCCCGTCCGAGAAACTTGCGCTCAGGCCCTGGGTGCGTTCTCGCCTCTGCTTATTCGCTGGCTTTGATTGCCTGCTATGACAAGCGCTGATTGACTCACGGGCTTGGGATGTGTATCGCGCACACGCAGGTGCTCTGCTGAAGCACATGAACGCGGAGGACGTGCGCCGCGTGTTGGACATCATCCTGATGTTCACGCAGAGAGAGGAGTGGCAGGTGCGACATGGAGGCATGCTTGGTCTCAAGTACGTGGTAGCGGTACGCAGGGACCTGGCCGAGTTGATCCTGCCTCAGGTTCTGCCCGCCATTATTCGCGGGTACGTTTTTCATCCATGCGTCCCCATCATGTGCCAATGCGCAATGCCGCGGAGAACGTGCGTGCGTTGCGCTGACCTTGGCTCGACCAACACCCAAAACAGCCTGCAGGATCTGGATGACGACGTGCGGTCAATCTCTGCCGGCTCGCTTCTTCCCATCGCCGAAGCCACTGCCCGGCTTCAGCCACAACTCATGCCCGACATCCTCACAATTCTATGGGACACCCTGACCGATCTCGATGACCTTTCGGCCTCCACCACCAGCATCATGAACCTGCTGGGTACATTCACGCTCCCTTGTTTGGCGAATGATGAAGGTCATCAAGTCTTGGCTCACCATGTTGTTTCTCTCCCCTCCAGCTGAGTTCTATTCCTTCCCCTCGGTTTTGGAGCTCTCGCTTGGCCAGGTGCTGCAATCCTCCGCGCACCCTCTGGCGACGCTTGTGCCTCGCCTATGGCCTTTCCTTCGACACACCATCGCCTCCGTGCGCCTCTCGGCGTTGAAGACGTTCGAAAAACTGCTGTCCATGGGCGCACAGACGGTCCGCCTGTGGTTGCCCCCCATCCTGCCCGAGGCCCTCAGCAACGTTTTCCGCAACTTCATGCTCGAGGAGAAAGCGGACATCATCGAGAAGTCACACACAGTGTGGAATCTCGTCGTAGCCATCGCGCAGGTGCGTTGTTCTCTGAGCTCTGCATCACGCCACCTATGGGTCAGTCGCTCACCATGGTCTTTGGCTGGGACAGGGACCGGCCGTGCGACAGGCAGCGCATCGTTCGCTTACGACGTGGTTCTCCGCGCTCCATGGGTCGCCCTATCCAACTGCCGCCGGCTCATCGTCGTCGTCTGGGCTCTCCTCCTCCACCGGTTCAGCGCCGGCCAAGGGCCGCCGAGGGCGCCCGCGGAAGCAGGACGTGGAAGCGGACGACCCGCCGGCGACCGGCGCCGGACGGGGCAAGCGAAAACGCGGCAAAGCCGCCGCGGCCGGTCCATCGTCGCCGCAGACAGCCGCCAGCGAGGGACCAGCGACGAAGAAGCGAGGCGTGGCACAGGCAGAGCCTGACGACGCTTCGCCATCGGATCTGTCCTCGTCGTCCGCTGCTCTGGGCCGACCGGTCGACGACGGAGAAGCCAGCGAGGCCAGCGCCAGAATGCGGATTGCGGGAGCGAAAGCGCTAGGCGCCTTGGCTCGCGCATGGCCAGCGGAGGTAACATCTCGCGCGCATTGTTTTCGTCTGTGGCATGTCGTGTGCGCTGAGCAAGTTTTGTGAATGATCGACTGACGCGTATGCTCCCTCGCGCGCAGAACCTGGATGAGCTATACAGCGTGCTGCTCTCTCAGATCAGTTCTCGCTCGGCGGCGCAGCAAATGGCAGCTAGCTTGGTCCTCACCGAGTGGGGCTATCTGGTCCATCCCGCACTGGTATTTATTTCTCCACTACGCCTCTCATTGGTTGCCTTGCTATCTAACATCTGCTCTCGTTCTGCCGCTCGTTCGCAGCCGCCATGCCAACCGTTCCCTGCGCATATGAGCGAGGCACTCAACTCCCGCCTGTCGAGCGAGGAGGAGTACAGCGAGATTGAGTCCCACCGAACCAAGCTCTACGCCGAATGCTCGGTGCTCATCCAGAGCCTCGTCTCGGTGGGCATACCCGTGGGCAGCGATCTCCTGCCAATCACCGAACAGCAGTGCGTCCACAAGGAAGTCGCCCTGCAGCTGGTGCGCCTCGCCTCCACACCGGCTACGCACAATCACTCACCCACACCTGACCTCACTCTACCCCCCAACTCAGGCCACCGATGTTTTCGACGCTTGCTTCGGCCAATTGGCCGCGCTCGAAGCCTCTGTCAAGACGCAGTTGCAGGCCCGACGGAAGCGCGTCTTGACTTGTCTGGGTATCTCTTCTCACCCGGCCGTTCGTGTATGCCCCGCTGAGTGTGTTGCTGTGCTTCGGCTGACGACCTTCTGTGTGACTGCCACCAGCACAATACGACGAAGAGGAAACGAGGCTCCGCGTGACGGTGGCGTCGTGCATCGCATCGGCGGTGGTGGCTCTCGAGGCCCTGCCAGACAAGCTCAACGCGCTCATTCACGCGCTCATGAACGCCGTCCAGAAGGAGACCAGTGCCGTCTTCCAGCGACGGACGGGCCATGCCCTGGCTCACCTCCTCCGCCTGTGCTCAGGTACCTCCCCCTTTGGGTCCTCGTAGTTTGTATCGACACTCTAAGCCGGTGACTGATCGCGTTATTACGGTTGTTGTTGTTGTTGTTGTTGTTGTTGTTGTTGTTGTTGTTGTTGTTGTTGTTGTTGTTGTTTACAGTTCGCACGCCCTGCCCGAACCCGCGCATCATCAAGAACCTGTGTACATACCTCTGCACGATCAGGCCTAAGGGCCTGTGGGCCGCTGAGGACAGCGAGGAAGCGGGCCGCGAGCGGAAGGCCAAGGAGGAGACGGAGGGGAGCGACGCCGCCCGGGCGCAGGCCGCGGCCGAGGAGCAGGAGAACCTCGTCAAGAGCCGCGGCGCCACGTTCGCGCTGGTCGCCTGTGCCGAGTACTTCCAGGAGACCCTCTTCCAGGGTCTGCCCTGGCTCTGGGAGCTGATGTGCCTGCCGCTCAAACAGGTGCACGACACCACAGATCCGTCACAGGTACGACCGGCCAACTTGTCTGCATGTTCATTCTGTGAGATTCCTCACCTCTTTTCTCATCGTGTCGTGTTCGTGTCGCGTCGCGTGTCGCATGTGCGTCTCCGCAGCAGGCAGCGTCGTTCGACGTGTTGAAGGACAACGCCGAGGTGTCGGGCTCGCTGATGGACGCCCTCCAAGTGACGGCGACAGTTGTGCCGCACCTGCACAGCGCTCTGTACCCCAAGGTCATCGACGAGCTGCTGCCTCTGGTCTTCTACTTTGTCACCTATCCTCACTCGGGCGTGCGCACATGCCTGGCCAAGTGTCTGGCCACCATTTGCAAGGTACCTAACCGCTCACTCGCCCCCTCCCCCTTCGTTGCATTTTGCTCGTTCGCGCGCACACTCTGAACAAACTCCTCTTCAACGGAGCAGACCATCACCCACCCGGCGATGCGGCAAGTTGTTGGTCGCCTCTTGCCCATGCTGGCCGACGTCGAGAATGTCGACAGTCGGCTGGGCGCCACCGAAGCCCTGCACAGTGCGTTCTGCTCCTGCGACCTTTCCGCGCTGCTTCGTCGTACACTCGCGCTCACCCGCACCCCCCCTCGTGTACGAAAGGTATCATCAGCACGATCGGTAGTGAGATCCTGCCCTACATCGTGTTCCTCGTGGTCCCCATATTGGGTCGCATGAGCGACTTCAACGAGAGGATTCGCAAGGTGGTCACCTACTGCTTTGCCACCCTCATCAAGCTCATGCCCCTCGAGGTACCACTCCCGCCCCGCGTCAGCAGCCGGCAGTCAGCAGTGTCGACAGTCGACAAGAATCTCTTGGCTGACGGCGCGGTGTGTTGTGTCGACAGTCTGCCATTCCCGACCCGCCGGACCTGCCCAAGGAGATGGTGGAGCAGAAGCAGCGGGAGCGACGGTTCTTGGAGCAGCTGCTCGACGGGTCCAAGCTCGACAACTACGCGCTCCCGATCAAGATCAACGCCGAGCTGCGCAAGTACCAACAGGAGGGCGTCAACTGGCTCGGCTTCCTGAACAAGTACCAGCTCCACGGCATCCTGTGCGACGACATGGGCCTCGGCAAGACCCTCCAGGCCATCTGCATCATCGCCAGTGACGACTTCCACCGGCGGGAGCAGTTCGAGCGGACCAGGTCGCCCGAGTTCGCACCCGTCCCGTCGCTTGTGGTGTGCCCGCCCACCCTCTCGGCCCACTGGCACCAGGAGATACTCAAGTTCTGCGAGAATCGACTGCGCCCGCTGCAGTACTACGGCAAGCCCCAAGACCGCAAGAGGTAACACGCGCTCACAGCACACACGCACGCGTGCGCCACGTGAGAGTGAGAAGGCGGTGTTGCTGATTCATCGATGGTGTGCACACAAACCAGGATGCAGGAGCAGATGCGCGAATACGATGTGGTGATCATGTCCTACGACATCCTGCGAAACGACATCGACCAGCTGAAGGCCTTCACCTTCAACTACTGCGTGTTGGACGAGGTACACACACACACACACACACACAACACGATCGGGCGTGTTGGCTCCTGAACAGCTAAGAGCTGACAACTGAGAAATATCATCACTCTCGTGCAGGGCCACATCATCAAGAGCGGCAAGACAAAGATCACGCAGGCCGTGAAGCAGATCCAGGCCAACCACCGGGTCATCCTCTCCGGAACACCCGTTCAGGTAGGGCAACAATCGACCTCCCACTTAATATATCGTGGGCAGCAGGGCTCATGTCTCATCCCCATCGCTGCTTCTGCTGCTGCTGTTGCATAGAACAACGTGCTGGAGCTCTGGTCTCTCTTCGACTTCCTGATGCCCGGATTCTTGGGCACCGAGCGCCAGTTCCAACAGATGTACTCCAAGCCCATCCTCGCCAGCAAGGACCCCAAGTGCACCCCCAAGGACCAGGAGGCACGCTCACTCCCTCGCTTCTTGTTCTTGTGATCTCCCGAGAAGAATGCTAAGAATGCGCACGATGCACGTCAATAGGCGGGCACGTTGGCGCTCGAGGCGCTGCACAGACAGGTGCTGCCGTTCTTGCTGCGGCGAGTCAAGGAAGACGTGCTGGGCGATCTGCCGCCCAAGATCATCCAGGACTACTACTGCTACCTGTCGCCACTCCAGGTGCGCCTCTACGAGGACTTCTCCAAGACGCAGGTCAAGCAGGGCATCGCCAGCAGCATCGCCACGATGGCCAGCGAGGAGGCGGCGGCGGCCAAGGCCACGGCCGAGAGCAAGGGCAAGACAACGCACATCTTCCAAGCCTTGCAGTACCTGCGCAAGCTGTGCAGCCACCCGGCCCTCGTGCTCAACGACCAGCATCCGGAGTACGAGGCCATCAAGAAGGAGTACGGCCTCGAGTCACTCCGCTCCCTGGAATCCGCCCCCAAGCTGCAATCGCTCAAGTACGCTTCGTTCTTCTTGTGCCCCCCCCCCACTTGCAAGCACTTCGTTTTTCAATATCTCATTCGTTCTCTTCTTCGTTTTCTCGACAGGCAACTCCTGAACGAGTGCGGCATCGGCATTCCCCAGGTGGAGAAGGCCGAAGACGCCACGGAGCCCATCGGTACCACCACACTTTTCCCCTCACCGCTCCCCATGCGGTCTCCTTACACCAACCACCGGTTTGGTTTGGTTTGGGCGCAGTGAGCAACCACCGGGTGCTGATCTTCGCGCAGCTAAAGTCGATGCTGGACATCATCGAGACCGACCTGCTGAAGGCCCACATGCCCAACGTGTCCTATCTCCGCTTGGACGGCATGGTGGCCGCCCAGCAGCGCCAGAACGTGGTGTCCAAGTTCAACGCCGACCCGACCATCGACATCCTCCTGCTCACCACCCACGTGGGCGGCCTCGGCCTCAACTTGACCGGCGCCGACACGGTCATCTTCGTCGAGCACGACTGGAACCCGATGAAGGATCTGCAGGCCATGGACCGGGCGCACCGAATCGGACAGAAGAAGACCGTCAACGTCTACCGCCTCATCACCCGCGCCACTCTCGAAGAGAAGATCATGGGGTATGCGACCCCGCCTTGTGTGTCGTGTGTGTCATTGTCATGTGTGTCGTGTGTGTGCGGTGGACTGAAGCTGGTGATGGTTGCAGGTTGCAAAAGTTCAAGATGAACATCGCCAACAGCATCGTCAACTCGGACAACGCGAGCATCCGCACGATGGACACCAACCAACTGCTCGACCTCTTCAACTTCTCAGCCGAGCAGGCCGGCACGTTGCCCGGACTGGAGCAGACATCCGGAAAGGGTACGTCGCCCACCACCGCCTTGGCCCAAACCGTTGTAGCGATGCACGATTGTCGGTGGGTGATGGAACTGACCCTGTTCTTGTTCTTCTTCATCTTCATGGAGGCGACGAGGGCGTGAAGAAGGCCGGCGGAGCGCTCAGCAAGGTGCTCGAAGGCCTCGAGGAGTTGTGGGACGAATCGCAGTACAACGAGGAGTACAACCTCGACTCCTTCCTCGAGCGTATGCAGTGAAGCCAAACAAAAACAAACTTCACACCTCTCATCAAGTAGTGCCGCTGCTGATTCATCTTCGCATTGGTGAACTATTGGACTTCTTGGAATAAATAGATATAAATATTCTTTGTCTCCTCCTTTTTGCTGCCGTGATTCTTCAAAGAACCAAGATGGAGGAGCTGAATCAGGCCTTGGCGCTAATTGAGCGGGCATCGCATGAAATTCAGGTACTCTCGGACTCGATGGCACTACCACTGTGCCACAACGATTGGCTTAGTGGCATCTTTCATCTCCTCTGCAGCAAGGCAACCCATCTCCGGAGGCGCAGAAGGTCCTGCTGAGCTTTCAGGAAAAATCCAATCCTTACGAGCTCTGCAAGTACATCCTCGGTTCGTCATTATCCCCTGGGCGCCTCATCCATTTATCAATTAATCTTTCTCTTTTGTCATTTAATCACTCTTTTGCTACGTTTTTGTTTTTTTTAAACAACTTTCTACAGAGAATAGCAAGGTGCCCACGGCGCAGTTCCAGAGCGTCTCCACCATCCGCCGGGCCGTCCTGCGCGAGTGGTCCGCCCTGTCGCCGCAGCAGAGGGACAGCATTCGCGACTTCCTCCTCCAGTTCCTCGTCAACAGCCACGCCGCGTACTCTCTCCACATTCACATTTTCACTTGTTGTGTCGTGTGTGTCGTGTGTGCTGATGTGGTGCGTGTCGTGTCATGTCGTGTCGTGTGTCGTGTCGTGTCGCGTGGTGACACAGGCTCCAGAACTTTGTCAAGTCTCAGCTTCTGCAGTGTGTGGCGGTGCTGATCAAACGGGAATGGGTCGACATCGAGTTCCCCTCGCCCACGTCGCAACCCAACCTGCAGTTCAAGGAGGCCACATTCCAGAAGATCCTCACCCTCCTCGGCGGCGAGATGCACATGGTACCACACACATGCACTCATAGGCGCACACGTACACGCACACGCACCACCGCACACGTACACGCACACGCACCACCGCACACGTACACGCACAATCACACGCACAATCACACGCACACTTACATTAACGTGATTGGTGTTGTCGATGTACAGAAGCGTCAGGGCGTGGGTCTGTTGCTCGCGCTGGTGAACGAATTCTCCTCCAAGCAGACTAACAGCGAGACCAAGCTGCCCGTCACCTACCACCTCAAGTGCAACCGCTCGTTCGCCGTGCCTCTCCCACAACCCGCTCTCTCTTCTCTGCCACGTCATGCCACACACACACAACACACACACAACACACACACAACACACACAACACAACACACACACACACACACACACAACACACTACACGACACACGACACGACACGACACGACGCACACTCTGCATGTTATGATTCTGACATCACGCGCTGTGCAGGACAAGGAACTCAAGCAGGTGCTGACGTGGACGATGGCGTTCATCCACCAGTTCATCACCAACCCGGCTTCGCTGCAGAACGACGGCGCGTTCCTGGGCTCGTGCCTCACCCTCGCCGCGCAGGTCCTGTCGTGGGACTTCGAGGACGCCCAGGCCTCGAGCGACGGCCTCCTCTTCACTCGGACCCCGCCCACCGGCGGCGACAGCACCAACGCCCCGCTCAAGCCGCCGCCCCACTACCGCGACATCTTCGTCACCTCCCACGACATCCTCCTCTGCTTCTTCAAGGTACTGTGGCGTGTGTGTCGTCGTGAGTGTCGTGAGTGTCGTGAGTGTCGTCGTGTGTGTCGTGTGGCTGACGATGTGTGCGTTGGGTTGAAACAGTTGCTGGCGATGGTGGAGCAGAACGAGGACCTGTCGCACCTGACGCGCGTCGCCCTGTCGCAGCTGGCGTCGCTGTCCGGCAACGTGTTCCCCGACAAGGCGCACCAGCTGCAGTACCTCAAGACCTTCCTCGAGCTGCTCATGCCGCACATGCGCAAGTACACCACCATCCTCTCCTCGGCCGGCGCCCCCTCATCCCTCTCGCCCTCCTTCGGCGATCAGATGATCGGACTCAGCAACATTCTGGTATCGCCCATGCCGTGTGTGTCCGTGCGTGCGTTGTGTGTGTGTGTGTGTGTGTGTGTGTGTGTGTGTGTCGTCGTGTGTCGTGGGCGTGAGCTCAATTCTTGTTGTTGGGCTGCCCAGGTGCGTCTGGTGTCGAATTTCCGAATCGAGATGTTCTATCAGCTGCCGCCCGTACCGGCTGCTCTGGGTAATGAATGTCCCCTTCTCTTCTTGAGCGCTCTTGCGTCTGACGTGACCTTTGGTGCGTGTTGGTTGGAATTATGTTTTTTGTTTCTCTCCACAAGACGCGTTCCTGGCCGAGTTCTGCGCGTTTACATGCGGCTGCCTGCAATCGCTCAAATCGGTGGAGGAGGTGGAGTTCTCGTGGAACCTGGACTGCTTCAACTACCTCACCGACGCTTGGCTCGTCTTTGGTACCTCCCCTCTACCCAACATTACATTTGCTATTTTGTAAATATATTTCTGTATTATTATTATATCTTTGTAAAGTAATATATAAATCTTTTTTGGTTTTTAGTTGCATTTTATTGACTTACATTTTATTTTTCCGGAAGTTGATTCCTACCCTCTTCTGCCGCTACTAGTGGGCGACGTCGAGGAGGAGCTGGGCGGCGGCACCACCGGCGAGGGCAACCAGGCCAAGTGGACGGCCGTCAAGGGTACCCTCTCCCACACAAAAGTGTATATGCGGTGGTGCGTGTGTCATATGTGTCGTGTGTGTCTGGCACGAACTAGTTGCTAATTCGGGTTGCCCTTTATGAAGCCACCTTGCAAAAGTACACGAGGAATGTGTTCCAGCTCTATGTCGAAGCGCGCATCGCCATCGCGCACAGCGAGCTGGAGCAGGACCTCGTCGAGAACGAAGAAACCTGCGACGACAAAGTACGGCACACCGCACATGCACGCATTCCTGCACTTTGTTTTAACCACACACACACAACACACACAACACACACACACACACACACACACAACACACACAACACACACACACACACACAACAGAAAGAGTTCGAGGAGCAGCTGGAGGCGGTGGGACGGCTGGGGCGGCTCGATTGCGCGCACTCGCTGCACCTCGTGACGTCCATGCTCGGCGATCGGTTGGCCAAATGGCAAGGCCAGGTCCAGCAGATGAACATCCAAGGCACGCAACACACAACACGACACGACACGCACACGACCCACCGCACACGCACGCACTCACGTACGCCAGCCTGCGACGGGTACAGGGCTGGATGTGATTCTGGAGGAACTGCATTGGCTCGTGCTGATCACGGGCCACGTGTTGGCCAATGAGCCCAAGGACGAACTCGCGCACATTCCCTCGGCCATCAACGCCCTGTCCGACGTACGTGTGCGCACGCACGCACGCACGCACGCACGCACGCACGCAGTGCGCGTTGTGCTCACACGCCTCGCGTTTTCCAGGAGAGTGACGCGGTCATCTTGGCCACCAACGCCGTGATGGCTGTACTCCAATTCCAGAACAGCTGCCTCACCAACGAAACTCTGGTAGGCCCCGTCGTCCCACTCACGTGACGTCGCTATATCGCGTGTTTGCATGTTTGCGTGTGCGTGTGCGTGTGCGTGTGCGTGTGCGTGTGCGTGTGCGGAAGGGCTGATGTATGCGCACGCACACACAGGATGGGTTCGACGACATTGTGAGCCCGCTGCTTGCGGAGACCCTGCTATGGTTCGTGAGCCGCTGGTCTGCCACCTATCTCACCATCCACCGTCAGAAGACCCCCGCCAGGTACGCACCGCACACACGCGTCATAGCACGCGCGACCGCGTACGCGCCGATAACGAATATCGTTGTGGGCGCAGTGAGCGGTTGGCGGCGGCCTATGGCTCGACGGGCGGGATGATCCCCAACATGATCCAGTTCTTCTTCTCGAGCATCTCTTCGATTCTCATGCACTGGTCCGGCGCCGAACCCAACCTCGCTGTTCAGGTGCGTCGTCGCCCCCGCCACGCACGATGCGGCACGACACGACACGATGCGGCACGACACGACACGACACGACACGACACGACACGACACGACACGACACGACACGACACGACACGACACGACACGGCACGACACGGCACGATGCGGCACGACACGACGCGAGTTAGAAATCCAGTAACTGGCGTTCCCTGGCTGATTATGTGTTGTGTCGTGTCGCGTTTGCTCCAGGCGTGCGAGCTCCTCTTGTCTCTGTCCAAGCTGCCTTTCCGCATGGTGTTGCTTCAGCTCGGTACACACACGACACGCACACGCACACGCACACGCACGCACACGCACACGCACGCACACGCACAGCCAACATATGTTGCTATGGTGCGTGTCGACAGATGTTTATCGCAACTTCTGCGAGGCCTACGTCAAGCAGATCTCGCTCGCCCTCACCTCCCTCTCCGCTCGCCTCCACCGGTTCACCCCCCCCCAACCCCCCGCACATTCCTCACCGCATTCCTTAACCTGCCGCCCTGCTGCATTCCTTCACATTCCACACCACTGGTCCGCAGATTGCTGGTCGAGGCCCTGGTGCGGATGGGCAGCGGCACCGGCGGGGCGGAGAACCCGGAGGCCCTGCAGCAGTACTTCCAGCAGATCGTGAGCCCGATCCAGGCCGACTTTGTAAAGGTGTTCGACCGGGCCGACTTCGCGTCGATCGCGCAGAACGCCCAGGTCGTGTCCCACGTCGAACGCCTCATCTCCGTACGCCCTCCCGTCACCACAGCCGCACACGCACACGCACACGCATGACCGCACACGCACGCGTATGACCGCACACGCGCAACCGCACGCACGGAAGCCCTAATTTTATGTCGACAGAGCTTGCGGGGAGTGGTGCGAGCGGGCAAGGGCGGGGGCGTGGTGTCGCGGGCCACCCTCCACGTGGCCCTCCCGTGTCTGGAGAAGATCGCGTCGTTGCTTCGCATCTACTCGCATCGCGTCGACATGCGCGAGGACATCTCCGCCTTCTTCTGCGATCTCCTCCTCTACCAGGTACATCGTCCGTCCTGCGCACTCACACACATCACCACGCGCGTGCGTCAGTTGACACCGCACGACACACACGACACACGACACCACACGACACACACGGCACAGATCAACAGCATCAAGGAGCGATCGGAGGTCGACGCGTTGCTGAACGGGCTCTACCACTACTTCCAAGCCCTGGCCGAGCTCTCCAAGGAAAAGAGTACGCAAAATAATTAATTAATTTATCTATTTCGCTTTATTTCTTTATTTAATTATTCAATTGATTCATTATTTTTTCCATTTAAATAACGCGCGAATTTGTCGGTGCACAGGCGCGACGGCCGGCGGAAAGAAGGAGGAGGAGAAGCAGCGGTACCGGGAGGCCAAGCAGCGGACGGCCATCCTCTACAACCTCTTCTACCACTTCATCAGGCACCTCCACTCCTCCTTCTTTCAGGCCCGGCTCCCTGCGAGGCTCCCCTAACCCATCGTGTCGTGTCGTGTGTGGGTCGTGTGTCGTGTGTGTCGTGTGTGTCGTGTGCGTGTCGTGTCGTGTTGTGCGGTGAGTAGTGACGCCAGCGGGCCGCGGAGGGACCCGCAGGTGCAGGAGAAGTCGGGTCAGCTGGCCCTGTTCGCCCTCACCACGTGCATCCTGCCGCTCATCACCCCTGAACTCATGCTCGTACGCGCACGACCACCTTCGCAGCCGCAAACGACCCATAACTTCACATCCCAAAACTGACGACGGCACACCCACACGCACACACGCACCATCGCACACTCACACGCGCGCACGTTGACACCACCGCACACAGTATGCGAAGGTGAGGGATGGGTACTACAGTGTGCTGTGTGGGCTGTTTGAAGAGGCGCCGCGCAGTCTCCTCTCGCTCCAGGCCCCCACCTACAGCATGCTCCTGGCCTCCCTCAAATACGCCCTCCTCTCGTACGTCAGCTCACTACACCACCGCACGCGCACGACACGACACTACCGCACACGCACCACCGCACACACAACGCTGCTCACATGTGTGGGGCTGTTCACCGACATCGTAGGACGGACACGGATGTGGCGCGTCGAGGCCTGGAGACCCTGTGCAGCGTGTGCACGCACCACTACCACGCGCGCACCCACAACTCGC